TTAATATTTGAGGTAATAAAGTGAAAGAATTTGAGAATTTAAATACAACCTGTAAGTTCGAATTTATTCTTCTAAGTTATTCTGAAATGCTCAATATAATCAAATGATACGACAGGTGTCATCCGAGAATGTCAGAATAAATGTTAAAAGAATTAAAATATTTCATAAAATGGCAGGTGGAAATTGGAATATTCAGGGTGAAACTGGTGAAATTAGAATTATAAAAAAATGACTTTGGTATGGGGATTGTGAAAATAAAGGTATTTAAAAGAAAAATTTTAAGGAAAAGTTGGCATATTTAAAATGAAATAGAAATTGATAATGCAAAATAAATTGGTTTTGGATATGTATTCATGTAAAGAAATTATAAATAGATGCGTATGCGTGTTTCTTTGATTAAAACTGTTAGTTATTAAATTCGGAAAGATATTATTTGAATTTGTCAGGGTTATTCAATAGGGAAATAACATAATTAGACAAAATTAAAGAGGAAATGAATTATTGTTTATGTTTATGTTGAGATTATTGCAAGTAATAAGTACATATGTGTCTACGTGATTATAAGTACGGGAGATTAATCTAGTAGTTTAATCTGAGATCTCACACTTAAGTGTCCATTGTATCTCAAAAGCAGTCCTATTCTAGTTCTTAAATTTCCATATGTCCATTTGAAGAGTACAGTACGGAAGTGTCCTGTTCAATTGATCTTGTATTACATTTCTGGTAAATCTTGTAGGTCAAATACAGCAAAATCCCAACGCATAATAGAGAGCCGATAGGGTAATGCTATAATACAAAAATGAGGGTGATTAGGGTATAATAAGAACAACTTAAAACTCAATAAATGATAAGATTTGTATCCAGAATTATCGATCAATACGTATTCCTTTCGAATGTAAATGGAAATCTGACCATGAAGTGCACAGGAGAAATGTCTAGGTTGTGTGAAGAAAAATTGTGCATCAAAGTTTTACCTTGCAATTGTTTTATTGATTGGAATGGTGATAAAATTTATTTCCATCCAGAAGCTTGTACCCTGAAAATGATAAGGGATCCTCCGAGAAAGAATGCGGCATTTTTAATAAATTATCATGCAAACATTATTGATTGGGAAAATTCAGGAAATACATTAGAAGGTCTAAAGTATCCACATTTGAATAAATTGGAATTAGTTAATCCAAAGGTAGTAGATAATCAGGAAAGGATTCAGTTAGAGAAAGTAATTGACAATATTAAAAGTCAAAGGTCGTGGTTTGTGAAACCTGATTATAACTTATTTACATTTGGGAAATTGCAAACTGGCTGGGTAGAATTTTTACAGTGTATTTTGTTAATGATATTAGTAGTTGCAATGATTGTCTTATTCATTTTGACATATAAGTACAGGAGAGTTATATTAAGATTGGGTAAGGTTATGGTGAGTAAGCCGTTAGTTAAGAAGTAACCATCGGTAATGGTGAAGGAGACACATGCGAGCTGCTAATATGGTTCCATGAGTTGGATCTGACTTGGTTTTTCTATCTGGGTGATTAGTAAGTTATTAGTTAAATGAAATGCCAGGAAAGAATTAGTTTAAATTTACATATGGAATTATGTATACTTACCTCTTAAAATAGGGACCCAATAGAGATAAAATTCTATCACGTGCTGAATCACCGCCAGGTTGAATTGGAAAATTCCCGGTTCTTTGTTATCAAAATGTCCACATGTTGTTAGGTGAAATTTCCTCCTGGATTATGTAGATGTTCTAATCCTTGATGTCCAGTAAAGAATATTTCGGATGTTTTGGTGGCTACCAAATAAGTGTTCGATGAATTTCTTTATCTAATTGATTATATATGTAGTTCTCTGTGATTCCTCTAATAAACATTGAAGTTTTGTCTATCATACAATTGTATGGGGGTATCTTTAGCATGTTTGGAAGGGGTAGAGAGAGCAATCTTTTGGCGCTTGTGATTGGTTGGTTAAGGAAGGGGGTGGAGTTTGGTATATACCCAGTTGCAACATTTTTTTATGAGTGACAGTTCAGACGAGAGGAGACGTTTTAACAACTGGGTTGATTTTTATGGTTTTTTTCTGAAAATTCAAGGTGAGTGATTAGAGAGATACTGCGATACGTATAGCGATTTTATAGTTATTACTCAATATAATCTCATATACTCATTTATATACTCAATATTATTTCATATACTCAATATTATACTCACCTATATACTCACTATTATTTATAGTATACTCAAGATTTTAAATTAAAAAAAAAGGTTCAATATTATGTTCATTAAGAATTGAGCCGATGGGTTAAGAATCTAAAAATTTTCAGTGACAGTGACCTCTTTATATTTAATTACACGTTTCCTTGTTGGCTGAAGAATTCAAATTGTAAGTGTCAGTTGAATGTTCATTTTCACTAGTGACATCTATAAATTCTGAAACTTTGTATTTATATTTCATTCACTGGGGGTTGTTAATTTAGAATTTCATTTCATTTTCAATAGTGACATCTATAAATTCATTTAGGGACAATCAAAATTGGGATTCAAATATATTTTGTATTTTAATGGTTACGAGAGAGTGTGACAGAAGTCAACTGGCACAGTGACTGTCTGGGGGTGAGAACGGTCTCTTAGGTCACAGGAATCTTAAAAGGAAGTTAACTGGCGCAGTGATCTTCCCGATTCTTGGTGACAAGCTGCAACCATAGAGACTTTTTAAATGAAGAATTCTACAGTGACATCATACAAACATTTTACAGTGATCTCTACAAACATTCTACAAACAAATTAGGACCTTTCACAAACTACGAACATTCTACAAACATTTGATTATATGAAGTTAAAATTGATATTATAATGAAGGATTCATCAGACAATAAGTGACTTGGGATGCTGCACCTGTATTATATAATTAACTTCGGTTAATTATGGACTTTAATTAATGAACGTTTAATGAATCAAGTTTAAAATAATCTATAGAGTTGATGTACTTTAAATACTTTATTTAAAGATATATTGAATATTGAATTCTCGAATCAAAAATATGTAAATATTATAAAAATGTACTTGTATAGCTATGCATGTATGTATGGATGTATGTAGGTATGTGTGTATGTGTGTATGTATGTGGGTATGTTGTTGTGTGAGTTTGAATGAAGTTTGGTTGACCTGTCATGATTAAGTAATTTAATTAAAAAACTATTGTATTGATTTGAACTTGAATTGAACTCGAATTGTATTAAGACAGTGTTTAGATATATTTATCTGGTTCTGTGGAATAAGAAATTATAGAATAATGTATATCATAATTGAAATTGTCTATTGAAATTGAATATTGTTTAGAAATATTACATTTAAATTTGGAGAAATATTGATTGTACTTTATTTGTCTGTCTGGTATTTCATTTTTTAAGTTATGCTATTCTTCTGTGAAGCAAGGGAAGAGTGTTACAGACAGACAAAATACCTTTTTGTTAGGAATTTTATATGATATTTTATTACATACAGTTTGAGTTGTTTTTACATTTATACTTTCATTTGAGTGATACATATGTTGTTGATGTTGGTTAATTGGATCCTGCCAGTATTTTTGGAACTTATCTGGAACTTGTTTTAAGGACAAGACGTTTGGAACAAAGAAGTCTCATACCTGATGCCAAAAGTAGTCCTGTATTTCCAGAGTCCTTGAGATAAGTTCCAGGAAATATCTTGGTAAGAACAAAGAAAATGCTCATTTGGCAGGAACTATATTTTGGAGAGTAGTTATATATGGTAGTGTGATTGGATAGTATAAAAGAGTTTGGGGGTGTCCGTGTTTGGTGGTCTGGTTGATTGCTGTATGCTGTATGCCTGTAGGATTGCTGTCTGATGTGCTGATCTTTGTATTATAGAATAAAATCATTATAGCCAACTAGATTTGTCGTGTAACACTTTATATTCCTGTAACAACGCCTGTTATCCGAGGGACAACGCCAGTAACAGTTGTTCTAGGTCTTTTTTCTTGGAATGAGCATTAAAACACTCCTTCAAATAGCCACAGAGAAAGATGTTTGAGGACGACAATGGCAGAACAAACACAGATAATCAGGTCAATTATCGGCAAATGATTCAGGAGTTACCTTCCAGAGTTAGGCAGGCTAGCCTAGAGATCAAATGATATCCAAATGAAAACACAGTGGTCTCACATTGATACACACAACTAAAGCTACATTAGAATCGCAACCAATGCAGTTTCTTGAACCTCTGACCTCTCTGTATAAGGGGGCTATAAGACATTGTGAGGGCCTCCCTTATTCACCATATTTGACAGCCCATACTTTTTTCTTTGAGGCTATTTGAAGGACCAGTTTTATGCTAAACCCAAGCTAAGAGACCTAGAACAAGTTAAGAACAGCATCCGAAGAGAAATCAAAACATTCCACCAGAAATATCAAATGTGATGAACAATGTGGTAGTAAGGATACAGAGTGTCATCGAAATATGAGGTTACATTGAATATGTGGTGTCAACGGTAACGGGTTTAGTATCAAAAAGGCAAAACTGAATTAAAAACTGTGTAAAGGGGAAAACACTTTCATCTTTTATCTACAAGACCATGCAAAAAATGTCTGAAAATATTGATTGGTTTGTCTATGGTGTTGATATACTTTTGGGTACATTTTTTGAGACACCCTATATGTGTTATTTTACAGTTTTTACTTTGACTAGACAAGAAGAGCACTTTTGTTGACATGCAAATACTTAAAAGTGTGGGAAATTTTCCTTTGACAACTAGCTTAAAAGGTGGCTATAATGTATTTGAAAAATGGTGGCCATATACTGTATATACGCATTTATACAAGATTCAAGATCTTTACATGACATTTACAAAATTATACATTTATACAGTAAAATACATTGCTTGTGAAATGTTTCAATACGTCAATACAATCATACAATCTAATGTTTCCATTTTTCAAATAGCTCCCAGCATTGATTAAAAAGAGATGGTATTTCTCTGTGTTGTAGGTACAAATACAGAAGATTCTACAACCACTGTTGCTATAACAGGGAAAGTCATTCAGAGAGCAGAATGTCGACCAATAGCGGGTGACCGTTATATGGAATTAAAAAAGTAAGAACAGTTTCTATGTTTTTATGTCAACACATAAGTGGCGACATATTTTTATAGTCTTCAACTTTTTGTGGCAATGGTTGGTGTTTGGCAGTCGGTGGTTGGCATTCGTTGTTCAGTAGTTGGTGTTAGCATTCGTTAGCATTCGACGTCTGTGGCAGATATGGTGATATTTTGCATGTTATATCTTTGTTTAATGTTCATCATAATCTTTATATTTTTTAAAATTAAAAATGTTGGTCCTTCAAAAACATGGTTTAGTTTTCTATTCCATTCATAACATCTAACATGGAATAACATGGAATGTGATGCAGTGTAACTTAATAGGGTATCAAAGTCATTAACTTGGCAAAAAATTGGCCACATTAAAAATTGTTTTTGATTATTTCATTCAGTCTCAAAAAATCTTATACCTCATTCAAAGGAAACAAGTACAGCTTCTAACATTCATAGCTCCTTTTTCATGTTGTTTTTGTTTTAGTTGAGTAAATATATATTGGATCATTGAGACCACTGACACAAACTTACAAGATTTTTGCATAAATTATATTCCTCATGATATGTTTCCATGTTTTTTCCAAGATGGTGCTAGTGATGAACAGCAATGCCAGATGGCAGCACTAAGTTCTATATTACATAAGTTGATAAAATGTCGCCTTATTTACATCTTTCTCTAAAATTTGAATAAATTGCTTGAATTTCTCGCATTTCTATAAAATTTAGAGTGTTAACCACATGCCTGTTTGCTTAATCCTCGCTTATTCCACTGTTTTTCACTATATTTCTCACTTTGAAGCATGACCATATTCTTGTCTGGTATTTCAGAAAGGCTCTTGAGATGAGTAACAAACCGCAGATGGAGGTGAAGGTGTTAGACAAGGCAGTGGTAAATTACAAACCAAAGGCAAACCATGCCTTTAATGTGAGTAATGAAACCTGTTTATGGTTTATTTATTTCATTTATTTATTTATTTTATCCAAATATTTATTTATTTTATTCATTTCATGTTTATTAACCTGTAAATTGGTCCATGGGAATACCTCTCTTATGGGAACACGTCTCAATGTGATCACTTTTCTCAGTCCCAAATTTGACGCACATCAGTGATCTCCCCAGCATTAAAGCAAGTGGGCGTAGCACCCACCTGAAAACCATTTGCACCCACTTGAAAATGAGAAAAATCATGAATTTTCATAGTAACTTGCTGACATGATAAAACAAAATGGGGTCAATGTACTTTTAATTAATTTCCATAGTAACTGCATGGGAGACAACAAATAGGGTCAATGTATGTTTTGGTGAATTACCATGGCAATTGGAAGATGAAATAAAGCAAATGGGGTCAATGCAGTTTGATGAATTTTCATAGTAACATGATGAAGCAAATGTGGTTTGAATGCACGTTTTGACGATTGTCTCAATTTAATTCAGCGAGAATGGGACCTCAAGAAGAAAGAGGAAGGAAAAAGGTCAAGGACAGATAAAGATAAAGTTCTGGAGATGTTGTACAATGCTTTTGAGAAACACCAGTACTACAATGTTAAAGATCTTGTCACTATCACTAAGCAACCAATTGTAAGTATATGGTAACCATAAAAATTATGCAAATTGTTTTTGATCAAAAATGTAAAACATCTTGTATTTTCCTAAATTTCCTCTATGTTTTCTAAAATATCCTATGTATTTTTTATAATATCATCTATATTTCCTAAAATATCCTCCATATTTTCTGAAATATCCTCTATATTTACCGAAATACCCTCTATATTTTCTAAAATTCCGTCTATAATATATATTTTTAATGGTTGCTTTGCAGACATGGCTAAAAGAGATTCTGAAGGAGATCTGTAATTACAACATGCGGGCTCCTCACAAAAACATGTGGGAATTAAAGCCAGAATATAGACATTATACTGCGAAAGAAGATGATACGTGAAAATAATTCAAACAAGATCCTTTAAATCATCGGTCTATAAGACATAGGGCACCCTTTAAGTGACACTTGAAAGTAACACCCAGGGCCCTTTAAATCATTTGTCTATAAGACATATGCGACCCTTTAAATGAAACGTGAAGGTAATACACGCAGGGCCTTTTAAATCATTTATCTGTAAGACATATTGGAACCTTTGGGGATACTTTAGAGTAATACACACAGGGCCCTTTAAATCATTTGTTTGTGAGAATCTATCAAGTCATACTTGCATGATAGTTTAAACCATTAGTTTAAGACATAGGGGACCCTTTAAATGATACTTAAAAGAAAGGGCCCTTTAAATCATGTAAGGCAAATATGGGGCCCTTACAAACATGGCCTTTAAATTATTTATATGTAATACATGGTACCCTTTATACTTGAAAGTAACACACTCAAACATTGGGCCTTTAAATACCTGTTAGCGTAAGATATATGGGTCCCTTTAAGTGGTATTAGAATGTATTACACACAGGGTCCTTTAAATTGTGTGTTTGTAAAATGCATTTGACGCTTTAAGTCAATATGCTGTCACAACACTTGGGACTCTATGGAGATATATGTCACATGAAATAAGTAATACATACATGATCCTTTAACATTTGTCCATAAGCCTCATGTTACCCTTTGATTCCTTCTGTTTCGTGACTAATTTCAAGGCATCTTTATAATATGCATGTTTTTGTATGTCAAAACTTAAAGGTGCAACAAGTAGTGCAGAGGGGCCATTCAACGATCATGGACCAGTGTCAAAATATATTTAAGTTTGGGTATTTCATCAAGACTAACATCTATTTTTATTTTCTACAAAGAAACCCCAAGTAGATAATCATTATTTCAGCTTATTATGTCACCACCAAAAGGGTCTCCGTTTTTTGCGACGGCGGTTGTCGTCCGGCAGTTGGAGGTTGGCGTCCGGCGGTTGGAGGTTGGCGTCTGTAACAATTTCTTACAACTTCCTATAACTTAACAAATACTGTTTAGACTGACTTCAATTTTTTCTAAATCATCTACATGTTCTCAGAAGTTCAAATCTGACTTTATATTTGACATTTGACCTTCAATGACCTTCTCAGGTCAAAAAGGTCTTTTTTCAACTTGCTTCACATTGACTAAATTTTTTTTCAAAATCATCTACATGTTCTCAGAAATTCAAATCTGACTTTAGATTTGGCTTTAGATTTGACATTTGACCTTCAAATCTGACTTTAGATTTGACATTTGACCTTCAATGACCTTCTCAAGGTCAAAAAAGGTCAAAAAGGTCTGTTTTCAACTTGCTTCAAATTGACTAAATTTTTTTTTCAAAATCATCTACGTGTTCTCAGAAGTTCAAATCTGACTTTAGATTTGACTTAAGATTTGACATTTGACCTTCAATGACCTTCTCAAAGTCAAAAAAGGTCAAAAAGGTCTTTTTTCAACTTGCTTCAAATTGACTAAATTTTTTTTTCAAAATCATCTACATGTTCTCAGAAATTCAAATCTGACTTTAGATTTGACATTTGACCTTCAATGACCTTCTCAATGTCAAAAAAGGTCAAAAGGGTATTTTTTCATCTTGCTTCAAATTGACCTAAATATTTTTTCAAAATCATCTACATGTTCTCAGAAATTCAAATATGACTTTAGATTTGATTTTAGATTTGACATTTGACCTTCAATGACCTTCTCAAAGTCAAAAAAGGTCAAAAAGGTCTTTTTTCAACTTGCTTCAAATTGACTAAATTTTTTTTTCAAAATCATCTACATGTTCTCAGAAATTCAAATCTGACTTTAGATTTGACATTTGACCTTCAATGACCTTCTCAATGTCAAAAAAGGTCAAAAAGGTATTTTTTCATCTTGCTTCAAATTGACTAAATTTTTTTTGCAAAATCATCTACATGTTCTCAGAAATTCAAATATGACTTTAGATTTGACATTTGACCTTCAATGACCTTCTCAAGGTCAAAAAAGGTCAAAAAGGTCTGTTTTCAACTTGCTTCAAATTGACTAAATTTTTTTTTCAAAATCATCTACGTGTTCTCAGAAGTTCAAATCTGACTTTAGATTTGACTTAAGATTTGACATTTGACCTTCAATGACCTTCTCAAAGTCAAAAAAGGTCAAAAAGGTCTTTTTTCAACTTGCTTCAAATTGACTAAATTTTTTTTTCAAAATCATCTACATGTTCTCAGAAATTCAAATCTGACTTTAGATTTGACATTTGACCTTCAATGACCTTCTCAATGTCAAAAAAGGTCAAAAAGGTATTTTTTCATCTTGCTTCAAATTGACCTAAATTTTTTTTCAAAATCATCTACATGTTCTCAGAAATTCAAATATGACTTTAGATTTGATTTTAGATTTGACATTTGACCTTCAATGACCTTCTCAAAGTCAAAAAAGGTCAAAAAGGTCTTTTTTCAACTTGCTTCAAATTGACTAAATTTTTTTTTCAAAATCATCTACATGTTCTCAGAAATTCAAATCTGACTTTAGATTTGACATTTGACCTTCAATGACCTTCTCAATGTCAAAAAAGGTCAAAAAGGTATTTTTTCATCTTGCTTCAAATTGACTAAATTTTTTTTGCAAAATCATCTACATGTTCTCAGAAATTCAAATATGACTTTAGATTTGACATTTGACCTTCAATGACCTTCTCAAGGTCAAAAAAGGTCAAAAAGGTCTTTTTTCAACTTGCTTCAAATTGACTAATTTTTTTTTTCAAAATCATCTACATGTTCTCAGAAATTCAAATCTGACTTTAGATTTGACATTTGACCTTTAATGACCTTCTCAAGGTAAAAAAAGTCAAAAAGGTCTGTTTTCAACTTGCTTTAAATTGACCAAATTGTTTTAGGTGGTGACATTTTGTCATGTTAATGCCTTGTATTCCTCTTGAAACATGGTGGATCTTAAAAATATAAAAGTGGACGTCCCCTTTTTGAAGCTTTGAACTGAATTTACACTTTTTAATGCCGAAATTGATAGTTTATCCATACATTTTAAGAAAAAAGGTATGTTAAGCCAACTGTTGCCTTGATAACTCAGAAAAAGTAAAAAATTTCCTATTTTCTCTCTACAAGCCTTATTGCCCCTTTAATGTTCACTCTTGTCTATTACATCTGATTATGCCTTTTAAAACAAAAAGGGTCCTTTAAGTTTGGAAAGATATGCACTCTAGCCATTACTAGATACAGTATCATTAAAAAGCTATTTAAATGATAAATATCTGTAATGAATGCAGTAAAAGGGAAGCACGTGAGGATTTTGAGATAATGCCAAAGCACTAAATTAAATAGTAAAAAAACATTTTGGAGTAAATTGTTAAAGATTCGTTTACCACTGGTTGTGGAAAATTGAGATCATTTCACTAGATGTAAAGACTTAATGAAACTTTTTGTAGTGCAAACTTTATTTTCAATATATATCGAAGGGAGCACCTAATCAATCCTGATTTCATTTGGGGGTTTCTGATTTCATTCGGGGGGGGGGGGGTGTGGTGTAGGAGGAGCTGAACCAAATAAAATTAATTTAAATGTTCGAAACAATCAACATTTTGACACTATCCCTGAGTAACTGTACAATGTTAATTTGGTATTATGTAATATCACTCTACTATACCTTGCATTTGGTGTTCAACCCATTTGGCTTATTAGTAATGATTATGTTATTTGTTTTTATTTGTCTGTTCCTTATGAATGGTTTATTGGAAGACTGTTAGATGTTAATAAGGTACTTTCAAAAATATTGTAAACAATATAGGCTACAGAGTATTTTATGCATTTCTAGGGGCTAGGTATAGTAGAGTGAATATGATGCAACAGAAACTAGAAACAATACCATTATATATGGTTTAATTATATTGCATCAAAAATTAATAAAAGAATAAAAAAAATTAAATGAACATAATAAATGAAGTCATGTTTTTACTGTATTTATGTCATTGGTGAAGTTGGTGTTGCTTCAGATATATTCATCATATTATTTGACAGGCTGGTAACCAGGATTTGCAAAGGGGGGTTCAGTTTTCAAAATTTTCCAGGGGGGGGTTCACATTTGACAATTTTGGCCCTAATATGGCTAAAATCACTTGAGAAGTGCTCAAAATGGTGAAAAACTGCATGATTTTGAAAGAATTTTTGGCCAGGGGGGTTCGACCGAACCCTGCAAACCCCCCTGGCTACGGGGCCTGTCTGAGACCACTATAAAATATTCTATGTTAGTCTCAGATATTATAGAATAAATCAAAAGTTTGAACTATGAATTTTCCATTCTGCATATAGGCATTTTAACTGAAACAAAAATATTGTGTTAAAGTCTCCCATATCCTCTTTGTTATGTTACTACCACAAATGGTGACATATTACTATACAATGGCAGGTGGTGACATTTTGAATGTTAAAGCCTTGTCTATTAAGTTTTGTTTTGCCTATTTAAAGTTTTGCTCATCGTTATATTTAGATCCTCTTGACGTTGCTGTTAAAAGCTTGCGACCCAAAAAAGATATATAGGCACCCGGGTTATAGTCTCAGAGGACAAACTCATTGTATATGAACCCAATAGATATTTCAATATTTTACAGTTTTAATGAAAATTGATCTTCAAACTGAATTTGAGTCACTCTAGGGGGAAAATTATATATAAGAGGTATGGCATACACACATGAATGTAAAAAATGTATCATTTGGGGGTTGGGATTAGAGGAATGATGCATTTCCTAAGAGGGGGGGGGGGATTATTTGCTTAGAGGTTCAAACTAGGGCGAAGAAAAAGAACTTTGTTTTAGGTTCTCCCTATAAGAAGAAATCTGTTGTGAAGCTTCAAGGAATGATGCAGTTATTTAGTGGGAGTAAATTATTTTAAAGGGGTATTCCTTGCCAGACCATCTCTCTCCTAATATGGTAGGTATAACCATATTCATACTTTGCAAGTTGGTCAAAAAACAGAACTTAGAAATGTTTTGAAATGGTCAATATTGATCACTTAAAAATGAAGTGCTCAATTCCAGCAGCCATCTTTTAAAATTTCACTCAGGAAGTGATGTCATCGACCTTCAACTTTGCATATAACATTAGGTAAGGAGCTATTAGAATTACTAAACCAGCTGAATATTTTTTTCAATTTGGTCTATGATTAAAATCCTTTTGATGATCTCTTCTTTAGTTCTAAGTTGACAACTCCTGAAAATATTTTTACACAGAAGATAAGGGCTGCTTGTTTAGAAGTGATTTTGTACTTCTTTCCTATCCTGTAATAGACAAGGTTATAACAGGTGAGAGTCAATGACATCACTTCCTGAAAGAAATCTAAAAAGATGGCAGCTTACTGGGAATTAGTACTACATTTTTAAATGATCAATATTGACCATATGAAAAAAATTTCCCGTGTTTTGCTAAATATGTAAAGTATATATATGATTGTAGCTACCATATCAGGAGAGAAATAGTCTGGCAAGGAATGTTCCTTTAAGGGATCCAGTCAGTAAAAATATTCTTGTTATCTATTTGGAATCAGAAATAATCTAACTTCATCATTTGATAATTACGGATATTTAGGGGATAGTATATAAGAGATGGTAAATAATAACTTGAAGACAAATTAAATGATGTTGCTTGCAATAAATTGTATCACTTCACTGGCCGTCCTGGGGGGGGTCCCAGGGGCCTGGGGCTCCCCCTTGGGTGGGCCCAGAAAAAAAATTGGGCCCAAAAAAATGAGCCAAAAAAGGCCTTGAGGCCCGAAAAAGTGGGCCTTTTTGGTCATTAATGGGCCTTCTAAGGCTTTATTTTTTAGTTTTAAGCCAAATTTTGAAGAAAATGGGCCCAAAATTTTTTTCCCCGGGAGTTTTCTTCTCAGATCAGAAATTTGGCACCCCCCTTGTTGGTTCCCAGATCCGCCCATGCACTTTTATTTCTGATTTTGTCTAAATGTGTTTATCAAAAAGTTAAGGTGTAACACAACTAAGACCCTTTAATAGAGTTTCCCCACGGGTATTCCCCTTAATTGATCAGGTGACTAATGATGACACATTCTCAATTCTGACACCCCTCTGCCACTAATTCCTCAATGTATCATTCCGCTATAAATAGTTCTACGTTGCAAGAAAACAAACATATAAATCTTCCTCTCTCTTATTCAATTCATAGAGAATGTAAACAAAATATTTATTAAAGCGCATTTTACCTATTAAACAGCTTTGAAATATATCTCATTAGAACTATTTTCTGTCTGCGTAACCGCATCACTCACCCGGTGCCTCACTTCCTCTTTGCGATCTGACATTCATTTTCAAGAATATTATTTTACGTTTACATTTCAAGTATAGATAGGCAACATGAGTTGGTCTTCATATATTGACAACCTTATCGCATCCGGGCACGTAGAAAAGGCAGCTATCCACGGTCACGACGGTAATGTTTGGGCCACATCACCCGATTTTACGGTAAGTTACCACATTTTTTAGACCCAAAATTTGACCTCATTTTTCCAGATTTTTAGATCTCCTCCCACTTTATATAATCACCTTATCATAGGTATTATATGATTCAATATAGTGTTTATTTATTTATTAAGTTACATTTTACTTAAAGAATAATTCATAACATGACAGACACCAACTTGTCTCTGTTCCAAAGTTGGGAGGGAGGGGGGTTCTCTATCCAACAAACTTGTCTCGAGAATGAGATCACAGCATTCATGTCGCTTTTAACTCCGTTAAGACAGCATGACCTTTACATTTTCTTAGTCTATGTGTCTCTTGCCTTCATGGTCTTTCAAGAGATCAACACCCATGATTTATCCCGTACCAGGACTATATTCCTGTATCGAGCGCATTCTTTTGCCTGTACGATTACAACTTGGGAGAACTATCTACGCCCCTTACACTTAAGATACCTACCTCAATGCATTATAGAACTCAAAATGTAACTTCTAATATATTGGAACCGCCGATTGTCTGGGTATATCGGCAGAACGGGAACGTTTTTCTTTTTCATCGAGAGAGATTCCATCACTTTTCAAGATGGTGGTTGGATTTAAAAGGGGATTCCCCGTCTGACTGTCCCGGATGTGGCCCGGAAGTACCCAAAATGGAGTAATTAATTATGACGGTTGAAATAAGTTAAATATTACACGCAAATATTGCGATCAAAAACGAAAATTTCTTCGTTCTGCCGATAAACCCAGACAATTGTGGATTCAACTACACGAAAAGAATGCTAAAATACCAAGGAATCTATTGAAGTAGGTATCTGAAGTGTAAGAAGCGTAAAAAATTCTCCCATGTTGTAATCGCACAGGCAAAAGATTGAGATGTTCACAGGACTATAGTCCTGGTACGGGATAACCCATGATCTCTTCAACCACAGTCACAGAGCCAATCAGAGATCGTCGTCGAAATACGGACGACTTTCTTATTACATCACCGCATAGTTAATGAGCATGTATTTACCATGCGTTCCTTCCACTTCGCTGATTGGTTGAAAAAGGGTCAGCGTGGAAGATTTGGAATGATTTATTTCCCGGGCTGTCACAGGCACAAATCTTTTAGACCATAAGAAACTGTCAAAAATCAGGCCAGGCAGTTCAATTTTAGAAAGAAATTATATGAGAACTTATGGATCAATCCTCGTATAGCTAATATGTGTGGAGATGTGGCATCACTAACATGAGTCAATATACCTATCTTAAAGCAAACAGACTGGATTTATATCCTTATGTTTGACTGTCATATTACTGTGTTGACTTTGAAAGATAAAGCAAAGTGTGCTGTCCATAAAATAAGAGCACAGTGTCTGGTCCATTGAGAAATGTAGACATTCATCATAAGATTTTTTGATATTTTTAGAAGTTGGTATATTACAATGAGTAAGAGTTTGCCACTACAAATGTACAGTCCAAAAAAGAGCACATATTCTCAATGATGGTCTATTGAGAAATGTGGACATTTATCACAAGATATTTGTTTGAAGTTTGTATATTACAATGGAGTAGAAGTAGTGCCATATTTAAAGTGAACTGTCAACAAAAATAGCACAGACTCTCCATGGTGGTCCATTGAGAAATAGACACACTCCAGAGTAAAGGGAAACTATAAAATGTAAAATGACTATTAAAATATCGTTTTATGCTTAAAAGCGCATCTAATTATTAAAATCACATGCGAAAAATGCCAGGGGTACACAGGTACAGTAAGTACTAAGATGGAGCTCTCTCTTAAAGTGAAATCAGATTATTGGGCCAGATTATTGGATATTTAAATAAATATGCACAATTGCCAAAGGGAAGGGAGCAGATATTGTTAAAGAACACAGCAAGAAAACAACATCTTAAAGTATACCATTCATAAAGAAAACAAACCCCAACATCCTAAACTGTAAGAAACAATGTCTTAAACCCCCTCCCTCATTCAACTACCTTTATAACAATCCAAGACCCCACAACACCAGGTGACATTTCATTCATACATTCATTCATAGCCAGATACATCCTTGCAGCAAGTATATAGTATTTAAGCATAAATGAAGGTCTTTGAAGAAGGATGAACTTGATATAAACCTTTCTGAGAAAGAAGGGGGCTTAATAACAGTACCACATGGCTTTAAATGTACAGTAATGAGACATATAATATCATTTTGACCTGTACTTAAATTACTTTATCAGACTGAATTGAATAAATGGATCATTATCAATGAGTAAGAAATCAGAGATGACTCATTTATACCATAGAGGATACTAATTAACCCTTGGGAATATGACAAAATACTTTTTAACCCTTTCAAGTCCATGACAAAATAAATTAACCCCTTCAAGTATATGACAAAATATTTATTAACCTTTGCAGGCCTATGACAAAATACTTAAGGTTTAAACTTTACAAGTCTATATGTCAAAACCCCTTTTAGTCTTTGACAATAATTAACCTTTGTAAGCCTATGACAAAATACCTATTTTTGTCTGTAACAAAAGTTTTTTCGCCTTATTTTCGTATTAAGTGAAGTAAAGGTGTTTAAGAGTAGTGTACACTTTGAGTTGGGTGCATGGTGGGTGCAGTTTCTAGTTTTTTCCATTTTGCTGGGGAGATCAATGATATTTGTAACATTCAAGGAAATACAATGGCTTAGACAAGTGGTGTCATAATTCATATTGATTCAGCAAATAAGGAAACTATTTGTTCAGATAATATTTGATGAAATACTCTCTATAATTAACACTTTCAATTTCCTCCTAGCACCACCGATGTTTGGGAGGGGGGAGATTTTTAATATAAAATGAATTAATCGAATTCAATTTTGGTTGGATAGTCTGTTCAAAGGGCTGAAGCCCATATTAAAAAATAAATATACAGTATATAACACCCCTCACTTAGATACCATATCCTCCCCTATAGGGAAATGTTGCTTATGGGAAGTTGGGAAGTTGGTGTCTTAAATGTTTAATTTTGAACATACACATATTATACATATTTTATTACATATTTTGAAAGAGGAAATGATTTATCAATTTTATCATATCTTGCACTTAAATATTGTATAGTGCTGACATGTTATCATGATCATTTAATAATTTGATATCAGTCGATTCTTTGATTGATTTCAACTGCTTTGATTGCATAAACATGTGTTATCATTTTTGTTAACAGATTTTTATTTGTATTTAAAGCAGCAGCTGTTTATGAGAGGCAACGTCCAGTCAGAACATCTGTACTATTAGCTCACTGCTTTTTTATTTTAAATTTAATTTTAGTCATCATGAAATGAAAGTGCAATTAGCAAGAAAACAAGAGGTAAACCATAAACTGACATGAATATTAGCTTGCAATACTAGAGATCAAGCCACCTTTATACCGGTCCTTTATACCTCTTGTAGATGTGATTCGGTTTACGAAAATTGATGACATCAGACATAAACACCTTCATTGTTTGTCTTAAATGATAACTTTTCACATTTTAGGCACAACAAGGACGTATAAGAGATTAGGGATGGATTCAAGTGTCAACAGTTTTGGAGGAATGAAGATTATTTTTTAAAAGGGATGTGTCATGTTTATATTGACAGTCTTTAATTTTTGATGTGATTTTCAGGTGTCCCCAGCGGAGGTTGCGGCTTTAGCTAATAATTGGGCAGGGGGTAACTTTAGGGCATCAGGCGTGTCCTTAGCAGGAGAAAAATATATCTTTTTAAGAGGCCCACCTGACGAAATGTTATATATAATCGGGAAAAAGGGTCAAGGGGGATGTACAATTTGCAAGTGCAAGCAATGTAAGTCATCATCTGTCGGTCACATGACTGATTTCATCCAATCAGTGTGGTTGTATGAGTCATGTGACCGAAAGCCAGATCATGTGATTTTGATTTAGCCAATGAGATGGCAGGGTTAAGGTCACAGGATCAGTGCTGATACAGGAATGGATGCTTCATGCATGATTTGCATAAGATGGGTTAAATGAATACTGAGGATGCCCTAATATGGTATTAGGCAGCTTCATTCATTTTGTACCATTTGTTGACTTATGTATTGTCTATTCACCAGATAATATATTAGCTTTGTGGCTTAATTCACAACTAAATTTGTACACATCTGAGGCAGTCTATTTCACAGATTCTAGAATGACTCAAACTGAGCAGATGCTCCGTGAAGTGGACTTTTAAAGCTTATGTTCTGGCTGTTTCATTTGATTCATTAAAACAAGGGTAGTTTCCATGCCTAAAGATACAATTCGCAGCTCACAATTTGCAAGAGTTTCGCATGATAAAACCCCACTCAAATTATTGATACCATGATCAACTCACGGTACAAAGAGCAATGAATGGGAGAGGGGCCTCTGTGAATGTGCATTTTGCCTGAAAAGGCTCCTTACAATTAATAAATTCATTGGGGCATGGATACTACTTGTGATTAAAGCATGCTAAGCTGTCGGACTAACTCTGGAGTTGGAGGTGGCAATTTGAATCTCTCAATTTATGATTTTTCAAATCATCTATGTTCACACACTCTTGGTTGTTCCTCAGTGCTGTTGTTTATTTTTCTTCATTGTACACTAATCTATGCTTATTTGATGTCGTTTATAACATTTACAATTTTGATGTCAGCTCATAGATCTGATGTCAGCTTGATCAATCTGATGTCAGCCCCATAGATAATTGAGATGGATCAGGAAGAACATCAGCTGGATGCAAATTAATTGTGATGCCATTATGATCTTACCATGGCAACCATATAGACAATGTATGTTCATAAGAATCACCAGAAGTTTAAGATGTATCACCAAGGCAACCAAACACAATATTTATACTCAGTTATTGTTTATAGTGTAGTCAAGCAGAGGTAGCAACATTAAATGGAGCAGTATCGAATCCTGAGACTCTTCGAACAACTGGGATTCACCTGAATGGAAAGAAATACATGTTTATAAAAGCAGATGATAATGTCCTCATTGGAAAACAAGGAAATACTGGGTGTTCTGTAGCCAAATGTAAACAATGTGAGTATTTGATCAGTGTGAGTATTGAGTTTAATGTGAATATTTGATTAGTGTGAGTATTGAGTTTAATGTGAGTATTTGATCAGTGTGAGTATTGAGTTTAATGTGAGTATTTGATCAGTGTGAGTATTGAGTTTAATGTGAATATTTGATTAGTGTGAGTATTGAGTTTAATGTGAATATTTGATCAGTGTGAGTATTGAGTTTAATGTGAGTATTTGATCAGTGTGAGTATTGAGTTTAATGTGAGTATTTGATCAGTGTGAGTATTGAGTTTAATGTGAATATTTGGCAGTATTGAGATAGAATATATTAGGGTTTAATGCTAGTATTGAAGTGGAGTATGAGTATTGAGGTGGAATACAAGTATGTATTGATTTTTAATGCTAGTATTGAAGTTGGATATGAGTATTGAGGTGGAATACAAGTATGGGGTTAAATGCTAGTATTGGAGTATGAGTATTGAGGTGGAGTACAAGTATTGTGTTAAATGCTAGTATTGGAGTATGAGTATTGAGGTGGCATACAAGTATGTATTGGTTTTAAATGCTAGTATTGAAGTGGAGTATATGAGTATTGAGGTGGAATACAAGTATGTATTGGTTTTAAATGCTAGTATTGAAGTGGGATATGAGTATTGAGGTGGAATACAAGTATTGGTGTTAAATGCTAGTATTGAAGTGGAGTATTGAGGTGGAATAAGAATATTATGGTTTAAATTCTAGTATTGAAGTGGAGTATGAGTATTGAGGTGGAATACAAGTATGTGTTGGTTTTAAATGCTAGTATTGAAGTGGGATATGAGTATTGAGGTGGAATACAAGTATTGGTGTTAAATGCTAGTATTGAAGTGGAGTATTGAGGTGGAATAAGAATATTATGGTTTAAATTCTAGTATTGAAGCGGCAGAGTATGAGTATTGAGGTGGAATACAAGTATGGTGTTAAATGCTAGTATTAAATGGAGTATTGAGGTGGAATAAGAGTATTGAGGGTGGAATAAGAGTATTGGGATTAAATGTGAGTATTGAAGTGGAATATAAGCATTGGGTTAAATCTTACTATTCAAGTAGAATATGAATATTGGTGTTAAATCTTACAATTGAATATAGTGGAATATGAATATTGGGTTAAATGTGAGTATTGAAGTGGAATATAAGTATTGGGTTTAATGTGAGTATTGAAGTGGAATATGAGTATTGGGTTTAATGTGAGTATTGAAGTGGAATATAAGTATTGGGTTAAATGTGAGTATTGAAGTGGAATATGTGTATTGGGTTTAATGTTAGTATTGAAGTGGAATATAAGTATTTGTTTAAATGTGAGTATTGAAGTGGAATATAAGTATTGGGTTTAATGTGAGTATTGAAGTGGAATATGAGTATTGGGTTTAATGTGAGTATTGAAGTGGAATATAAGTATTGGGTTAAATGTGAGTATTGAAGTGGAATATAAGTATTGGGTTTAATGTGAGTATTGAAGTGGAATATAAGTATTGGGTTTAATGTGAGTATTGAAGTGGAATATAAGTATTGGGTTTAATGTGAGTATTGAAGTGGAATACATTGAAGTGCAGGGCTCTCTCTAGGCTTTCAGACTATAGCAGAATTTGAGTATTGAAGTGGAATTTGAGTGTTGAGGTGAAATGTGAGTATTGAGGTAGAATATGGGTATTGAAGTATATTTTGAGCATTGAGATGGACTGTGAACTGAGGTGGAATGTTTTGAGGTATAATGAGGGTTATTGTTGTTCAGTGTGAGTATTGAGGTATACTGTGAATATTGAGGTACACTGTGATTATTGAGGTAAAATGTGAGTATTGACTATTGAGGTACACAGTGAGTTTTGAGATAGAATATCAGCATTGAGTTTTGTTATAATAATAGGCTCGCTGAATATCATCACAAAATGTGAACATAATAACAAAATTCGAAACTAAAACTAACAGTCATAACCATGTTGTGCGCTAAGAGCAGTTGCATGTAAATAATTCCGAGGAATGCCACATGTGATGTAGGCCTACTATGATAAAAAGGCCTACTATGATAGTCCTAGTATGATATATAGACCTACTATGAAAAAGAGGCCTACTATGATAAAGTATAAAATGATAAATAGTTGGTCTAGTATGATAAATAGGCCTGCTTGAAATAGTTTAAGAATTATTGAATTTCTATGGGAAATTTATATGTCGTTATTTTACAGAAAAATTTCAGAAATTTTGTGTTTGGAAACATTGAGATGATACTGTGGCATTTAAAGGAAGAACCGCTTTAAATATTCATCAGCTTTGGTGTGTTGTTATATTAACTTCAACTAGCTACTATGTAAATTACATACATATTCTTTCTTCACTAGATTAACAAGTACTATTTGTATTTTGTCACATTGGGGAAATCTGCCGAAACTATAGTTTCTGCAATTTTTTCCAAATTTTCAAAGATGGGGTAGAATAGAAAAAACCATGGCCATGTGTAGTTTTTCTCCATCATAATTGTCCAGGGGTCTAATTAGTTTTAATTTAATTTTAATTTTATCATGCAGGGTGTCTCAAAAATTTTGTGCATATGATAATTTTGAAGATTAAATATTTCTTAACTAATTTTTATATTCGCATATTTGTAGTTTTGAATTTTTCGATTTTGGGTAGGTGTGACATATCTGTGTGCTCTGCCCAGATGTTAAGCAATACCCTACCCACCCACTGTTGAAAATACAAAAAAAATCAAACCTGCTTTTTTTATTTCAGGTATTGTCATAGCAGTATACAATGATAAAATGCAACCAGGCGCTTGCAACACTGCAACCACTAAAATAGCAGATTACTTAATTTCAAGCAACTATTAGCAAATCAAGGTAAGAAAACAAAACTGTTATAAAATGTTAGGGGTAAGAGTTGGGGGTTATTGGTAGTCAAGCAACTATTAGCAAATTAAGGTAACAAAACAAAACTGTTATAAAATGTTAGGGGTAAGAGTTGTGGATTGTTGGTAGTCAAGCAACTATTAGCAAATTAAGGTAACAAAACAAAACTGTTATAAAATGTTAGGGGTAAGAGTTGTGGATTGTTGGTAGTCAAGCAACTATTAGCAAATCAAGGTAAGAAAGCAAAACTGTTATAAAATGTTAGGGGTGAGAGTTGGGGGTTGTTGGTAGTCAAGCAACTATTAGCAAATTAAGGTAAGAAAACAAAACTGTTATAATATGTTAGGGGTAAGAGATAGGGGTTGTTGGTAGTCAAGCAACTATTAGCAAATTAAGGTAAGAAAACAAAACTGTTATAATATGTTAGGGGTAAGAGATAGGGGTTGTTGGTAGTCAAGCAACTATTAGCAAATTAAGGTAAGAAAACAAAACTGTTATAATATGTTAGGGGTAAGAGATAGGGGTTGTTGGTAGTCAAGCAACTATTAGCTAATCAAGGTAAGAAAACAAAACTGTTATAAAATGTTAGGGGTAAGAGATGGGGGTTGTTGGTAGTCAAGCAACTATTAGCTAATCAGAGATCACGATAGTTGAAAAAACTTGTTAGCCATTGTGGCTAAATCTTCCAAAAAAATTTTCGCCAACCAAAATATGAATTAGCCATTTTGAAAAACTGTAAAAAAGGGAACATTAAAAATGATGCAATGTCTGATGATGACAGTTTCACTTTCAGTTTCACTTTTCAAAATCATATTCAGAAATAAAAAAACGTCAATTAAAATTGAATGTAAAGCATCTGCCGCGAATGTGATCGGCATTTTACATAGTCTGCACGGTGTAGTATCACCAATTCGTTTACCTTGTGATATCGGAGTCCCAAAATACTTCCAAACTGCCGACTTTTTCGACTTAAATGCCGGCTCGATTTTTCAATTTCTCTCCTACATCCGGCATACTGATAATGCACTCGATTTGCGAACGACGGTGAAGAAATTTACGAACAAGCATTACCATCTACCTGAAATCGCGGGTCCGTTAATAACACTTTTCAATGCAAAGAAGTGTAATCTAGGTACGAGGTAAGTGAAAATATTTAATTTTTCAGAACGAAATCGGAGGTGTTCCTCGCTATTTATACACGTTTTTATGCATTTTAGGGAAAGAATCTATGTACCGATATTAACCCTTTCTGTCTCATGTCCCGAACCGAAGCATCTGGACCGAAATTCGGTCCAATATCGGGAAACCGTGACACCTCTAATTCGCCATAACTGCGAAATACCTTTACATATTTTTCGCCACCTCTTTTGAAAATTTGCGATTGGCGAATGGCGAACGTCTACCGTGATCTCTGTAGCTAATCAAGGTAAGAAAACAAAACTGTTATAAAATGTTAGGGGTAAGAGTTGGGGGTTGTTGGTAGTCAAGCAACTATTAGCAAATCAAGGTAAGAAAACAAAACTATTATAAAGTGTGCTCACAATGATGGGAAGTGTTCACAAGGATGAAATTGTATTCTCTGTTGCATGCACAATGTTAATAGGGTCATTTGCTACAAAACAGGAATATTTATCTTAGCTCTGAAAGGGTAAGGTCTCTCTTACGCTTAACCATTATAAGAACTCTTCTATCTCATTAAGGTTGGTGAGGGTCTTATGTTTTCTTCAATTGACCCATCCTTGAATAGTTCAGTTATACTTTTAAAAAATTCAATTAACATTCTAGAATTTTATTAGAATATAGCTTTTGGCCAAGGCATAAAAATTGAGCATATTAATATTTTATTGAGTGGTTAAAGTCAATGTTGACAATCTATGTTAGGTAACCATGGTTTTTGAACCTTTTGTACATGGTTGTTTTTTCCAAATCACAAATTATAGCAAAAAATCATATTTTCATCTTCGTTTCAAAATTTTAAAAGAATATATGGCTCTATTTAAAATTTGATTACATTTTATTGGGGGGTAAAGGTCTAGATTTATGATATATGTAACTATGTATCTATGTTTGGTGTCATGCAAAATGTCAAGTACTTGAGCAGTTTAGTTTGTAGATAAATAGATATGTAAAGTCAGATTAGGTGCTATCTCTGAATAAGACAAATGAATATACAGTTTTAATGTCAATTTGATCTTAATAAGCTCACATGAAGCTTAGGGTGGCTCATAATAATTTTTTTTTGGAAATGTTATGCTTCTACAAAGTATGATATCGGGCGACGCCCACTAATGTTAAGCCAATGGGCAAATTTCAAAGGCTGTGGGGGACCCCTAAAAGTTGACTAAAAAATTTGAAAAAAATCACAGGTGATATTTACCCCAAAATGCAACTCGATTCACGTAGGGAGCATAACATTTCCAAAAAAAAATATTTTGAGCCACCCTTATGATGCTGCCATAGAAACACTTTTAAGGTACACCCCCAATCTGCACTCTGAAATCGCTGTACTGTACCATACATTTATAGTATGTTACCATACTGTTTTCATGGAACCCTTTGGTTCTGTTTCTAGTAGTTTGACTTTGTTAACACTTTTCCCAGCCAGTCTTGGAAAGTCTGCATTCCTTCATCCTCCTAAGCAGGTGTCCAGAATCCGTACCTCCTTCTTCCCCCTGCTATAACTAATTTGGAAGCGCCCAATTAAACTGAATCACGTGATCTAATTATGCGCAATGACTTATACATGATTTCTGTTGCAGTGTTGCGACAGCCAATCAGATTGGGAAGAATATATTCTGGATTATATTCTGGTATAAAATATAAAAGGAAAAATATTGAATATTATATTAAAGTAGAAATTATGGAATATGAAGAAATATGAGGAAATTGATAGAAGGAATATGGAATATGGGGTCGCAGAGGAAAAGCGTCTACAAACATGAATATGAACTATGGTCCAAAGAAAAAAATTAGAAAAAATGCCACTCCTTTCCTCTCACCCCATGGGGATTGGAATTATTATGAAATTATTAGAATTCCACAGAAAAATCTTGAGTTTTAAAAGCATTGTAATAGATTGAATACAAAGGGTGGGAGATAAGATAGTACCAGTGCTGAAATGGTCATAATGGTTCTGCCAATTCACATAATATCTCTATTTGAGTGAACTGTCTGATTCCTTGACATTTCTATACAATTAAGAGTGTTGACTTCATGTCTGTTTACTTTATTCCTTGCTATTTTCACTCTTTTCTCTCTAAAATTTGAATGAAGTGTCTGATTTTCTTGCATTTCTATAAAATTAAGAGCGTTGACTCCACACCTGTTTACTTTATTCCTTGCTGATTCCGATCTTTTCTCTCTAAAATTTGAATGAAGTGTCTGATTTTCTTGCATTTCTATACAATTAAGAGCGTTGACTCCACATCTGTTTACTTTATTCCTTGCTGATTTCACTCTTTTCTCTCTAAAATTTGAATGAAGTGTCTGATTTTCTTGCATTTCTATACAATTAAGAGCGTTGACTCCACATCTGTTTACTTTATTCCTTGCTGATTCCGATCTTTTCTCTCTAAAATTTGAATGAAGTGTCTGATTTTCTTGCATTTCTATAAAATTTAGAATGTTGACTCCACATCTGTTTACTTTATTCCTTGTTGATTTCACTCTTTTCTCTCTAAAATTTGAATGAAGTGTCTGATTTTCTTGCATTTCTGTACAATTAAGAGCGTTGACTCCACATCTGTTTACTTTATTATCCCATCGAACGAAGTTCGGAGGGATATAGGGAACGCCTCCGTCCGTCCGTCCGTCCGTCTGTCCGTCCATCCGTCTGTCCGGGCAATAACTCAAATACCGTTGGCCCGATTTTGTTCATATTTTGTACACATATACCCTATGGGAGTAGAAGTTCTGCTCGAAAGCCGATTTTCAAAATGGCCACTAATTTCAAAATGGCCGCCATTTTAGTGACGATTTTACATTAATTTAGGTGCAATATGTAAAACTATAATAGTAATATGTTTTAAATGTAAAAAAATTATAAAGAACATTAATAATGCTACAAATGTAGATATTAAAGAAGCACATGGCAGCCATCTTGAAAAATGGCGGCCTTTACTCGTCATTTTACGATTTTTGCTGTAACTCAAAAAATAGTGGAGCGATTTTGTTCATATTTGGAATGTGAATACTATAAGCATTGCACACTGTCTAAAGACACTTTTGGTAGAAGGCGGCCATTTGAAAAATGGCTGCCATTTTAACGTATTTTACTATAACTCGAAAAGTAGTGGAGCGATTTTGTTCATATTTGGTATGTGAATACTATAAGCATGGCACACTGTCCTATGCCACTTTTAGTAGAAGGCGGCCATTTTGAAAAAAATTTTGAAAAATGGCCGCCATTTTACTATAACTCGAAAAGTAGTGGAGCGATTCTGTTCATATTTGGTATGTGAATACTGTAAGCATGGCACACTGTCTATTTCTAATGACACTTTTGGTAGAAGGTGGCCATTTTGAAAAATGGTGCTATTTTAACGTATTTTACTATAACTCGAAAAGTAGTAGAGAGAATTTGTTCATATTTGATATGTGAATACTTTAAGCATGGCACATTGTCTAATAAAACTTTGGGGAGTAGTTGGCCATTTTGAAAAATGGCCACCATTTTTATGTGTGTTGTTTTACAAGTACGTGTGCGATTTTTCAAAAATTTTAGAGGTGGCTACTTAAAAGCATATTATTTCTTCTGATGACAACTTGGCTAGTGAGCAACCATTTTGAAAATGGTGGCCTTTCTGGTGTGTTGATTTATGATATTTGCGCTTCGTTTGTAAAAATGCCAGGCATTTCTGTTCGATGGGATTCGCTACGCTTTGGTGTTGCCATTGTTCTGGTTCCTGGCTGATTTCACTCTTTTCTCTCTAAAATTTGAATTATGTCTGTTTACTTTATTCTTTGCTGATTTCACTCTTTTCTCTCTAAAATTTGAATAAAATGTCTGATTTTCTTGCATTTCTATAAAATTAAGATCGTTGACTCCACATCTGTTTACTTTATTTCTTGCTATTTTCACTCTTATTCACTATTTTGCATTTCAAAACATGACCACCATGACATTTTTCTCAAAGTGTATTTACTTGAGAGACATTTTACATGTATTTAGAAGATTCCTACTGCGTGTTTTTGCAATAAAAGACAAATGTTCAGATTGTCCTTTTAAAGGGTCTTGTCTTTAGTGCACGTTTTTTTTTATTATTATCTTGGGCTGAATATTGAAGGTTGTTGTATGAGATACATGCCTATGAAAGGCAAGAAAAACATGGGGATCTTGTGATTTTCAACATCAACTTTGAGGAAGTATCAAATTCCCTGGGGGCTGCCATGTGATTCTTGCATGTCTTACCATGGTTTTTAGTAAAATTGAAAGCGTGCCAACATATATTCTATTATGCTAATGTCACTTTAAAGTATTTATTACAGGCCATGTACTTAAACTTTGTAGACCCATGTAGTTGATTTATGGTGAAAGGTTTGACTTTAAAAAACTGAAGATGTTGCACCTTTCTGATATGATCACTAATGCCTGGGTCACATTTGCTCCGATTTTCACTATGGCGCCCGGCCGATTGAGTATTTTGTTCAAAATTGAATACAATATTGAGCAAAACACTCAATCGGCCGGGCGCCGGCCGATGGATCAGGGCAAATGTGACCCAGGCATTAGTTAAGAAGGGAACCAGTTCAAAAACATGAACAAGGTGAAATTTGCCAAATGGACATGTTTTATCATTTTCCTTATTTTGGTTTTCCTAATGACAAGACGCGTCCCATTGGAAAACAGTATAAAGATAATATTTCCAACATTTAATTTTCTGAACCTGGCAAAAATTAGGCAATAGGCAAATCAAATGTTAAGCAAAATTACTTATTCAGTAGCATGGTCATTTACTGTAAAACGGGTATTGTTAGCGAGGGGTAATTGTTAGCGATTGTTAGCGATCACTATAGTTTCGCTAAAAATTCAATTCGCTAAAATAAACCGGGGTTAAAATAAACCGGACGCTAAAATTTGCAAATTCCCGGGAAACTACATGAATACTAGTATTTAAGGAGCTTTTCATTCAGTGCTCGACTTCCGGTTTGTAATTTGAAAAAGGTAAATATTTTTAAATCGTATGTTTCTTTCAATATCTGAAGGATAAATAGCCATCCATCCAGTTTGGACCAATACCATGTGCGTTAGAAGTCTTACATTTTGATAATTCCTCTGTCATGTCCGTTATTCATTCTTCTGCCATAAATGATAAAATTTCTAATGCATTTCGCTAATTTGATTTTTTAAAGATTAATCTTCATTTCGCTAAAATTTCCCGCGTTAAAACCCCCTAAAATTGAAAAATCGCTAAAATTTCCCGGTGTCAAAATTACCCGTTTTACAGTATTTAGAGATTTTGGTATAAGTTATGATCATGCCACCTTTTATTACATGTTGTGGCTGCGGAATACTAGAAATGTAGAATGTCATTGATTTACTTGTTTGTTTACTTGGATTGTTTGTTTATTTGGATTGTTTGTTTACTTGGATTGTTTGTTTACTTGGATTGTTTGTTTACTTGGATTGTTTGTTTACTTGTATTATTTGTTTACTTGGTTTGTTTTTTAGAATTTTGAAATTAATGAATTTATTGTTATTCTGTTTTCAGGTCATGCTCAATGAGGAGAGAACATTTTAGAGACATCAACTACTTACATCATTCATGTTCAGGGCTCTAAAGAAGAATTGTAGTGGCCCAAAACCTGTATATTGATGATATCTGAATATCGAGATCAGCATTATTATATGATTTAAAGTGTTGTACATATTTAATGTACTGAATCAATGCTATACATGTTCACAGTCTGTGTGGATTGAAACTGGGCCCTGAACATGATTACTAAGTGGAAAATGTGATACAATTAATGGAGATAAAACACCGAGAGTTATAGCAAGAGAAATCCAATTAAAGAACACGAAAGGAAAATTGGTTCGCTGGAAAATTGGAAGACAAGTCATCAACAAAAATGAGACATTTGGACAAATAGATGAAGAAAACCAAAACTCACCCCTGTGAAGTCATTCTGTTTTTTACCAGAAAATTTAGTAAATGCTGATCATAAACGGTTGCATACCTTCTATACAATTCGTTTCACCAATGTAAACTGTTTCCTAGCATCACTTGTGTAACTTTAACATAGAATGGCTTCATTGGTGTGAATACAATAAGTAACTGATATTATCATTTACAAGTCCAATCCATAAGTCACATCATAAACAAGTCCAATCTGTTAAGTCACATCATCTACAAGTCCAATCCATAAGTCACATCATAAACAAGTCCAATCTGTTAAGTCACATCATCTACAAGTCCAATCTGTTAGGTCACATCATAAACGAGTCCAATCTATTAAGTCACATCATAAACAAGTCCAATCTGTTAAGTCACATCATAAACAAGTCCAATCTGTTAGGTCACATCATCTACAAGTCCAATCTGTTAAGTCACATCATAAACAAGTCCAATCCATAAGTCACATCATCTACAAGTCCAATCTGTTAGGTCACATCATCTACAAGTCCAATCTGTTAAGTCACATCATAAACAAGTCCAATCTGTTAAGTCACATCATGAACAAGTCCAATCTTTTAGTCATTTTACAAATTAATTCACCTACAAGAAAATCTTGTAAATACTTAAAACTACAATTGTTAAATATTCCTCTGTTTTAGTGGATTCCACCTATGGGTTTTCGAATTTTTAGTCAAGAAAGCCCTTGGTAATTTATGTCATAGTTTTCATAGGGTAATTTTATGATTTGCGGTTCATTCTAGAAATTAATATATTTTTCTAGTCTTGCTAAACACACGAGACGTTATCCTCAACCCAAAATGTTAAAAATGTTTTTTACATTATTGTATCCTAGTAATTTTGTAAGTAATTGTATCTGAATTGTATTTATTGCAATAATTGTTTTACAATATGCCATATTGTTTATTGAATTGTGTTGTTGCCATAGTGTTGCATAGGTTGCTATGCCAACCAATCGTTATATATCACCAGAAGTCAAATTGTAATCTAAGTCACCCAGGAAAATATTTGTTAAGATTTTACAATATCCAGAATTTAGAATTGAATGTTTGTTAAAATTTTCCTATTTTTGAATTGCCATATTTAGATTAACAATTCCTTACTTTCTTTGTATTTAACTGTTGCAGTTTTGTTAGTGTCATTCACTAATTGCTTTTAGTGCTTTTAAATAGTGCAATCATTTAATAAAAATATGATGCTCAGTTAGCAAGCAACAGTCATGGTTTTTAAGTGAGTTTATATTGTTACCATGGCAATGTAGTCACTTCTTATAGTTACCCTAGCAATCAAGTAACACTTGACTGTTGCTATGGTAACTCAGTTTATGGGTTTTGTCATCTATGAAAGTATGCTTTAAGTCAATTTGTTTAATATTTTAAGTTTAATGTCTTGATATTTTAAAATGCATTTTTCCTGACAATTGTAATGTAGAAGTATATCCCATGGATATCACATTTACCAATTGGATATCATATTTGTCCAGTGGATATCATATTTAATCACTACACTGGATATCATATTTAACCCAAGATGTATATCATATCTTCATTGAAATAATTAGTAAGCATTAAAGATAAATTATAAGCTTTAAAGATATTATTTAAAATCTCGGTGCATTTACTAGGTGTAGAGTGGTATAGAACATTGCGTTGGCCAAATTTTCAAGTTATAGCATTTTAAATTTTGTTGAGAATTGCGTTGAATTCTTCATTATAGGAGTTAGATAATTATCTAATAAAGATTTTCTATGTATATCATATACACCGTTGTTTGTTTGTTGCTTGTTATGCCTTATTATGCCACTGCTAAGAAGTTTTAAGGGATGGTGTAAATTATCAACAGTAGTGGAAAAATGAAGTTAATTATCCCATCGAACGAAAATTGAACGAAGTTCGGAGGGATATAGGGAATGCACCCGTCCGTCTGTCCGGTCAATTATTCAAATACCATTGGCCTGCAGGCCTGATTTTGTACATATATACCCTATGGGGGTAGAAATTCTGCTCGAAAGTTGATTTTCAAAGTGGCCGCTCATTTAAAAATGGCGGCCATTTTAGTGCTGATTTTACACTAATTTAGGTGCAATATGTAAAACTGTAATAGCAATATGTTTTAAATGTGAAAAAATTATAAAGGACATTAATAAAGCTAGAAATGTAGATATGGCAGTCATCTTGAAAAATGGCAGCTATTACTCGTTATTTTACGATTTTTACTGTAACTCGAAAAGTAGTGAAGTGATTTTGTTCATATTTGGTATGTGAATACTCTAAGCATGGCACACTGTCTAAGGACACCTTTTGTAGAAGGTGGCCATTTTGAAAAATGGCCGCCATTTTACTATAACTCTAAAAGTAGTGGAGCGATTGTGTGCATGGCGCACTGTCTAATGACACCTTTGGTAGAACGTGTTTGGTTTAATGTATTTTACTATAACTCAAAAAGTAGTGCAGCGATTTTGTTCATATTTGGTATTTGAATACTATATAGGTAGTAAGCTAGCACCCAAAAATGTATTAGTTCGTGAACAAATTGAAATTACTTGTGTCTTATGTATTTTTATGTGATACTTCAGAAAATGTTTGTCTGACGCGCCATATCCGGGGCGAAAGTTGTCAAATTGGCGTTTTCGACCCTAAAATGGAAAATTACAGGGGGTACTTTATCATCACTGAATAAATCATTCTGTTAGTCTTCAATCATCATAATAATTTTATGGGGAGTTGATTGGATCATGCTGAGGTAGTATGTAAAATTTCAATGCTCTGTCACTCATGGTTGTCATGGAAACCCCAATTTTCGTTCAAAATATCCTTAATTTTGCAAAACCTGAACATGTACATCATGTAGAATATGGATTATTTTTTGAATCCACACATATCAGCACATTTTAGCACACTCAAAATAACCAGTACAGTTCAAACATTTGTTTAAATATAAAGGATATTGCAATTTACATGATTGGTCAGTGTCAAAGAACATACAATTACATGAGTGATCAAAAGTGGGCGTCGCCCCCATAATAGTAGATGATTGCTATACTCTATAAAAACAGAGTTTAACTTGACTTTTGAGATACATTTACACTAGACTTATTTGATTATATTTTATATCAAGCATTTCTAGTAAATAATGTACATCTTAGTGTTATAGTTATTGCATGGGGGGGGGGGGGTACAGAGGGGGGCTAGTAAAAGAATTGGGAGGAGGCAGAGCTAATCAACCTTAAGTATGAAACTCATCTACATATATCTGGATTTCATGGGGTACATCTTCTGGGTCTTCTTCATATTCATCTCAATATATGGGATATTACAACTTATCCCACCCTAAGTGCTTTATATGATTGTATAATAGCATTGTATAATTGCAATATAAAACCAACACTCATCGTATACAACTCTTGAGAACGATATACAACTCCTGGATAGCGTATACAACTCCTGGGCAGCGTATACAACTCTTCGACTTGATATACAACTGCTGAATTTAGATTAACCTTTTATTGATTAAAGATTGGGGTGGGATAATAAGATCATATAATGGTTGATTCTGTATATCGTTATACTCACGTGAGTATATTATATATTCACTTGTTCCCTTCAGTCACTCGTGAATATATCATATACTCACTTGAGTATAAACACGATATACGGAATCAACCATTATATAACCTCATATTACATGATTGGTCAGTGTCAAAGAACATACAATTACACAAGTAATCAAAACTGGGCGTCGCCCCCATACTAGAGTAGATGATTGCTATTCTCTATAAAACCAGAGTTAAACTTGACTTGAGATACATTTACATTGGACTTCTTTGATTATACTTTATATTTTTTTCTGGTAAAGAATGTACAACTCAGAGCAATGGTTATTGCATGAGGAGGGGTTGGGTTAGTAACAGAATTGGGTATTTTCTGGGTCTTCTTAGTTATATCAATATACTGTATATAGTTATATGGGAGGGGGTAGTAACAGAATTTGGAGGTGTGGGGGGAACAAGTCAGCATTTAGTATCAATTTCATCTTCAGAGTTCTGGATTTCATAAGATACATCTTCTGGAGTCTTTCTGATTCATCTCCTGGTGCTATATCAACAATCATTTGTATGAGCATACTAGTCAATACCCATGTCCTGCTGGACTGTCAGGATTTACAATATGGGCCATATGCACGATAAGTGCTTTGTAGTAAGCTCTTGACAAGGTGGAAGAAGACTGATGTCGGTTCCTTCATAGTCTTTGATTGTTTTAGTATGGGGTCTAAACTTCTATTTCAATTGGTTTATCTGGTTTTGCTGGTGTAAGACATTGTGGCTTAACATAAATGCTTTTTTATATTAATCAGTCTTTTATGTGTCCAGCACTACACTTTGCTGTATTCTGTGTTTATCCTAACACATTGATTGAAGGAATAAATAAATGAAATGAAAGATATGTAATCTTTAAAATGCACATGAGAGATGGATTGAAAATGTGTTTATTCCTTGTGACAATATTACTCTCTGGGCCCATATGGGCCCTAAGGAAATATACTAAATTTCATGGATTCTCTGATGGGTTGTTTTGTTTCTGGAGCTGGCAGAAAATACATGTTCTTCAAGATACTTCAAACAGCAGAGTGATTATGTGATAATTAAATCCAAAATTCTATAAACAACCTGATAGGAGAAGAAGAGGGTGGTGGCACATTACCTTATCGAATGTAGAAAAACATGAGTCCCTTAAGATAAGAATGAGTTCATGAATAAGGATGCAAATAAGAAGCAACTATACCAGTTACACTTAATTGAATGATAAAGACCAGAATATGCCAAGAAAAAATCTACTGTGTAGCAGGTGGGAAATGCCATATCCTTTCTAGTGATCATCATAATAAACTATGACATTTTATTTCTTCCCAGCCCTTCAGGTGAGACAGAAAGATGCTATGAGTATCAGAATGTGTAGTGATGACAATACAATAATAACTATAGATGAGCCTTCTCATTATCTGATCATTTTCATTCTTTTGTTTTATTGCATGATATTGATATATCAACAATCTCTTAAGAGAAAATACCACTAAACACTTGCAGATTTGAGAGTCATTCAGCTGGGACACAATATGGTGCTCCATCTTTTTAAAATGTGCTATCCTGCCCCTTCAAAGCATGGCACTTACTTAATCTAGCGAAGGTATGAAGGCTGCATATAATATGCCAGGCCCTAGATGGGATTAGTAACAAAATAATTGGGAGGGAGAGGTCTGTAACCACTTCCCCACCCTCACCCCACGTAAAAACTATACTACTAAACGTATTTATGAGAAATGTTTTATGTAAATTATATTCGAATATGACTGTATTCCCGCCTTCTATAAACTGTGAACAAAGTCAATATTTTACCCAGGGTATATTCGTTAACACTACCCTTGGTAATACGAGTAATATGTGACATCAAGAGGGCTGTAGTAATGGCAGACCATAAGTTGAATATTCGAAAAATTTTGGGGAGTTTTCATGTTTGAATTGTAATATATACCTCAGAGCAGGCGTGATATTGACAATGACCCCTTAGGGCTAGGTACAAAAGCTTTCGAACCCCTCACTCCCTTGCCTAGCCATGTGGAGTATATTTGTCAATATAACACCTGCTCTTCAGTCTGTATTTCTTAGATAATAGAAGTATAGATGACAGTGATCTTCCAAGCATAAGCAAGTGGGTGCCGCACCCACCTTAGATTTTGAAAATATGTTTGCACCCACCTGAAAATCCATATGAAAATTTTGTACCCACCTGAGAAGATATCCTGGGGAGATCACTGGATGATCTTAAAACTCAAGTTGACCTCTGTTTGTAGAGAATGAACCATATACTGTTGTTGGGATGATTCCCACTTTTGATCACTTATGTAATTGTTTGGTCTTGGACACTAACCTATCATGTTTATTGTAATATCCTATATATTGAGATGAATATTAAGAAGACCTAGAAGATGTACATGTTCCTTCGTAAATCCAGAACGAAGTATTATGAGATTTATACTTGAAGCTGATTAGCGCTGCCCCCTTCCAGTTTCTATTACTAGCCCACCCCCCCCCCTCTCTCAACCTGCCTCTCATGCACTAACTATAAAACTCAGGTGTCACTGGTCAGTATCGAGCGATGGTATATGCCATATAAGCCTGGTTTAGTTCAAATATCAAAGTATTACATCAACTATAAAGTAGCTTAAGTCATTGAAAACTATAAATATCTTCTCAACTGACACCAGTGAGATGTACATTATTTACCTGAAATGGTTGATATTAAGTATATAATCAAAGAAGTATAAATGATAAATATATATATATATCTCAAAAAATCTACTTAAACCCTGTATTTATAGAGAATGGTAATCATCTACTATTATGAAGGTGATGCTGCCTACTTTTGATCACCTATGTAATGGTATGGTATTGGCACCAATCATGTAAAATGTAGTACCTACATATTGAAATGAAAATGAAGAAGACCCAGAAGATGTAACCTTTGAAAATCCAGAACTATATAAATGAGAATTATACTAAGGCTGATTAGCTCTGCTCCATCCAAATTCTGTAACTACCCCCCCCCCCCCCCCCCCGCTCCCCATGCAACAACTTTTACACTTAGATGTACTAGTACATTATATTTACCAGAAATGCATGATATCAAGTATATTCAAAGAACTTCAATATAAATGTATCTCAAAAGTCAAGTTAAACTTCTCTTTTCAGAGAATGGAATTCATTTACTAATATGGGGGCGACGCCCACTTTTGATCACTTATGTAGTAGTATGGTCTTTGACACTTACCAATTATATAAATTGCAATATCCTTTATGCTTAAACAAATGCTTGAACTTCCCTGGCAATTTTGGGTGTGCTAAAATATTCTTATACATGTATCTGTTGATTTGAAAAAAAATCCACATTCTATATTATGTACCTGTACAGGTTTTGCCAAAATTAAGGATTTTTCAATGAAAATTGTGGTTTCCATGGCAACCATGAGTGACAGGTGATTGAAACTTAAAATACTACCTCAGCATGATCCAATCAACTCCCCATAAAATTATTATGATGATTTAAGACCAACTGAATGATTTATTCTATGATGATAAAGTACCCCCTGTAATTTTCCATTTTAGGGTCGAAAACGCCAATTTGACAACTTTCGCCCCGGATACGGCGCGTCAGACAAACATTTTCTGAAGTATCACACAAAAATACATAAGAAACAAGTAATTTCAATTTGTTCACGAACTAATACATTTTTGGGTGCTAGCTTACTACCTAATAAGCATGGCACACTGTCTAATGACACTTGGTAGAAGGTGGCCATTTTGAGAAATGGCCGCCATTTTAACGTATTTTACTATAACTCGAAAAGTAGTGGAGCGATTTTGTTCATATTTGGTATGTGAATACTATTAGCATGGCACACTGTCTAATGCCACTTTTGGTAGAAGGTGGCCATTTTGAAAATGGCTGCCATTTTTGCTATATACTTTGTTTGTAAATATGCCAGCCACGGCTGTTCGATGGGATTTGCTACGCTTTGGCGTTGCTGTTGTCTAGTTTCCTCATGGTATGACCCCTCCTCATCTAACAAAATCTTGATTTGTTTGTCTTTCACTTCAATATTGAAAAATCAACTTAGCTAATTAAACTATCATTTACCTCCTCCCCAAACAAAATTAACTGTTATTCCATAAGCTGAATACATAGAAATTGTGAAAGGCAAATGAAAACATTAGCACAAAAATGGCACATCTAACATATATTCACATACTTAAAGCTTGATATTAAATGTACCATTCGATAGCAAATGAAGTATTTATTGGTATATTATTGACATGGTAGGTCTACACTGTCTAATCATAATTAACAATGACGATTTTGACAAAAATAGAATCATTTATTTTTACTGCATTCAACAAGGCTGTTCCATTATACACTATTTTTTAAATGTTTCACATTATGTAGTTTGATCGAGCATATTCAAATAATGCCATCCATACAGACCAAAGAGTATGTATATTATCAAAATTGAATAAATTTTAGTTTTTATGGATTATCTACAGTGAAACTTATCTAGTGTGAACACCAGCAGAACCAGTCAAAAGTGTTTAAATGCACTGATAGGTGTTCATATTTTGAGGTTTTTTAACAGGCTAATCTCAACAAAGCTATTTTCATTCTAGCTTATTTAGCACTTTGGAATTTGTAGTTTATTGTACATGTTTATTGAACATGTAGTTTATTGTTCATGTTTTTTTGTACACATAGTTTATTGTATGCATAGCTTATAGTTTGTGTAGTTTAATGTTCATGTATATTGTACATGTTTATTGTACATGCAGTTTATTGTACAAGTACATCTAACTGTTTCTGACTACAATCTGCTTGCTACTTGTTTCCCCCATTGTGAAATTGGAAGTTGTTGTTTGGCTAGATCACGTAGCAAAGCACTTGGTCTCCAATGACTGCTTGTAGCTGAAATGAAACAAATGAAATACATCCTTTGGGGTCAATCCCATAAATTGTGGATATTGAAATTAGGGGACCTTATCTGTAAACACCTAGCCTTGTGTAATAAGCACTTACAATGTTATTTTGTGAATGTTCATAATTTATGTGTTTTTTTCAACTACATTACAAAACAACATTTCTCTTTTCTTAATTTTGTAATTTTACATTAAGCTGTCATAATTCATTAAATTATTTTAAAGACAAATTTCTAGGTGGATGAAGAAAGAAAGATGACATTCCAAAAATTACATGTAATATGTTCAGAGAAAATGAAAATCATCTACTACTTACGATGTTGTTCATAATAGTAACACATTGTGTCATAAATCTTGTCTAGTCCAATTTGATTGGCATAGTACATCGGTCCCCCGGTGTATTTAGGCCAACCGTAGCCATTGATCCTAAAAGAATCATCACACAAAATATTTAACAGGGTAATAGGGATATATATTGTCACTGGTTGCTAGTTATGGGAGTTTTGTGATGGTTTGGCAGAGTCCTCTCACTTTTTGTGTCTGCACATTTCCAGAGAAACAGTTTGACCGATCGATTTAACATTTTGGGCATATTGAGTAAATTCTAAAACAACAAATTTTGATTTTTGGGTACACTCTTGTCCAAAAGACTAGTCTCGGTTTAGAGAACGAAGTTCATCATTTTTACTGCACGTTACGCCTGCTTTGGACAATTTTCATGTTTTACATATTGTAGATTTAAAGGTCCTCTTTTGAATATCCATAATTTAATTTGGGTGATATTTCTAAATTTTTCATAAAAACAATTATAAGCCCAAGAGACTGTTCTCCAAACCGAGACTTGTCCTTTACCATTTTAATTTTCAATTTTGTGCTGCTAAATATAATACATTTAATATTACAATTTTACAAGGGCCCATTTTTTCTCATGTTGTAGTAGGCTGTTGTTGAACATTATTTCAATCTGTGAATTTTGGTTTCCCAAAAATGTCCAGAATTGCCCCATAAAATGTTCTTAAAGGTGCAATAATTAGTGCAGAGGGGTCATTCAACGATCATGGAGCAGTGTCAAAATATAATTAAGTTTGGATATTTCATCAAGACTAACATCTATTTTTATTATCTACAAAGAAACCCCCTAGATAAACATTATTTTAGCTGATATTCCTCTTGAAACATGGTGGATCTTAAAAATATAAAAGTGGAAGTCCCCTTTGTGAAGCTTTGAAATGAAGTTACACTTCTTAATGCTGAAATTGATAATTTATCCATACATTTTAAGAAAATAGGTATGTCAAAGACGATGTTAAACCAAATGTTGCCTTGATAGCCTAGAAAAAATGAAAAAACTTTCCTATTTTCTCTACAGTCCTTATTGCCCCTTTAATGTGCCATAGCATGTGTCTTACCATATGCCATCTATGTCTTACCATATGACATCTATGTCTTACCATATGCCATCTATGTCTTACCATATGCCATCTATGTCTTACAATATGACACATATATCTTACCATATGACATCTATGTCTTACCATATGCCATCTATGTCTTACCATATGCCATCTATGTCTTACAATATGACACATATGTCTTACCATATGACATCTATGTCTTACCATATGACATCTATGTCTTACCATATGACACATATGTCTTACCATATGACATCTTTGTCTTACCATATGCCATCTATGTCTTACAATATGACACATATGTCTTACCATATGACATCTATGTCTTACCATATGACATCTATGTCTTACCATATGACACATATGTCTTACCATATGACATCTATGTCTTACCATATGCCATCTATGTCTTACAATATGACATCTATGTCTTACAATATGACACATATATCTTACCATATGACATCTATGTCTTACCATATGCCATCTATGTCTTACCATATGCCATCTATGTCTTACAATATGACACATATGTCTTACCATATGACATCTATGTCTTACCATATGACATCTATGTCTTACCATATGACACATATGTCTTACCATATGACATCTATGTCTTACCATATGACAGTTATTTCTTACCATATGACATATATGTCTTACCATATGACATCTATGTCTTACCATATGCCATCTATGTCTTACCATAAGACATCTATGTCTTACCATATGCCATCTATGTCTTACCATATGCCATCTATGTCTTACCATATGACATCTATGTCTTACCATATGACACATATGTCTTATCATATGACATCTATGTCTTACCATATGACATCTATGTCTTACCATATGACATCTTTGTCTTACCATATGACATCTATGTCTTACCATATGACACATAGGTCTTACCATATGACATCTATATCTTCAGGTCTTGTTGCTATGCCATCTTCCAGAACTTTAAAGCCCTCATTGATCAATGGGTAGAAGCACCTCTCGAAGATTTCCTAAAAATGTGGTTAATTCTACTATTCTAATTTTTCTCGTATTTGTTTAATTATGCTGGATATATTTTTAAAAATTAAACATGTTTTTTTTTGTCTGAAAAGTTTCAATGAAGTTTCATAACAGCCAATTCCTTTTCTTAAAAAGTGACATGTTATGTCAACGAAAAAAAAGTTTATATTCTCAAAATGATCCATTATATTTATTGCAAGAACTATTTTTTAATTGTTGATATAGTTAAAATTGTATTCAATATATGGTGAAAATATTATCCAAAAATATTATCCACTCTATAGTACATGGTAAAAACTATGAACAATATTATCTGTGGTGAAAACTTTTATCCAATACATATGGTTCAAAATTGTACCCAATATATGGCAAAAGATTATATACCATATTAACAGTGAAAAATGTTATCCATTATTTGGAGTAAAATTTAAATGGGGAAAAAGGTTTTCAAATATATGATGAATATTTTTATCCAATATACTTGTTTTACTTAATGGTTAAAAATCTTCTTCATTTACTTGTGGCGAAATTTTTCTTCGTGTAATATTATGCTTCTTGCTATAATCTTCCAGGAGTGTAGTGATCTCAGCATCTATGAATGGCTCCTTTGCACCTGGTTTCTCATAGCGGTACCAACCCATGCCTAGAATATAATTATTTGTTATCATGAAGATACAGGGTGACACAAAAAATGCCACCCACTTATTTTGGAATAACTTCTCAATAATTAAGAAATCTTTGTGATTTTTCTTGTGTAGATATAGAGTGTTTCAATGGAAAAAAAGATTGGAATGCTTGCATAGCATCAACAAGTTTGAAATTTAGAGTTACCTCATTTTCTGTGGTAGCATGCTCTGATATAAAATCAAAAATCACTCAAAAATGTAAATTAGAAAAATAGTCTTTCTTAAAATTTACCTAATAAGCTAGTCAGTTCATCAAATTTGAAAAAATGATTTAGAAAAAATGGGTAGATTTATTTATAATTTATTGATTATATATTACATTTAATAAAGAGAAAGCAATCCAGGAATGACTCAAACAATGGCTAGGATAGAAACCCGAGATTTTTGAATATTTTTGGACGATTTCACTGAGAGCATGTCTGGGCTGAATATGTGTCACCTCTAATTCTAAAAGTTGTTGATGCTATCCATGTACAACGATCCCTTCTCCATTGAACACGCTAGATACACAAGAAAAATCTCATAGACCCTAAATTATTGAGAAAGTTATTCCCAAATAAGTGGGTGGTATTTTTTGTGTCACCCTGTATACCTTATAAGTTTTGACATATTCATATTCGTTTACAATACAGTTTTACTAAAGATGATATGCTAATATTGCTCACCAGTTTTGCGTCCGAATCTGCCCTTTTCACACAGGGTATCACCAAGAGGGGAGAATCTTTCGCCATTTATGAATCTTGCATTGGGGTCATGCTTTTTACCAGATTTCTCTAGCTTCTCATAACGTTCTTTCCGTATTCTCCAGCCAATATCAAGTCCTGTGGAATTTATACAAATTATATATAGATTTATACATATATACAGGGTGATCCAAAAAGTGAATTTTTTTTAATTTCTAAGGCATAGATGAAAGTAAAGTACAGAAATGCTGCCTCGTTCAACACTCTAAACAGAAATATTCCACCTTAACTGAGAAAGTTATCCAAAACTAAAGGGTGTCATTTTTTATTTTACACTTATTCACTTGTATATTAAAAAGGCAGATGGGGATGGAGAATGGCGTCTAAGAAGCAACCCTAAATTCCTTGACAAACCTAAATTTTACATGGAAAAAACACAAGGATGATATCTGAATGATTAAATGACGATTTAAGATGCAAAAATGTTTTGATGATTAAAGATGTGAATATATCACAAATCGAAATTGCAAAATCATCCATAAAGGTCAAAGGAATGTTTGGCTACTTTCTAAGAAATCTGGGTAATTAAAAGGATACACCAACCAGATAAGTCACTGACTTCAAAAGCTCCAATAGGAATACCAAAATCTTTGATTACACTGTCAACCTCATGTGGAAGGGCTCCTTCCTCTAAGAGAAATTGTGCCTAAAAATATTTAATGACTTATCAATACTGTTTTTATCGTACCTAATAAAGGTACGATATTGTCGTCAGCTTGACGGGCGGGCGTGCGGGCGGCGGGTGGGCGGGCGGCGGGCGGGCGGCGTCTCACTTTTCAGCTTGTCTACAGGTTTCCAGCCAAACCATTTGACAGATTCATCTGAAATTTCCAGGAATGTTTCTACGTATCAAAGTTAACAACTGATTAGTTTTTGGGCATTCTGGGTTAATTTTAAGGTGGCCATTTTGGATTTTCCGTCCTAAAATCTTCACTTTCAAGACTTGTCTACAGGTTTCCAGCCAAACCATTTGACGGATTCATCTGAAATTTTCAGGAATGTTTCTACGTATCAAAGTTAAGAACTGATTAGTTTTTGGGCATTCTGGGTAAATTTTAAGGTGGCCATTTTGGATTTTCCGTCCTAAAATCTTCACTTTCAAGACTTGTCTACAGGTTTCCAGCCAAACCATTTGACGGATTCATCTGAAATTTTCAGGGATGTTTCTACGTATCAAAGTTAAGAACTGATTAGTTTTTTGGCATTCTGGGTAAAATTTAAGGTGGCCATTTTGGATTTTCCGTCCTAAAATCTTCACTTTCAAGACTTGTCTACAGGTTTCCAGCCAAACCATTTGACGGATTCATTTGAAATTTACAGGGATGTTTCTACATATCAAAGTTAACAACTGATTAGTTTTTGGGCATTCTAGGTAAATTTTAAGGTGGCCATTTTGGAATTTCCGTCCTAAAATCTTCACTTTCAAGACTTGTCTACAGGTTTCCAGCCAAACCATTTGACGGATTCATCTGAAATTTTCAGGGATGTTTCTACGTATCAAAGTTAAGAACTGATTAGTTTTTTGGCATTCTGGGTAAAATTTAAGGTGGCCATTTTGGATTTTCCGTCCTAAAATCTTCACTTTCAAGACTTGTCTACAGGTTTCCAGCCAAACCATTTGACGGATTCATTTGAAATTTACAGGGATGTTTCTACATATCAAAGTTAACAACTGATTAGTTTTTGGGCATTCTGGGTTAATTTTAAGGTGGCCATTTTGGATTTTCCGTCCTAAAATCTTCACTTTCAAGACTTGTCTACAGGTTTCCAGCCAAACCATTTGATGGATTCATCTGAAATTTTCAGGGATGTTTCTACGTATCAAAGTTAAGAACTGATTAGTTTTTGGGCATTCTGGGTAAATTTTAAGGTGGCCATTTTGGATTTTCCGTCCTAAATTCTTCACTGTCACACTGCTGTGTTTTAGGTACGATTTTGTTCACGTCTGTGCCTTGTTATTTTTTAATATGAGGAATGATGCAGAGAAGTTTGTCGATATTTCCACTTAGGGCATCATAGACTAAGCTAATAAAAGAACAAATAAAAAGATGTCTGATTTGTGTTGTCTATAAATATACTATAGTATATATAATATACAGTAGTTGTATATTGTACAGGGGCATACCCAGAATCTTAAAATAGGTGAGGCACAGTTCAATAGGTGAGGTCAATTTGCCTCATGTCTGGTTATGCCTCGGCTGCATTCATGAAATTACATAAAATGTAAAAAATGACATTTACATTATATTGAGTCTATGTTCATTTATTTTTGAGTCTATGCTCATGTATTTTATCAAACTAATTGTATGATTTAACATTACTATATCACTATATCCAATACTTGATATTCTTTTCAGCTCTATGTATATAACATGATATACATGTACAGGGTGTCCAAAAAGTAACTGGACTGGTGTTGGCCACTACATTTGGGACACCTTGTACATTCAGCATTAGTTGTTTTTGACTTTTCTGTTAATTTTACTACATGTGCTAGATTAGATAATAGTAGTAGTTTTGAGGTGATTACATTGCTCCTATTGTAAATTTGTTTAAATAACTTTTGAAAATTGAAGCAAAAGCTGCGGATAAATTAATTTTGGGAGAACAAGCAAGAGCTCAAGGAGGATTGGCTCCCAGAGTGCAACATCGATATTCTGTCTCATATATGGGCATGTAGTGATACAAAATTCGAATTCAAACAGCCGCCATTTGTTCACTTCAACATTTGAATCATGAATTTTGGTATTATTTCCCAATGAAAAATTCCAAAACTCACAAGAAACGATAGAGATATTGGTTTGAACCTTTTGAGCTGTTTATTTTGAATTTATAGTCGGTTATAATTTCAGAAAATAACAACATTTCGACGTTTTCATTGTTGGAAAATATTGAGTGTCGATTCTGGGAGCCAATCCTCCTTGCAAGAGCTGGCATGAAGAAATGACATGACGTCATCAGGTATCATACCTCAGATGTGTATGTCCCTAACATTCTGTTGCCAACGAATGAATCGCAGTTTCCCACCACCACAGGAATCTACAGTGATTAGAGGAACATTAAGTAAAGAGTGTAATAAATTAAAGTCCCCCTGGATTTTGGTCCTCATTCTGGGGTCTGTAATCGGGTAGTATACCTCTGATTTGTATGTGCCCAACATTCTGTTGCCAACAAAGGAATCACAATTTCCCACCAGGACGGGAATCTACAGTGAATAAAGCAATGATTAAGCAGAAATAAGAATGAAAATTATGGTCAACCGGTCCCTCTTATTGAGCAAGTTCGCACCACCACAGGAAGCTCAGTAAGCTCTGAGGTAAGCTACAGTGAATAGAACAATAGTTTACTGTAGGTAAGAATTGGTAATCAGAAATAAAGTTGGTGTTGAGAAATTATTGTACCAAGGAATTAGGGTCCCCTTGCTACATGGCCCTAAACCCTTACTTGGCACAATAGAGTATACACTAATAAGGAAAGAGGTGTTAATAGGCCATTTATAAAGCAATGGAAGGGGGAGGGCATTAACTAAAAAGACGTTCACATCTGCTATGTGAAGTGTTTATCTAAGTAACTAGTTGGGTAACCAAGTAGCTGGGTATTCCATATTTCCTGCAGAAAATGAATTACACTCCCCATTAATTTTGTTCCTTGATTCATTTCAGAATTTTATAGCAACTTGATAAAAACAGAAACAGGATTTCAAAAGTGATCCAAATTGCAACTTCGGGTTGCCAAATTTATGGCGGGAGGTGTAATTACCATATATACGAAACATGGTAAATGCCCAGTTACCTGGCAACCCAATCCCTAAAGGGAGAAATTCGGAATTGGGGCATGGGTAAATTTTTAGAAGAATCAACTGACCAGTGACACATTGGTGCAAATAAAGTCATAATATGCAGCATCATTTTGAAATTACAGTTGAACCACATATGGCCAAACTGAACACGTACAATGAAGTAGAAAAGCGCATTCTTTCTCTGATCAAAATCAAATGTACACCAGTATGCCCATAACATGAAGAGGTGGACAACTACATGTTGGTCTTAGTTGAATCTTGTTGCAATCATGTTAGAATTGATTTTCAGAAACATTAATGTACACTCCCCTCCAAAAGTTTGGCAAATCTGACTCTCCTTATGAGTTGCTGTCAATATCTATGTTTTGAAAATAATTTTACTCCTGAAAACGTTAATCCATTTATCCCTGCCTTTGGACATGCTCTAACATATAATAACTAGCTCATCAAACTTTTGGAGAGGAGAAGCATGTATGTATACTGTATGAATAGTATGGGGGATTGTGCATCATTGGGCTATGCAGCGTTAAAACCCTCTTGACCCCCCTCCACTTTTGACCCCCTACTACTTACCTCCAGGGGTGAGTTGTGTAAAGAGGGAGGGGGTCATGAGCCTGGACAGGCCCGTAGCCAGGATTTGCCAAGGGGGGGTCACTTTTTGAAAAGTTCCAGGGGGGGCTCACTTTTGACAATTTTGATCAGAAAATGGCCAAAATCACTTAAAAAGTGCTCAGAATGGTGAAAAACTGCATGATTTTGGAATTTTTGGCCAGGGGGGAAGTTGGAACCTATCAACTCGAACCCATCGACCCCCCTGGCTATGGGACTGCTGGAGAAAGATCCTATTACTCTTAAAAAGCGAGATGATCAAAAACATGCCCATATTTGGGGTGTGGTGGTACCTCAGTAGAATACTTGTAAAGCATACGATTGCCAACAAATCCGAAACATGTTCCGACAAGAACTGGCAGCTAAATAAATAGAGTATAAAAACAAATGATGGAATTTTGGATACAGTACAGTCAATTGATAACTTACAATATGATGACTATGCAGGCCCGTAGCCAGGGGGGGGGGGGCTCGCAGGGTTCAATCGAACCCCCCCCCCTGGCCAAAAATTCTTTCAAAATCATGCAGCTTTTCACCATTTTGAGCACTTCTCAAGTGATTTTAGCTATATTTGGGCCAAAATTGTCAAATGTGAACCCGAATGGAAAGTTTTTAAAACTGAACCCCCCTTGGCAAATCCTGGCTACGGGCCTGCTATGTCAGTATGTACCTGACATAATAAGTTGGCTTATATGCCACACCTTAATGGATTCCACCAGAACTAGGTATGCACTTTTTGGTTGAGCAACGATTAATATAAAAATACAAGTTTTCCATCTGGAATAAACACCCTTCTTATTTACACCAATATGTCGCAGTTCTTTTGTCGTTGAAATATAAAAGATGTCACTATAATCAATTTTCAAGATACTTCCCTCATTATAGAAACATATTACCATAGCAACTATTACTTGGTCGACAGAAATGTGGCAGTAGCAGCCATCTTTTAGTGTCAAATGTCAACCTTGTTCCCAATTCATGCAGTATAGGTCAGTAGTGTGAAAGAACTGCAAAAAGTGGTCCATCTTTTTACTCCTTCTTTTGAATAGACAGACTACAATAATGTCATCTTTCTGTTGATCCAGTGTTTGCTTATATATACGGAATATGGAATAATTTTGAACAGAGTGACATCTTTAGGAAAATTTCTTGGGGGTGGTGCTTTAACTGCTAAGTGATATGCGTTACCCTTTAACTTGCATACTGTTAACTTGCATACTCTTATATAATCTACCTCTTCTTTGTATTTGTACAGCATTCGATTGCCCACAAATGCAAAACAGTTCCCAACACAAACTGGGAGCTACAAGTGACACATTTAAAGGAAATACTAAAGTACAGGGTGAGCCGAAAAACATCTTTTTTTTAATTTGAGGATTCATATTCAACAGGCACAAATTTCAAAAATATTTTCACAGTCAATGTACAAATCAATTACACAATTAAGCCAAAATGCCAAAATGACATAATTTTATCAAAAATGGAAATCAATTTTTTTGGCATACCCTGTATATGTTGATTACATATTGTTTAATTAGCTCAGACTCTTCTTTAAAAAACGTTATACACCCCCTACAAAAGTTAAGCAACTCAGATACCTCAGTGAATAGAGTGTTAAAGCCTATTCCATTTTATTTTAACTTTTCACTTAATTAAAATAAATCAGAAATTTATGACTGATGAATATTGGAAAATTGCAAATTAATGGGATAATTTAGGTTGCCAAACTTCTGGAAGGGAGTGTAACGATATAAATGATGACACAATTGTGGTTACCTTTTAATTAAAATACATGCATGTATTGTTCATAAATCATCAAATAACAATTGCCATCAACTAACACAAGATATCCTTATAGACCAATAATATAGTAGCCCGGACAGAATTGTTCAATGGTCACTTTTTCTTTAATAACTTTTTTAACTTTCAGTATTATCAGAGTCTGATCACATATTTGAAAACTAGAGTAAAATTCTGACATACAAAAAAAATATTTAAGGAACATCTCTTAATTAATTGATATTATAGGCATTCATAGAATGACTGATGAAATACATAATTCATCATTTTGCCTCATATTTGTTCAAAATGGCGGCATATTTTGGGAGTTTGAATGTTCAGTTGAAAGTTAATATTTAAAGATTGTCATAGGACTATAGGGCCATGCTGCCACCGTTACAATCCTTATGTAATGCAGCAACTGACCAGTCATCAAACCCCTCCAAGGGTATATGGAATCAACTCTATTGAAATGTTTGGGGTTGTGTTCAAGAGGATGTGAAAAGGTGGCGCCCTAATGCGCGGGATGTGATGAGAGTAGGTCCTTAATCTTTTCAAGAGCTCCAAGCTTAACAGCCATCTCAGAGCCCATTGAAAAGCTGAAGAACAATTCACATGCATGCCAAGGATGGGTAAAGAGGCATGTGACTGGGAAAGATATTACAAACTGTGGCAGTATGACCCTATAGTTACACGGGTTCAACGAACTAGGGTTGCTAATCCACTGCGAGTTACAATGGAATGGCCAAAAAACTTTAAGTGCTGCGACCGTACCAATATACTGTTATTTACAAACCTTTTTATGTACTGGTATACATGTACATACAAGTCAATTTAAAAAAGGTTATAAATGCAGTCATTACCTCATACCAAGGCAGCGGTCTACATGATTTTGTAGGCCTATGACATTTCTTAAATATTAACTTTAATTTTAACTGAACATTCAAACCACAAAACATGCCACCATTTTTTAACAAACATGAGACAAAATGGTGAATTATGTATTTGCGTCACTCAAACTATGAACGCCTATAAAATCAATAAATTAAGAGATGTTCCTTAAATATTTTTTTTGTATGTCAGACTTTTACTCTAGTTTTTAAATATGTAATCAGATTTTGATAATACTGAAAATTAAAAAAGTTATTGAAGAAAAAGTGACCATTGAACAATTCTGTCCGGGCTACTATATATTATATATGTAGAATAATACATTTACATTTACTCTATTTTGAGTTTAAATATTAAACTTATATTAAACATTAAGCTTTTCTCAAATGTTGCTCTTAGATTTTAAAAAGTCTAGGATAAAAAGGTGACATATACCTTTCCAATGCGTACTCCAAGAGACTGAACAGTTGCTATGGTTTCTGGTGATGTCAGCTTCCCTCTGACATTCTCTAGGAGTCTCATGTAATAGGCAGGCACAAAGAAATGTGTTCCTATAACCTTATCTGGTCTTTTAGTGGCGCTTGCGATCTAAAAATTGTAATTATTACATATCGACTGTATGGATATGCTAAGAAATTGTCTTTATCGGGAAGGATGAAAATACAGGGTGTTCCAAAAGTAACAGGCCTGATGCTGATATTTTGTTAAATATGCACCAATCATCTTTAAAATTTCACATAATGTATGGATTGAATCGAATGGACTGGAATGAGTTGGTTTTGTTTATTGGATTGATAACGGTGGATTGGATCAATGATTTTCAAAATATGAAATTTCTATCGTTTTATCCATTTATTTGTATTTGGTCTTTTATAGTCATGCTTCATATCTTAAGTAACACAAATTATTTGGTATACTAACTCCAAAAACTTAAATTTAGTATGAAGATATAAAGAAATTGCATTTATCCTTATTTTGGCCTTTTTGTGGCACATCCAATCTAAAAAATAGCACAGATAACTAGATGTATCACACCCAAAGTGTCATACAGAATGAAGATACTAAATCAAAAATAAAGTAAAAGTTTTGCTAGTTTTAAGATAAGTGTCAAAACTCATCTTAAAGATAATAAAAATTTACCATTATCTACATCTCAGTTAGAACTATCACGAAAGAGTGAAATATTCTTAAATCGTATTAGATGTGATTTTATTTTCTCTGGCCATTTTTTCTTACATAATTTTAGAGATGTAGAAAGTCCAAAATGCTTATGTGGCTACAGAGAACAAACTTCAAAACACCTTATCTTCAATTGCCCGCTGTTAGTTAAAGAAAGAGAAGAACTTTGGGGGGAGCTTAGGGTGATGCCAGAACTGAACCATTTCTTTTTAATTGGATGCACTTTAGAACAAAAGACCAATACACTTTTGTTTGGAGATAATTTAGTGAAAAACAAAATCAAAGGTTGTGTATTTAAGATTTTTACTAACTTTCTCTGTAAAATAATGGAAATTATTTGAATTATCAATTTATAACATTTAATCAGTTGTTTCAACAAAAAGCCATCTGTAATAATTTGTATGTTGTATTCTCACAGGGCCAATAATGCTTTCGCCTAGGCCCTGTTAATGTATTATATATATATGATTTCAATAAATGAACCATAAAAACTAAAAAAAAAGATACTAAATCAAGCAATTTTGTTTAATATAGTTAAATCTATATCTAATCCAATACAATTGTGCCAGCCGCAAGGTTTTCAGAATGGACTGTGTTCACATTTCACATTAAGTGATTCACAATAATAATTCACATTAAGTGATTCAAAAGTCACATTAAGTGATTCAAAAGTAACATTAAGTGATTCGAATGTCACATTAAGTGATTAACATTTCACATTAAGTGATTCAAATGTCACATAAAGTGATTCACATTTCACATTGTGATTTACATTTCACTTTATATTAGTGATTCACAATTTTAACTTTTCGTGAATTAATAAAATAAAGCCTACCTCATCGATGTCCAAGGATGAAGTATTTGAGCAAAGTACTGCACTGGGTTTACATGCATTGTCAAGTTTGGCAAAGATTTCTTTCTTCAATGCCATATTTTCGTAAACTGCTTCGATGACCTAACAATTACAGGTGTATATGTAATAATGACAAACAAATGTTACAGGTGTATATGTAATAATGACAAACAAATGTAAATATGACACACAAATGTAATAATGACACAAAAATATAACAATGACACACAAATGTAATATTTACACACAAATGTAATGACATATTGATCACACAAATGTAATGTAAATGTAATGACACATTGATGTATAAAAACCTTGCTCACATGGTTTAATTTACAGACTGCCTAATACTTCATTACTTCATTTATTAAAGCTGAGATATGAACAATAGCTATATAACTTAATTTTTTAATGAGATATTTTTTGTTAAATTTGCTGAGTTGCATACAACATTCTACATTATCTACCCCCTCCCTCAGTCCCTCCCTCCTTCGTCAATAACACTCACGCAATCCACCGTTGATAAATCATCATATGACAGGCTTGTCTTTAAATTTGACAGCAAATATTTAGCCTGGTCTGCAGTGAGTTTTCCAAGCCTGACACTCCCTGCATAGAGGTCTTGAATCATCTTCACTCCTTTCTCCAGGAACTAAAAACAAACAAGTGAACATGAATATCTTATTGATTTGCCACACAAGGTAGAAGGTATAATGGGTTAATTAAAGGAACATTCCTGAAGAGGGCTGTGCTCTTTAATATATTCAGTATTTTTTTTTGTACTATTGTCATTTTCATGCCACCACCAGAAGTAGTGGCATGTTGTCATATTCTCCAACTTTTTGTGGATGGTGTTTGATGTCTGGAACACAGCATCTTTAACAAATTACGGCACCTGTAACAAATGGCAGTATTGACATTTTGCATGTTAATTCCTTGTGTTTATTTTGAAATCAGTACCATTTTTCTACAATCAATTCATGCCAAAACAGGAATGAATAAATAAATCAAAAATAATGACTTCAACCTTTCATCGCTTCATAGCTTTGTGTTTTGAAAAAGGGTTGCCTTTATGAGAGTTTCAAATAAGAGTATTCTGGCAAAATGAGAACAATGGGTGATGTCACAAAATACACCATCACATATGAATAACATTTTGCGAATCAATGTTTCTAGAGGGAATATAAAAATTACAGTGCTATTTGAAATTAAAAGAGATCCCAAATATCCCAAATTATAATTCAAAGCCATCATTAATAATATCTGACCTGTTTGTTTTGCTCCACAAGAGTGACTGGAATCCTAGCATTAAGTAGAGCCATTGCTATTCCTGTACCCATAGTACCTGCGCCTATAACAGCTGCTGTCTTGATGTTCATTGGCTTTACTGTATTATAACTAGCAACACCAGGCACCTCCCACTGTATATAGAAAAGTAATGCATTAAATACAACTGGAATCCTTGCATTAAGTAGAGCCATTGCTATTCCTGTACCCATAGTACCTGCACCTATAACAGCTGCTGTCTTGATGTTCATTGGCTTTACTGTATTATAACTAGCAACACCAGGCACCTCCCACTGTATATAGAAAAGTAATGCATTAAATACAACTGGAATCCTTGCATTAAGTAGAGCCATTGCTATTCCTGTACCCATAGTACCTGCACCTATAACAGCTGCTGTCTTGATGTTCATTGGCTTTACTGTATTATAACTAGCAACACCAGGCACCTCCCACTGTATATAGAAAAGTAATGCATTAAATACAACTGGAATCCTTGCATTAAGTAGAGCCATTGCTATTCCTGTACCCATAGTACCTGCACCTATAACAGCTGCTGTCTTGATGTTCATTGGCTTTACTGTATTATAACTAGCAACACCAGGCACCTCCCACTGTATATAGAAAAGTAATGCATTAAATACAACTGGAATCCTTGCATTAAGTAGAGCCATTGCTATTCCTGTACCCATAGTACCTGCACCTATAACAGCTGCTGTCTGGATGTTCATTGGCTTTACAGTATTATAACTAGCAACACCAGGCACCTCCCACTGTATATAGAAAAGTAATGCATTTAATACAACTGGAATCCTAGCATTAAGTAGAGCCATTGCTATTCCTGTACCCATAGTACCTGCACCTATAACAGCTGCTGTCTTGATGTTCATTGGCTTTACTGTATTATAACTAGCAACACCAGGCACCTCCCACTGTATATAGAAAAGTAATGCATTTAATACAACTGGAATCCTAGCATTAAGTAGAGCCATTGCTATTCCTGTACCCATAGTACCTGCACCTATAACAGCTGCTGTCTTGATGTTCATTGGCTTTACTGTATTATAACTAGCAACACCAGGCACCTCCCACTGTATATAGAAAAGTAATGCATTTAATACAACTGGAATTCTAGCATTAAGTAGAGCCATTGCTATTCCTGTACCCATAGTACCTTCACCTATAACAGCTGCTGTCTTGATGTTCATTGGCTTTACTGTATTATAACTAGCAACACCAGGCACCTCCCACTGTACATAGAAAAGTAATGCATTTAATACAACTGGAATTCTAGCATTAAGTAAAGCCATTGCTATTCCTGTACCCGTAGTACCTGCACCTATAACAGCTGCTGTCTTGATGTTCATTGGCTTTACAGTAATATACCTAGCAACACCAGGCACCTCCCACTGTACATAGAAAAGTAATGCATTTAATACAACTGGAATCCTAGCATTAAGTAGAGCCATTGCTATTCCTGTACCCAAAGTACCTGCACCTATAACAGCTACTGTCTTGATGTTCATTGGCTTTACAGTAATATACCTAGCAACACCAGGCACCTCCCACTGTATATAGAAAAGTAATGCATTTAATACTACACAATGTAAAAAATAATGCCTTTAACTATTTTTTAACTAGTTATGTTTCGCATTTTGTAAAGCCTTAGCACCTGACTTGAAATGACATATATAATTTACAAGGATTTTACCTTTGGTGCTAGACGCTCGCTAAAGAAGGCATATTGCAAAGCCCGGGCTTGACTAGAGGTCACAAGAACAGTAAAGTATTCCGCCTCCTTCTCCATTGCCTCATCAAATGGTAGCTTGATACTTTCGGCAACTGCTTTTATGTTCCACTAAACGTACAGAAATACATTAAAATGCTATAACTGGGTGTAAAGCATTTTGAATCTTTCCTATTACAAATTATAAACGCACAATATGTATTTGATATTATGTAATTTTTTTACGTACATATCAATAAAATCATTTTGAACTTATTTCATGTTTTTTGCTTTATTTTGTATAGCATACATTACAGTATGTAGCATATTCTGAGAAAAAGTAAAATGTCACAGATCTCTCTCTCAAAACTTATTGCTCAACCTGGTATAATATGTGAATAAAATTCAGTTTTGAAACTTACAATTGGAGCCATCATTCCCCGCTGTCTCTTTCTAACAGAAGCATTAGCAGCTAAAAACAACAAAATACAATTTATTTGTTTCATTAATTGACTTTTTTCCATATAAATGAAAAATAGATGGCATCATGGGTATTGGTAGGGCTATGTTAGGGCTAGAATACATGTAAATGTATTGCCGGAGTCACTTAATTTCTTGATTTAAGAAGTAATTTCATTTGGATAAACTTAAACTTAGTTCAGTTTTGTATATTGTACACTGTAATGACCAATATGTAAATATATATGTATAAAGTTATGATTTTCACGTTCACTTTAAACGGAAAATCACCATTGTTTATTATCATGCTAAAAACAGGCTTGCTCCACAAGAAGACATTTCAGTTGCCAAACTTTTAATGGGAAGTGTATTACCTGAAATAAGTTGCTCAGCATTTTCAGCATCTTTGACAGGCAGTGTACTTATTCTTCTGCCATTTAGAGGTTTATCTATCACAGCCTTTGCAAATGCAATTCCTTCCTTCAGTATATCATCGCTGACAATCTAAAACAAAGTAATGGAATTAATGTTTTGTCATTTTGATGGTTGAGGGCTGTTGCCAGGGTTTCATGGTTTGGTTTGGGAAATACGACGTCTTTAGACGACATCCTCCGGCTTGTTGTACCACATTTTTAGAGCAAAACGTTCTCTAATACTCACAGGCTGGTATCGAAATATTTGTCCGCTGTGACGGAGCATGCTATTTTTCATAAAAACACTAAGAATACTTCACGATTTATTTTTTAACTCATATGTTTCGTTATACCATACAAAATTACTTACTCCATGCAATGGATATATCATTTGCGGGTAACTTTCACTTCTGTTTGATGTCCAATTACGCTGGGAAGAAAAGCTATTGAAAATGGCGCCGGAGTATCATACTTCAAAATGTACCATTTCTTGTTTAACTTTCTAATGGCACGATATAGTGATACGATAATATTTACACATGGTTTCAGCATAAGTATGAAGGTATAAATGAGATGTTGATGCATTTGGTCTTTTAATTCTTTTATAAAAAATAATGTTTAATTTTCTTTGTCCGCTGTGACGGAGCAGTTGCAAATGTGAACTGTGAAAATACTCCGTCACAGCGGACAAAAAATATTAATATTATTTTTTATTAAAAAATTAAAAAGACCCTATGCATTATTATCCTACACTTAGTGTACTAAATGTATAATAACATTAAAAAATAAATTTGATATTTATTGGCAAAATGAATATCCGCAGGATATCGTGACGATATACTCCGGGCGGAGGATATCGTGACGATATACTCCGGAAAACCCAATATGCGGAGGATATTGTGACGATATACTCCGCTTGTTGATTTCCCGCCAAATTGACTCTATTTGGCATGGAATTCATTTTGCAATGATATTATACATTTAGTACACTCCTTGTAAGTGTAGGATAATAAGAACATCCTATGATTTTTTCAGAATATCATTTTAATCTACTCGGTGATATTGATATATGCACTCGTTCGCTTCGCTCTCTCGTGCAGATATCAATATCACCTCGTAGATAAAAATGATATTCCTCAAAATCATAGGATATCCTATAAATATCTCATAATTACATTCAGAGTTATGCTTAAAACATATGTTAATATTATCGTGTCACTGATATCATGCCATTAAAAAGTTAAAAAAGAAATGGTACATTTTAGAGCTTGATACTCTGGCGCCATTTTCAATAAATTTTACTCCTAGCGTTATTGGACTTCAAACAGAAGTGAAGGTTACCCGCAAATGATATATCCATTGCATGAAGTAAGTAATTATCTTTGATATAACGAAACATATGAGTTAAAAAATAAATCGTGAAGCATTCTTAGTGTTTTTATGAAAAATAGCATGCTCCGTCACAGCGGACAAATCTTTCGATACCAGCCTGTGATACTATACCTAAGAATAATATAATTCATATAATTTTAGATTGGTAGCCATTATTCAAAGTCGGAACTCCGTTGCCCGGCGTGGAACAATTTAGTAAAAATATATGTGAGTCAAATATAATGAATTTTTCAAATTGCCAAACTTAAACAGGCTTAGATAAATGATCAAAAACGGGACTTCCGGTTGCGAAACTTAAGAAGGAGAGTGTACATGTACGTACTTATGAAGGGGAGTGTACATGTACGTACTATTTATGAGGGGAGTGTATGTAAGTAATTCGTCAATATGAATCACGAACCTTATCAATGATTCCTAGTTTTAATGCCTGTGGGGCTTTAATATGTCTGCCAGTTGATATAAGGTCAAGAGCAGGCCCTAGACCGCATAACCTTGGGAGTCTCTGTGTTCCACCAGCTCCGGGAAGGATCCCAATAAGAACTTCTGGCTGGCCGACCCTGGAATAAATTTTCACCTCCCTCATGTTATTGTGATAGCGCCTGTTTATGTCCGAATCTTGATAACAAGGTTGGGAATTTATAATTGACCATAAAATGGGATAACCTCATTCTGAGGCCCGGGTATACAGTCATTAATAAAAAAATCAGTCTTATTCTTATTAATAAAAAATCAGTCTTATTCTTATTCAATGTAAGTAATATAGTAATGTAGTAAAAGAGAGGTAGGTCACTTCGATCAGTAGGATCCCTAATCCAACTGTATTTCGTTCGCACTGGACGAAACCACAAAATTCTTTCGCCATGAAGGTCCAGGGATGATTTTTCTTTGGTAATTTCTACAATCCTGACATCTTTCTTTTCTCATCGTAGTTAAAAATGCAAAGAAACACGCTTGCGAATTCTGCCAGGACACTTTTCCCAGGTCAAGAAGAAGTGAATTATTTCAACGCTTTTCATTGGCTTAGAAATGACCTCTACGTCATCAAGAGGTCAAGTTATTTATACCGGCCGCCATCTTTAAAATTAACTTACGAACTAAAACTTTTATGCAGATATGTTGATTCTTACGAATATCTTAGTTTTATACGACTTCTGTTTGAAAGAAAAAGATAAAACATACTAGGGATTGTCATTTAGGTTAAAAAAGATCGACACATTTGCAGAAAATGAGGGTAAAATCCCCGTATTACAATTTCATTTCCCGGGAAATTACGTAGCATCACAAGTGTAATTAAATGAAAAATAAATATTGAAGACCCCTTTATTATTAAATCATATCTAAACATTCAAACATAACATAAAAATGTTATTTCAGAATCTATTTACAACTAAAAAATACCTAAAATGGAACTTTCAAATCCAAAATGAACAACCAATCAAAATGCAGTTCGGCCTTCATCTCTTAGTAAACATCCAAAGTGTCCTGGCAGACTTCGGTTGTTCGTTTTTGTAACAATTTACCTTATACGTCGGTTGTTGTGATAAACTGTTCTTATTTCTTTGTTTAATTATTAAGTTTTATATGTTGACGAGGGTTTCCTGTAATGTTAAAGAAATAAATGCTGTATGTACCGAGATACACTGATATGAACATAGTGACCCCTGAATTTTCTCGTGTAGAACACTATCGAAGTGAACTACCTCTCTATTAATATACATGTATACACCACACATTACCAACTCAGTATACTAGGGGACTTTTTAAACATTTTTAACATATTCCTGGGCCTCAGACCTCATTATACCAACGCGTATTGTACAGATAAGTATTATACTGACGCGCATTGTACCGAAAAATACCGACACGCATTTTACCGAAAACTAATACTAGTATACCGATGCGTGTTGTTCCGAAAACAGTTATACAGGTGCACTGTACCGATAACCATTGCTGCATACCGACAACATAATTTTTAGATTGTAATGGAAGAACGAATCATTCACATTAGGACTAGGCAAAAACAGGCCTTCTAAACTTACCCAGCGCGAACATCAGTTCTGACCTCGCGAACTACGTTCCTTGCACTCGAACCACGATTCTCACATCGCGAACGTGAAATCTTTACCCTGCGTGCAGAGTCTAGTTAAACTACTGAAGACGAAGCTCTCTTTTAAGAAGTGAAGTCAAACGAATGCAAAGGGTATGAAATCTTTAGTCGCGTACCACGATTTCCCCACTCCCGAACATATTTCGCGCACATTCATGGTGTGCATGAAGTCTGAATGTAGCTATTTTGTATCATAACAAAAGCTGCACGTAATATTGTTAGCCTATGTAAATATTCCGTTATTTATCATTATCTATTGGTAACACTTAATTTCTCAGTCAAAACAATTGATATTCAATTCTGTTGTAAAGGAGATTAAAGAAGACAAAATAAGCTTTCCAAGTGTGCTGCATATGTGGTTAGCTATTTCAAATCATATCAAAGATCGTAGTTCGATGCGTTACAATTTCTCTGAAACAAGACACGCTTACCAATTGTGCGTTGTAAATGCGGGTAGCTATTTCAAATCATAAAAATGAACGTAATATTTTCAGTCCTCCAAAATCATTCATCACATATTACAAAAATTTCAATTCAATTATAATTTTTTACAATCCCGATTCTCAGCCCTCAGAGGATTTTTGGACTTGATTTTTTTCATTCGGCTTCCCATTTTCGAGGATTGTTCTAATTATAAGACGTTCTGTGGCCACAGGGCGCATAAATATATCGTTACAAGTCACGAAGGAAAACTCGGTATAATGCACGTCGGTTATGTAATTCGGTATAACGCCTTTCGGCACAATTCACGTTGGTATTAAGGCATTCAGTATAACGCCTTTTGGTGCGCGTCAATATTTTGGCATTCGATAAATAACGCGTCACACGGTCAGAAAGGGCTGCCAAATCTTTAGGAAGGGTGTGTACGACAATATTGCTCATACACGTTTTACTAAAACTGTGATGTCCAATGGTTGCATCATATTCTCCTAAAATTGGCCTCAGCTGTACAAATTGTTTTGCCTATTTTTTAGACAATGGCTACGCCCCTGCATACCTGGCTGATTTTGTTGCTATCCTATAATGACATCCCATTGCGATTTCTAGACCTCCACCCAGTGCAGTCCCGTGAATGGCGGCTACAATGGGTTTGTTACTCGCCTCCATGAAGGCTATTACTTCAGGCAATGTTGCCACGACTGAAATATTTAAAAGAAACTGTAAAACCTGTCAAGTGGAACACCTCTATAAGTGGATCACTTCTGTAAGTGGAACACTTCTGTAAGTGGACCACCTTCTACACACAATCCAATGAGTTATGTTTATTGACCTCTACAAGTTAAACACCTCCTAGGTGGAACACCTAAGTGGAACGCTTTTTTAAGTGCAACCATGGGTGTTCCACTTGCACAAGTTTTACTGTTTATTATACAAAGTCTCAAGTATACTCTGAATTGCCTGTAGAAGCAAAAATCTGGTAGAAAAACATTTAAACTCAGAAGTTCAACCAAATTATTGAAGGTAAAAATATTAGAAACGATTTTTACACAAAGTACCAAAGGCCATGAAACACATTTTTTATTTGTAACTATTATCAGATTAGTACAATGTAACCATTTCTCTAATCAGACGGTGAGTTTATTGCCCCTTTGGAAAACGATTGGATTGCAATTCTGTATAAAATACACACGTTCCTAGGGACATACATTCTGATACTCATAGCATCTTTCTGTTTCACCTCAGAAGAAATGAGATATCATGGTTTATCATGATGAGGGACATATACATCTTGGAGTTCCGAGGTATGATGTGTTCATTGAAAATCACACTGGGAAACGAGTATGGGACATATATAAGCAAATTGCATTATGTACCTTTGGAGGATTCTCGCTGTCCACTGAATCCATGTATATCTGCGCCTGCAATGAAGTGCTTTCCATGACCATGTATAACTATGACGCTGACCTTAGTGTCATTCTTAGCCCTGCTTATGCATTCGTATATTCCATCTTTGACCCTGGTACTGGAAAAGGAAAAAATCTTTAGTTACGATGTCAGATCAGAAAAAGTACCTCATTATATATTGGTTGACATCCTCAAGAAAGAATTCGAAGCACCGGGAGATTTACGTTAGTAATTGCTTTAAGATTGTTGAAACATGTACTTATGTAAGATACAGGGAGATGTGATGGCTTAAATGATATTTGAAAATTATACCTTATTGCATTCACTGGCGGATTGTTCACGGTCAGGATAGCAACGTTGCCTTCTCGTCTATAGTCTACCATGTTGAATCAGTTGTTGGACCAGATCTATCGCTATAATGTACGAAGTAATGTTAAATGTAAGTACAGATGTCTTTATAAGTCTTATATCTTATGTGAGATTATTATCCTAAATGATTATCTTATAGGCCCATGATATGATTGTGGTGATATAGGCTAGTATTATAAGTTATTGAATGATTTGAAGTGCAATACAGGATATATTCTGTTCGAGAAATTTTGTATTGGAGCGAGACGAAGTCGAGTGCCAATACAGAATATCGAGACAGAATATATCCTGTATTGCACTTCAAATCATTCAATAACGTTTTTATCGTGTGATCCTCTGTATTGCTCCTGAGATTGTCCCCTCCGTACCAATATTTTCTGTATTGCGACGGAGATGATCAACGGGGACAACCTCAGTAGCAATACAGATTGATACAGCACAAGAACTGACCAATCAGAGTGCTTCATTTTGCAGATCATACGATAAATGCATGTATGTAATTTAAATTGATCGGAGAAACCAAGCAATGATCGCTCAATACACGGAAACCTGTATTTAGTTTACATGGTGTCAGAGGTGGGATAGACTATTGATCTGGTTGCATCTGTTCCCCGGGCCGGGATGAACACACAACCTCAATTGTTTCGTCTAGTGTAATTATACCTATATGTGAGCAAGGACGTCTATCATATAATATGCAGTTTTCATGAACTGTGCACTCATTGTAGTACTGCCATGATGTAGTGAAATAACGGGGAGCAATAACGTGTTGACCTTCATATACCCTTAAATAATACACAGCTAGCCTACAGTTGGGGACAAAAATAAATGACAGGTCGATTTTCGATCACCATTTCCTAATTATGGTGGTCTGAAAGCCCATAATTTCCAATATTGTCTAGATATATATCCCTTAAAATTTGTATATTTTACATTTTGTATAATCTCATTCACTGATGTATGGCCTCTTGTAAATTCTCTTATTTTTAACATGGGAAATCCTCACTTCAGCAAATCCACCTGTCATTTATTTATGTCCCCGACTGTAGACGTCCCACCGTGTCCACGATATTGCATGCACTGCAATCATAGAAGGTCCAGAAAAATCTCTCCTATACTGAAGATAGGCTACAGCCTACAAGGGAAGGCATACAATAATAGAAACCAAGTGACTCACCTTTATGTGTAGGGTGTTGAGTTGTAAAGACGATCTCTGAAGAGTTCATCGGGTCTTTTTATGTGTACAAGTACAAAGTACGATCAATTGTTTATATTGATAATGCGCATGCGCATTAAATCGCAGACGATAAGTTCTACAAAGTTACGTTCGTATAAATCGAATGAATGCAGCAGAAAGCTAATACATCTTGACTAAACTTGTAAATAGTATTTTGAGTTATAGATTATCATTTTATTATCATATCATAGACTTAAGGAGTACTAAATCTCGTAGGCTTAGGCTATACTGAATGCTGAGACTTAAAGATAGCCTAGTATTAAGTTATTTATTTATCAATCTGTTAATAAATTAATTAAAGCTGTTAATAATATTGTCTGTTATTATATAAGACTTCATTTACTTAAGTAGGTTATTATATCATTAAAACTATTTATTTTTGTATGTTTTCTTTTTTATATTATAGACAAGTAGGGGAACATCGAAATATCTTTTGAACTATAAAAAGATGGTTCTTCAAAAGTCACAAAATCGAATTTTGAAATATCTGCCACCTTCTCGAGCGTCCATTTTTAACCAAGCAGCGTCTCGCTTTACGTAAGAGGTAATTCTACTTTTCACCCTCTTTTTTGGAAATTACCCCTCTCACGAGAATCTCTAAAAAATCCGGCAACAATAGAATATCGTTTTGATTTAACATTTTACATAGAGTGTGCACATTTATTATTTATTTGTAAAAATTTCGAGCTTCAAATATTAGGCAAATTAAAATGACGTCTATTTGAAAATTCACATGTCTTTGGGGCAAAACGGCCCACACATGTTATAACATACAAAAATCTTATTGTGCAAGAACAATTGGTTTTCAAATGTAACAATTTTAACATCTGGCTTGTGCCTAATTTCCTTCCGACACATATCGAATGACTAGAATTATGGTAGGGGTTAAGAATACTTTATCTGTCAAAGGTTTGAACGTCTGAGATAAGATGTTTGTGGACGAGTCTTGTAATTGATTAATTTTGGTTTCAAAACCCATGTAACAGAGGGCGGGCCGTTTTGCCCCACCCATGGGCCGTTTTGCCCCACTCTCGACAATATTTTTGACCATTGAAAAATCACAGAAGATAGTCCTAGGAAAGTATAAAACACTCGAAAAATGTAAACCACAAACCATTAATAAAGTGGAACATCAAAGTGCGCGATGATTGACAGATACGAAAATACCCCGTACAGAACAACTTAAAATTAAATTTTTTGGGCCGCTTTGCCCCATGTTCCCTTACTTTGGTGTACTTTTTCATTCGTACGCATATTTCAATTTGTTTGTACAAACAAACTTGATTATGGAAATAAATTATACAGCTGCAGAAGAGAGGAAATACCCCAGAAGTCATCGATGTTTCTTCTCTTGTGCGACAGGTTTTCCTCGATATTTTTCAGCTACCTAAATGCACATGCTGTCTTTCCTTTACGACACCAGTCTGTGAATAAGCAATTTCATTCGGTGCTCATTGTGGGCTAGAATTTTTCTTAGGTTACTGTTATTTATTTCCATATTAGAATTTCAACTTCTGCAACACTTTGATTGACAAACAATGAATATTGTAATCTCATCACATCGATGAAAACAAAGGAAAAAAATAAATTAAATCAATTAAAGAAATTCAAAAATAATACAACTTAGGCTTGAGGTGATAACGGTATACATCAGGATTGTTGATATATTGTCTGGTTGAAAGCCCATGGTATATTTACACAGCTCGGGTATTATTTATGAAAAACAAGATTAATACTTCTCCATTATGCAGGTTGGTTAACTGTCAAATCAGATCACTAATATCGAGATTACTTCATCATATCGAGTTATAATATCTATAATAGTTTTTGTATTTGTTATTAAATTATCCCAATGCTAGGCTAACTAGCTTATTTAAGGCGAATGATTGGCTAGCCCATTTGGAGTTGACTCAGTGTAAATAGGATAGTTTCTAAATAGCAGAAAAATCAATGAAATCTCGTGCTGCCATCTTTTATTCAGCTTTTAACTTGGGCTAGAGCTCCATTCATTTACATGCTAAAATCTTGGAAAAGTGGCTTAATTTCATGATTTATCAAAGTGTGTTTGTTGAATCTGTATAAAACTTGAATGATATACCACATGATGACCCTGTTTATGTACATGATGTAATTAAACATGCAAATGTTGATTGACATACAAATAATCCACGGATTTAAAGAATTTTAGCATTGCATCTATGGACATTTGGCCCAAGTTTTTTTAAATTGTTATAGAAAATTATTCAAATTACATGACTGTGTAAATCAAAGCTATTATAGGAGAAAACATTTCACTGAATTCAAATATGCCATTTAAAAGAAGGTAATGTAAGGCATTAGAGGTCTAATATGCAAGTCTCTAAAAATCTCGCGAAAAACGAGATTTAGCGAGATTTCAAAAGCTATATGGAAACTATACTATTGAATAATTATATAGCCAACAATTTTTGAAACCCGATTTCTAATTGCATATATTCTATTGGCTCTTTTCTCTACTCTGAGAATTTGGACCCGCTTTCTGCCATTTCTGCCATTTAATTTTCTACCAAATGAATTTGGTATCATCATATCAAACTTCTCCATACTTCCAAATGCCGTACCCAATTCCTCAATAAATGAAGTAAATCAAGCTGAAATAGCGCACTTCCCAACAATGGTAGCCATTCGGACATGATGATTTGAACATATCGAATCTGTAATTGGCAGTTAATGGAAACATTAAGCTCGGCAAATAAAATCGAAACGACAACCTGTGCGTATAGAATCCTACAAAAGCATGTATGACATACATCATTTTCTTCAGAAAGCATTATACTGTGCATCGAAATCAAAATTGCCAGTATTGTATTCAATAGACATGAGTAAAATGATTCCCGTTGACACCAACGCGAAATTGCAAATCCCCCCGTTCTAAACACAGCTCTGAAGCTATCAAGTATTTGAAGTAAACTAAGTAGCGCTTGTTTTGTATGCGCGCTATATACATTACTGCATTGATTCATGGACTTTGCGTTCGCGGTTACGTTGTGAAAAACATCGCCAGCTTAAAGTCTCTATTAACCAAATACTGAGAGATACCCATCCAAGAACAAAAAACATATACTTTAATAATAATATTTTTCAATTCCAAGCATGGAACATAGTTATAATGGTACCCAGGTAATAATGCAATAAAAATTAATCGTTTGATATATATTCTAAAACAAACAAAGTAATAAAGCAATGTAATTACCATTCTGTGGATAACAGAAAAAGCAGTTGGAGTTGCATCTCTTTACAGGCGGATAGTGATTCTAAAACATACGGAATGAGTGGGTTTAGTGATGATCTTAGCGATGCACAGGCAAAGGCACTGGCTGAAGTAAGTACTATAGCAACACATGCAACCGAAGTTGTTTATATCACGGCCGAAGATGGCCGAAGATGGCCGAAGATGGCCGAAGATGCTTCAAGAAACCAATCAAAATCCTCAAAAGACTGGGATTAGATCATCGGCCATCTTCGATTTTATTTTATTTATCGTCTATTTTGGTTCGCCCTTCCTTATTCAATTCACTTCGTTTAAAGTAATTCAATTTCAATCGGAGATATATTTATGGAGGGACGTGATTAGACATGATTTACAATTGTTTTAATTCAGTTAAAAATCGTCTGAATAAATTCCTGTAACACTTTGTTTTAGACACTTTTATAAACGTAAATTCCTGTCGAATTCATAATGTTCTTCTTGTTCCTGGTACTAAGGTAAAATACATAATAGTGCAATAACAAACTACGTCAATGTTTCAAATGAGTAACCATAAAATAACCATCGCTATGAAATAAACGTTATTCGAACATGACTGTATTCACGTCTTCTATAAACTTTGAACAAAGTCAATGTTTCACCCGGTGCATATTCGAGATCAATGCCCTGGCTCTGTTCTAAGTGTTTCGTTCAGTGCAAAAGCTTAACCGGAAGTAGAAATGAAAAAAGAGGAAATGAACATCGAAATTGATGATTTTGCAATATCCTGGTGAGTTTTCATGTTCGCATTGTAATAACAGACCTCAGAGCAGGGCTACTATTTTCGAATACACCCCTTAGGGCTAGGCACAAAAACTTCCTTCGGTCGTTCGGGGTACAGAAAACGTTTGTGCCAAGACCTGCGGGGTGTATTGGAAAATAGTAGCCCTGCTCTTCGGTATATTTCTTAAATATACATGTACACCATGCGGGACAACCTGACAGAATGAAAACATGACTATTTACATAATCCTTTTTATTAGGTATCATTTACACAAGGATAAAGAGGTTTCGCAACTCACTTATAGCATGCATGTCTATTATTCCCGTATAACGCATAACTTTTGAAGCGTTTGATTACGACATCATTTATTGCGCAGCTCTGTACGTCCATAAGACTGATATTCTTATGAATCCTCGTCTATACGTAAGAATATCACACTTATGGACCGATTGTTTTCATGGCACCGTCTGCATAGGGTGATTTCAGGATTAAAGCTTTGGACTTTGTGCATTGTTTGCTAAATCATACCATAAAGGTGTTGTTTCCAAATCTTTGCATGGCCCTTAATTATTTCATGCACTGCTTTCACTCAGAAATTCTCTGTTCGTACACATACCTTGCCTAGCCATGTGTGAAATACAATTTATTCATTTTTATTTCAGATAAAAGGAAATGCATGTGATGTTTCCTCGAACCCAGTGGTCGATGATGAATACTTACTCCGGTTTCTCAGAGGTATGTAAGACAATAGCCTTATTTCACTTTTGAGCAGGTGCTTATGCAAGTCAAAATGTTGACGTTGTAAAACCCTTGCAAAACGTTTCTGGTTGAATTGATGTTGAATGTGTATTGTGTTGCTCTATGAGAAGAATATTGAAAATAATTTAGAGTCTGCATTTAAGAAGTTCAAAGCTAGTATCTAAGCACTATCGACAAGATGTTGTGTGCTTTATATCAAGTTTATATTTTAGATAGTTTAGCTCCATTGTAAGTGTAGGCCAGTACGTCTTTAGGATTTTTAAACAAGGAACTAAAAAATTCTTATCTTACATATTCAAAGATTCTACAGGATCGGCTTAAAATAGTCAATCCTGGATATTGCAATTGGCTATATATTTGGCTTCTTTGATTCCAGCTCGTGATTTTGATGTCGCAAAAGCAGAGAAAATGTTACGACAGGTGAGTGAGTTGCTATATACGCACCCTATGCAGACTGTGCAGAGGGAGCCTGTGAGAAACATTGGGTGCGGCATGAATGAATGAATGGTGCGGAATTAACGGTCATTCTTTATTTTAAATTTGTGATATTTCTAAAACTACGCCCATTTTGGGTCTTAAAATATATCCATAGATGTGAAGAAGTTAACACCTACTATTAATAAAATTGTGAAAATGGTAGTGTAGTGTAATTTATTTATTCTATAGTGACGCAGTTTGCATTGAACCTTCCAGATTGAAATTGTCGTTTTTATACAGCGTCTCTAGCATTCATAAGAAATGGTGTTCAAAATACACTATCCATACAATTTTTTTACATCTCGAAAGCCAGACAGTTTTTGTGTGATTTTATAAAAATTCGGGAATGTTCATCAGATATGGGCCCCTTCTAAATATTTCCACAATTTTATTGATATAAGGTGTCAACATCTTAACTATATGGATATATTCGAAGACCCAGATTGGCTAAGTTTCAGAAATATCACAAATTTAAATTCAAAAATGACCATTAATTCCGCACCATACACTCATTCATGCCGCACCTTATTTTTCTCACTATAAACTAACGTTGCGCCAACTTGTCCATGCTTGTATCTCAAAGTTCACATATACTTATACGATTCCTCCAGTTATGGAACCCATTTAATTTTAGAAAAACAGTCAAATATATTTTCGAATATGATCCAAATACATGGAGCGACGAGCTCTTAAATGTATGTAGTACATGTACATTGTAAGATACTCTTTACTCATGGGCGATATGAGAATATGTTTGATTTTATTTATCTTTGTAGTGTTTAAAATGGCGAGAAGAAATCGACATAGAAAATCATCAAAATCGTCAGACACCAGAAGTACTAAAATTACTACCGAATATTTCTCTTCCAATTGGTAAGGCAAAAAACGGATCTCCGATAGTTTACCTTAATTACACCGGTGCTGATATGAAAGGTAAGTGGATTCATGGTAGATTCATATAAACACGTTTCGGATAAATTCAACAAAGGGTGGAATGAAACAGTATCTAGTTTCACCAATAGATGGACAAATTGTCTTCAACCTTTTGTCAAACTGCACAACTTTTGGCACACCACACCTACCAACTTACAACCAAATACGCAACTTATTATATTATTACATACTCATTATTTTTGAAAGTTGTTAGAAAATTCTGTTCCTTTGATGAGAAAGGAAGGATTTGATGGTTAGTGTTTTTACCAAACTTTAGATTTCTATTGCCAATCAATAATTTATTTATTTTTGTGTTTTATTTAAAAATTAAAAAAAAATATTTATAGGATTGTTCCGATGCATTCAAACCAAAGACTTCATGTGGTGGTTATGTTACGAATTGGAAATGGCGGACGCTGTTGTGAGATCTACTTCAAAAGTAAATGAAGAATTTATTACTTACATCTTCGTACTCAATGACACTTTACACAGTCAATATGTCTGTGCAACAAGATGGTAGCAAATACGATAGCTAATTTTGGAAAGATGTTTTATTTTCACCAGTTAAAATCATAGATTTGCGGTATAAAACAAAGCAGTTAACTGTTAGGGTTATTCACAACCCTTTTTCGTAAGTACATATACACAATTGCTGTGTACTGTTCAAACGACCTGGTCAAGAAACGCACGTATTCACATTACGTGCGCAATACTTGTATTTTACATTCCTAAACTCAACTGTCCTTTTCAGCCCTATAAGGGATTGACATTGGTTTGCGATTACAACAGGATATCGATGGACGTGCTGTCTAAACAAAGTAAATATTCACTAACAACTTTAATTTGTAATTACATGCATGTTTATAATAAGGTTTTTGCAATTTATACTACATGGCAGTATTTTAAATTTAAAAGTAAGTTTTGTTAATTATATCTTACATTTTTTGCAAAAAGACAATATTAGACAATATTTAACATTCAAAAACTATCATTTGAATAAGGTAACTGGTGTAAATTATTCCATTATCACACAGTGCAACACTAACCAATCAGGACGATGAATTTGATCACATGGTGCAACTAGCCAATCAGGACAATGTAATTGATCACATGGTGCAACACTAGTTAATCATGAAAATGGAATTCCAGCAATTATAATAATACATATGAAACAATTTTTCTTTCAGATCTTGATTTCGAAAAACAGTTTAATCCAATCATGGAAAAAAACTTCCCGGAGATTGTGAACAAAGTGCTAATTTTAAATGGTAATTTAAGGCTATTAAAGTGTGTACCAAATTTGTCAAATTCGTCACTTCAAATGAGTTATATCTAAACACGAGGGCAAAAAAGGTTAAGAATAGAGTATCAAATAGCATAAAAATAGTTTCTTTTAAAAATTACTGCTGTCATTGCAATACACATCGGACAAGATATGATTCTAATGCACTTGACACCAAATGTTAGTGCGTCAAATCTAAAAATCTAAATCTATAAAATAAAGGAGTGACGAAATTGTTAGCATTTTGCGACCACACTTTATAACTGTAAAGCCATGGTGATTTTGTATAATTTGAAGAGCAAATGGAATGTGAAAACGTCAATTTACTTGTTCATTCAAGCGTCAATTTAATCTAAATTTATTAGTTTTGTATCTTAACATGTTTAGGAATAATAAATGAGTTTAGAGGTTACATCCCCGCCATGCATTTTGACATCCCCAGTTAGATACAAGTTCCGTGGCATTTCGTTCGATGCGTTCTTTGCTTACGTCTCCGCAGATCCATGATGCATTTATACCCGGGACCATAATAATAAGAAACTTGCAAATTACGCCATTTGATTAAAATCGAGACATTTAATCTCCTTTTTAAAAAAGGTTCCTGGAATTTCCAACAGTCATATTTCTAAACAAGGCATTTCTCTTTTATATTTTCACAAGGAAACATAGTCCGGGAGATTTTTTTGAGGATCAGTCGTTTTCTTCGGAGCGGCACCCTTGGGCAACTCTCTACAGACCATTTCTCATACCCCCTATTAAAATCTACAGGGGTACTATACGACGCCTTTTATTTTGTCTGGTTTCCTTGTTCATATGCTTGATTCTAAACTATCTATAGCACAAAGCATAATTAGAAGTGAAGATTTAATAATTCATCATGCCATATATGTAATATGTCTAACATTTCAGTTGCTATGGCAACATAATTTGATAATCAGGTTCTTACGTTTCATTTTACTTAAAATTTCAAGTCTATATCTCTATTAGTGTCTGAGATATAAAGGTGTCTAATAGTACCCCCTGTATATTTTATTAGGGGGGGGGGGTGAGAAATGGTCTGTAGAGAGTTTCCCAAGGATCTCACTCCGGCATTCATTCCGTAGTTTTGAGGTCACAACCCTATATTCGTCCTGAAAAGGTAAGAAAAATATTGAAATCCGAAGAAAACGATTAGCTTTGAACTTTTTGCCAGAATAACAGTAATGAGCTAGCTCAATATCCCGATAAATCAAACATCTGCAAAAGGGAAGACACGATAGCACTGAACGAAATGCAGGGAGATTGAGTTGACTAGCGTGTTTAATGATGTAATACTGTTAAAATATATATACCATCTTGTTTTAGGATCGACAGTACTGCATATATTCCTAAAGCTCGTCAAGTACTTAATTCCGAAAGAGACATTGTCAAAACTTGAATTTTTGAAAGGTAGGGATAGTTTTAGCATTGGCTTTCAATTCTTGTTGAAAGTCGATGATTTCAGCATTTTATAAATGTTAACAATGGTGGATAAAATAAACAAATAAAAAATAAAAAACAATGAAACAGCATTGACTGTTCTTACAAGTAAGCGATATTTTATATAAAGTACTCTGCATCGCATGTTTTAAGTAAATCAGTGAATTATATTGTGCTTTGTAAAGCTTGTTTTGCATGTGTCATAGAGAAAACAATTTACTATGTGCTTTGTAACCCCCCTATCACACCAAACTAGTTCTCTCCCTTTTCTGAATTTTCACCATTTACAATAGGTGGGAAATTGCCACGATTCATGTAACAAATATCCATCAATCCGAAGTTCTAACAAACATGTAAGTTAATAAATAGAAAATCGAATTTAAATTTATTGAACACAATATTGATATCTTAAAGCCCCTTCTTCCAAAATATTGGGACAATTTGGAGGTGCAAAAAATAAAAGAACCTGTTGGCAGTTAAGTCTGTCAAACCTATAGAGGGATTTATGATATTGAAAACTAATGTATCCTTTTTAAAACAAATGTTATCTAAGAATATAAATTATAGAAAAAGTGACCATCCATTCATTTGTAATTGTCTGTTCGGCTAATATCAGATGATCGGATCTAGTACAGAGGCCAATTAATTTTTTTCAGCGGTTTGCCCCTCTTGATTTTATCAGAACCGCCCCCGTAGATTATAAGCAAGTAGAACATCTTCACTGGAACCAGACGATATTCTTGTTTGACACACGAGAGAAATCATAATATCAATAATTTGTTTGATATTGAATATTGCCTTTCGTGATTGTTCTTTGAGGTAAATTGTGTTGATATCAAAATTATCAGTAAGAATTACCCCCAGATATTTATATTTATTTACACGTTCAATTTCTTGATCATTAAAAGAGAAAAGGGCAGAAAATGTAGAGTTAAAACTGAGTACCTTTGTCTTTTAGGTATGAACTATAAGTCTATTGATTAATTTAAATTAACCCAAGGCCATAGAAATTAACTGGGTTTTATGAAAAATGAAACTAAAAACTAAAAATGCATTAAATTATAGCTTTGCAATTTACATATACACTCCCCTCCATAAGTTTAGCAAATAAATACACTCCCCTCCATAAGTTTAGCAAATAAATACACTCCCTCCATAAGTTTAGCAAATAAATACACTCCCCTCCATAAGTTTAGCAAATAAATACACTCCCCTCCATAAGTTTAGCAAATAAATACACTCCCCTCCATAAGTTTAGCAAATAAATACACTCCCCTCCATAAGTTTAGCAAATAAATACACTCCCCTCCATAAGTTTAGCAAATAAATACACTCCCCTCCATAAGTTTAGCAAATAAATATACTCCCCTCCATAAGTTTAGCAAATAAATACACTCCCCTCCATAAGTTTAGCAAATAAATACACTCCCCTCCATAAGTTTAGCAAATAAATACACTCCCCTCCATAAGTTTAGCAAATAAATACACTCCCCTCCATAAGTTTAGCAAATAAATACACTCCCCTCCAAAGTTTGACAACCGGAAGTTTTCATTTGGTGACATTCAAATGACATTCAGGATTTTAATTCAGTTTCCTAATTATTACAATAGTGATGACTATTTTTAAATCGTTAAACACATAAAGATAATCGCTTAACACAGTGGCCCAAAGGGGACTTCCAGTTGTCAAACTTGTGGAGGGGAGTGCATGTCCTTGTTCTGCATTGGTCATGGATTTCTTTAAGTATACTTCATCTGCAAAAACTGTAACATTTATAGTTGTGACTTTGATTAGTTTTGACTAGTTTAATAAATGTATATTTCTGAACTATAACCGATTCAGTAAGTTCTATACGCAGCGCAATCAATTGTTTAAAAGTGGTCTGCGTTTCTATGAACGGTCGAGGTGAAGGTCCTAAAATCATGAGCTATTCGCCATCCTCCATACGCGGCTCCAGCCTAAACATACTTAAATAAATCCAGAGTGAATGAATTCTGAATCCTTGCGTTCGGAGGATGACTTTTTAACATGGCTGTATTTTCGGCGATCGTACTTAAATAGCAATCTGCTTTGTATTCCTTAGATCCAAAGGATTTAAAGAAGTTCATAGATGATGACCAACTTATAGGTCATTATGGGGGAACTTTGGTTGATGAAGATGGCGACCCAAAGTTTAGCAGTAAGGTAGAGTAATATTGGGAAATACTACTAGACTCCAATAGCGTATGTCATAAGTGTAGGTCGGAAAAGTTTTAAATTGTAAATTCTCAAGATCCTTAATTACAAAAAGTCATTATATCATGCCTGTTATTGAGAAAACATCAATGTTTCCATGTATATATATATATTTATAATAATTATATTAATTCCAATCAACCATTTTCTAATCTTGTTTCATAGATCATCTACCCAACAAAGATTCCTGAATCGTTTTACATAGCGCCAAACTTTGCCGATTATGAGCTAAACTCCGATTACACCAAAGTTGAAATCGGAAGGGGCAAAGAAATTAGTGTTGCAGTCGAGGTCGCCACAATAGGATTCTCAATCATGTAAACGGTTTTGATATTTATGTTGATCAGTGTCTTTATTTGGAAATGAATGTTTCGAGATTGTTGGCTGGTTTATCGTCACTGATATGGCTACCGATTCCGTCTCTGTATTTTAGCAACTGCAAGTTCCCCTCGCGAGATAATGTATGTGGTAAACATGTTAATGGCTGAATCTTTTTTTTAATTTACTCCTACACTACAATTGTTCAAAAAATAATAACTAATTTGATTAGTTCGTTAGAAGCGCAAAATTAAACTGTAATGAGAGATGTCGATGTAAATAAGCTCTACTACAGATATGGAAAGCCAATTTGTTTCATTCTGCAACGTTATTTTGTACAAGCTATCGAATCTTATTTGTTTTCCAATGAATATATAGAATTAAGCAATGATCATATGATAAACGAATGGCCAGTTCAGTATGCAGGTAGTTCGCCGAGTAAGTCGCGTTTCGTTCATTGTAGCATTTTAATTTTTCAAATATAGTGGCAAGTTCAAAAATTGCCAGCAAATGTTTATCCGTTGGGCCACATTGTAGTTAGGTCTTAAACATTTTTCAAAATTGTCCAGATTTCAGACGACAGTTTCCCTTTCTTATGATAAAAAGTAGAAATGAGCATGGAATTAATTGCCATAATTTTACACGTAATGTTTCAGATGTACTGTCAAAGGGTAGGAGGTCCCATTAATTTATGGTCCTAATCTCCATTGTGTTAAGTGATCCAATCGGGGCCAGTAAGGGCCTTTAAAAAGGGGGACCATAATCCCCGGGGGACCATAATTTCTTTCACGGTATACCATAGATAAATGGCTGGAAAAGTAATGTAATTATTTATGGTACATAAGTAAAAAATGAACATATATTCATATGTAATAAAACATTTTTTCTAAAGATATCATTACTACAGAATTATTTGAGGAGCTATATTCAAAGATTTAAAAATAGATTTTTACTCCTCCAGAAACCGGAGTTTCAAAATTCTAAGGTAATATTACTGGGTTAAAGAGGGCGCTACGAACGACATTACGCACAAACGAACCAATGTGGTAAATTGAATAAAGCTAGACTATTGTTATTTTATAGATGGTTCGTTCTAAGTAAAGATGGAGAGCTCGAAATCGGGATAAATTTTAAGGTAACCAATGTTTATTAATTTATATAAAGATTTCTCTTTGCGAAGATTATGAAAGGCCTCGTTTGAAGTTTTAACCATTCTGGGTTTACAGTGTTTTTACATGTTAATAATTATAATTATTAGGGCTTCACATATATATCGATATAAGCTCGTGATTACTATGGTTAAACTTGAAATTGATGTATTGATTTGATTGACTATCGTATACATAGGCTGAATCTGGTGAGGTTGAACCTTTTGAATCAATGAACAAAGTACTAAAAACTGTTAAGATATTGATATATATATTGATTACATTGACTACAGGCTGAATCCGGTGATGTTGAACCCGTGGAGCCAATGAGCAAGGTAAACTGCGACGTATGCCCAGAGTCTGGAAGCAAAATATGTAGCAAAGTTGGCACATGTAAGTACAACTGCGAAAAATCTGAACTTCATCAACTGTAAAATCTGTTGTTAAAATGGAACATATTTGCTCCCTCTAAAAAGTGGAATTCCACTTACATTCATTTAACAATAAGCAAATAGTTTTTGGGGTTTTGAACAATGTTCCACTTCTGAAGGATTGACACAGAGGTGTTTCACTTTACAGGTTTTACAGTATACCCATTACTATTTCCATACATCATGGGGATAATTCCTCTTCACATAACAAATTGTCATCTTGCTTCATCAAGCTTCGGACCTATCCTCGATAGAACGTAGTGATTGAGCGTGGGAACCGACGATGACAAATTGTCCCAACGATATAAAAATTATTATCTTTTGGCCGGCTATAAAGCCCCTAATTTACCATATCACCATTATTTTTATTCTTGATTTGATTGTTTGGAACAATGCAATGATATTAACCAATCTGTATTCTTTCATTTTATTTGTAGATACTGTGGTGATAAGAAACAACGCAGTATTGAAAAGCAAGAAAGTGGCTTATAATGTTGAAGTCTTAAAGGAGGATGATAGTGAACCAATACTCACAAAGTTGTAAATATATAAATACATTGAGTAGACTATTGACAATGTAAGGTGATAAGAAACAACGCAGTATTGAAAAGCAAGAAAGTGGCTTATAATGTTGAAGTCTTAAAGGAGGATGATAGTGAACCACTACTCACAAAGTTATATAAATACATTGAGTAGACTATTCAAGATATAAGGTGATAAGAAAGAACGCAGTATTGAAAAGCAAGAAAGTGGCTTATAATGTTGAAGTCTTAAAGGAGGATGATAGTGAACCAATACTCACAAAGTTATAAATATATAAATACATTGAGTAGACTATTCAAGATACAAAGGTGATAAGAAGCAACGCAATATTGAAAAGCAAGAAAGTGGCTTATAATGTTGAAGTCTTAAAGGAGGATGATAGTGAACCAATACTCACAAAGTTATAAATATATAGATACATTGAGAAGACTATTGACAATATAAGGTGATTAGAAACAACGCAGTATTGAAAAGCAAGAAAGTGGCGTATAATGTTGCAGTCTTAAAGGAGGATGATAGTGAACCAATACTCACAAAGTTATAAATATATAAATACATTTAGTAGACTATTCAAGATGTAAGGTGATAAGAAACAACGCAGTATTGAAAAGCAAGAAAGTGGCTTATAATGTTGAAGTCTTAAAGGAAGATGAAAGTGAACTAATGCTAACAAAGTTATAAATATATAATTACATTAAATATTCTCAAAAGTTGACTATTCAAGACACAAGGTGTCCAGGAAGTAAGGATAGCAATGCTCATTCTCTATTCAAGAATTAAAGTTGTTATTATAAGTTGTCATGCATGTTTGTCAAATCAATTTATTTTTTCTATTAATTGTTTTCTTTATCTTAATGTAACTTAAATGTATTCAAGTAACTAATAAATATAATATAAAAATAATAATATATATGATAAATACTGGCATTATTCTAGGTAAGCCATATTGATAGCGGTTAAAATGGCAGCCAATGTGGAATTTCCAAAATTTAAACGCCAATATCTTTGGAAGTAGGGAAAAGAAAAAAACTAACCCTTCTTACTTTGAAGATAATAATCATGTTATTGTAACATACAATGTACTAGGAGAATTGGAATTATTACTCTAAAACTGTTCTGCAGGGGGGGGGGGTGAAGACTAATAAATTAACATAGACCTCAATGTAAATGTGCAAAAATTTCGAGGCCACTTTTCAACACCACTTCGTTAGATATCAAAAATATATGTATTAATGACACTTCGGTCAAAAATGATGCTTTATATACAGTGTCTCAGAAAAACGCAACAGACAAGAACTTTGTAACAACTCAAAACCAGTGATAATACAAGAGATCATTTTTTAAAAAATGAAGGCTCGCGGTGTGAAGGAGATGTTTTGCAGTGTTGTTATGAATTGTATTGATAAATAGGGATGCTTACTTTTAACGCGGTTGTAATTTACCGAACGGCAAAAGTAGAAAAAATCCGAACATTTTGAACTGATTAAGATCTTTAAATTGTGAAGGTCTGAGTACATGGACCTCTTAGAAAACATCCAAACATATCAAAAAGTGAAGATGGGTCAATTTGATTCTCGTTCTCCGAAGATATTAATAAAATAGTTAAATGTTCGGAGTTTTTAATGCTGTAAATTGTTTACAATTCTAAATCAAATCGCTCCTATTTCTGTCGTATATAGGAAATCATGCTGCCGAAAATCAGTGCACAGTGTTCATGGTGTTGTTCAGAGGGGGAGAAACACCAGGGTTCAAAGATGACATACGCTTATAATGTAAATCTGTATTGAGATGACATCGTCGCTGATTGGTCAAAAGTCGACAAACAAATGACGTCATCAATGGCGGTTTCAAAATTTTCGAAATATGCTTCGAATAATATTATCTTCATTTCTGGCGTGTTAACCAATATCATAGCTTCTCATTTCACATCAAGATAAAGAAAGGTGTACGGAATATGCCTATATCAATTAAAACATCCCATCGAAGTGTAGTATTTGATAACTAGCCGATGAAAATTCGAACGAACGAAGGTGGTAAGCAAGAGAGGTAATTTCAAAAAAGTTCCCAATTAAAAAGGCTTTAATGCTGTTTACAAATCGGAAACTATGGCAGAATCAACAAAGGGTTTGTGAAATAATTAGGATATGGTTTCAAAATTATGCACATGACAATATATGACTACTAAATGCAGGCAGGGACTTTTAATTGCCAAAAAGTCGAGTGACATTTTAGACGGAGAAATTTTTATGTCTGTCATCTTTAAACTCTGGGGCTTTCCCTCCTCTTGTGTTGTTGTACAATTGCGTATATGTCGTTTGAAACCCTCTCTAACGCAATTTTATAATAAATTAACACCTTAGGGGTATTGAACTTTTGCTCGGGTAATTCTCATTTTCATCAATAAATATTAACCCATCAGGTTTTCTACTAATAAACTAACGTTTAAACCTCAGTCAATTACTCAGATGCGAGTAGGTAGTTACCAGTTTCGCCACCAGGTGGCTGATTCGGGGGAATTAACATGGCAGGGTATTACAAAATTCCCTTAAACTTGAATATGCATCAGTTTTAGTGGTTTCACTTTTCATATTACCCCTATGTATCTGATAGTTATACAAATTAAAATATGTCCAGTCAAAGAAAATATTATCTGCCCAACACAAGAAAAGATATTTCACTTTTTGTGGTTTTACAACATGGTGTCTATGGGGAATCTCCCCGACCTAGAAGTCACATTTTCAAAGAAAATTAATTTTTTAAAGTTGATAAACTCTTTTCAAAACCACACTTCTAAATGTAATTTTACATGAAGATTCCAAGTATGACATCAGTTTGACTGAATTGTGAGTTTTTAATGACGTAAATCAAGATTATTTCTACTCGCATCTGGGATATTGTCGTTATCACTTACTACTAAACACAAGTGAGATATGGCGCTTGCCTCAGCACGAGCCTATATCAATTTCAGTAAATCTACCATGGATTCTTCTTTCCTTGAGATATAATGCAGATATGAGAATGTGGAATAAAAGATTCATCATGTGTGATCAGGTAGATAGTCAAGATTCACATTGCAAAATGATTTTGGTAAAACAGCCACATGGAAAATGTAGAGTAATGAAAACGGTTATGACCATGAGTTATAAGTTCATTTTAAGGAATGCTTACTTCACAAACCTGAAGACTTGAGAGTTGTCTTGCTGCACCAGGTCTTTATATAGCTGTATAGTATATAGATAGATGCTTTCTTAGAATGGTTTCTATGGCACCTTCATTTTCTCTATGACTTCGTATCATAGATAAGTTAACATGTTCATCATCAAGTACAAGGTCGATCAATAAGTTATAAGATGAGAATGATCGACTTTCGACTTGAAGACATTTTCAAAGGATACATGTAATGATAAAAAAGGAGAACGGAAGGTATCGCAACAGATTTCATACAGTCATATGCTGGTGTAACAGATTTAAGTGTCCCACAGTGGTCAGTGTCCGTAGGAGGACATTGAAAACCAGGTTTTATTTCCTATATTTACAATGGGGAGACAGTTATAACTGGGGAGACTCTCAGATCCCAGATCATTCTGTTATCAGAGCCTATCTTTATCTAATGTGTAGACGTCCCAAGGGATGGTTCAGACTGTTAATCCCACAATGAGCGAAAATCATTCTGTTATCAGAGCCCATCTTTATCTCATGTGTAGACGTCCCAAGGGATGGTTCAGACTGTTAATCCCACAATGAGCTAAAATCATTCTGTTATCAGAGCCCGTCTTTATCCAATGCGTAGACGTCCCAAGGGATGGTGCAGGTTATGGATCTAATGATGAACTGACGATGAGATCATCGTTTTATAGGTTACAGTATGTAAACTATTGCACTATTGATCAAATTTTTAAAAAGTCAATTACTTATGCTAAATCACTTAATTATTTTTAGCATTGAATTTTTAGCATATTGAATATTAAAGCCATACATTGATGCTGAGTTTTTGAATTACCCGCGGTGGTAGTGCGTTGCGTAATTGGTGGTGAGATTTCCCCAGGGTATCAACACTCTACTACAGTGTGTCTCAAAAAAATGTTACACTTACAAAAAGTCCAATATCTCTCATGATTTTGACTTTTCCCCAACATATACTTAGATACCAAAAACTAGTCTTTCTCGATTAAATCCGCACCATCAGATTCAAAATCGGCTGCACAGGACAGATTTTATAGTCCCTTGTGAAATCTGATTTGCGCCAACTTCTTAGTGGTTGGACATGTGGTGATCAATTCTTTTTTGGCGTGAATGCTGTGGACAGTGATATCTTGATATGATCAATGATCCAGTTGTTTCTTTCCTGGATAGAAATACAAGATTTCAATGTCAGAGTGTTCAATTTTGTTATGTATGATGTCAACAGGATGGTGCAAAGGCATGTGGCAGATTGTTTGGTAGAACTTGGAAATCAGAAGATAGCATTAACTTACCCAATTGATTGGCCCCCAGGGTCACCCCACTTTACACCCTTGGTTTTTTGAAGGGCCTCCGAAAGAGCTTTATCGCATCACAAACTGACCTAAATGAACTTCTGCAAAAATAATTGATGGAATCCGAGTGATATTACAATGCATGTGCGCATGGGCAAGGGTACCTCAGATTTGCTTTGGAGAACATGTTGAGGGGAGAACATGTTGAGGGGACCACATGTTTATGTGGATAGACCCAATGATCATATGTAAGACAAATTGGAAAATTACAGAATGACTCAGTTAAAGGTCAAACTGCTACTCAGAAGAAAGTCAAATGTTAAAGAAACTGTTTCTCTTATGTCATTTGGTCCATCCAATCACTTGGAAGTTGGCGCAAGTCAGATTTTACCACGATGCACTAAAAGCTGTCCTGTGGAGCCAATCAAGGACACATTTTGAATCTAATGGTGTCAAATTATTCAAGAAAGATTTGTCTTTTGGTCTCCAAAGTATATTTTAGGGGAAAGTCAAAATTATGAAAGATATTGAACTTTTTGTAAGTGTAACATTTTTTGAGACACACTGTATACCTAACCCCTAGAAATGCATGAGATACTCTGTTTGTCTAATTGTGTCGTTTATTATATTTTTGAAAGTACCTTATTATCATCTAACAGTCATCCGATAAACCGATGGGTTTTATAATGTCCCCTATGTCGCCAGGCTTGTAATTTCTCTGCTTTCGCATGTCCCTTTTACTCAAGTTGTGTGACATGAAAAAAGTAATAACGTGTTACTATATGTGGATTATCTCATCGAAAGAAGTTGGGCTGGAGAAATTTCCCTCAGTTTGTTTCTGTAGGGGATCAGTGAAATACGTTTCTGTTCATATTTTAGGCCATTGAACTTTTCATAAAAATTAGAGCTCATATACAACTGGCATATAAACTTTATATTATTCTATTCAAATAATATAGCCTTATTAAATATATGTTTCTTATTTAACAATACTTCTCCCGATAGGATGATAATTTCTCGCCCCAGAGGAACGTTTTAAATCCCTTAATACCTACAACCTACACATTCGATTGACAAGTTACTTGATGTCCAAAGTATCTGTTTTAATGTTAATAATTAGATTGGTGAAATTGAACTAAGTTAAATTCAAGATTCCAGATAATGACTTTTTTCATAACTAGACTCCAGATGTAGACTTTTTTATGCCGAGTCAGAATAAGCCAAGTCATCCAGAATAAACTGAGTCATCTAGAATAAGAAAGGTCATCCTGAATAAACTGAGTCATCTTTATAACCATTCATATATATGTCACCGAATGGAACTTTTTAAAAGAAAATCTTACCTGTAAATCTTGCCTACAGGCGAAAAAGAGGACATGCCCCCGGGGACATGCCGTCTTTCCCATCCGCCATTTTTTGTTATCGGTACAGCAAAATTTTGCAAATCGCCTTGACGTAACCTTCATGCTATAGCAGGGTGATAATTCTTTTGAAAAACATCAAACTTAATCGCTATCGACCCCCTGTGGTGCACTATCAACAAGCTGTCGCGGTTGACACAAGTGATCAGTCGATAAGATTGACACATCGTAATTAGCGGTGTAGGTGCGCTTGGATGAACTGTTTTTGTTGGCTGTTGACTGACCATGTAATTTGCACATCAGGGGCTCATTGTTCGTTTTCGTGATACCAAGGGGAAATCTCATTAAATATTACGCAATTCGCTGGCACCGCGGGTAGTTCAAAAACGCGGCCTATGAAACCACTACTATTAAAGGAATATTCCTTGCCAGACCCTTTCTCTCTTGATATGGTAGCTATAATCATATATATAGTTTCCATATTTAGCAAAGCATGAGAAATGTTTTAATATGGTCAATATTGATCAATTAAAAATCTAGTACTTATTTCCAGTGAGCTGCCATCTTTTAAGATTTCTTGCAGGAAGTGATGTCATCAACTCTCAACTTCTATAACCTTGCCCATAACAGTATAGGAAAGTAGCACAAAATCACTTCTAGACAAGTGATCATTATTTTCCGTGCAAAAATATTTTCAGGGCTTGTCAACTTAGAATAAAAGAAGAGATTTTCAGAAGGATTAAATAAGATACAAAGTTGAAAAAGAATATTTAGCTGGTTTTGTAATTCTTATAGCTCCTCACCTAATACTATATGCAAAATTGAGAGTCGATGACATCACTTCCTGTGTGAAATTTTAAAAGATGTCAGCTTACTGGAATTGAGCATCACATTTCTAAGTGATCAAATTTGACCATATCAAAACATTTTTGCGTGTTTTGCTAAACATGGCAAGCATATATATGATTATAGCTACCATATGAGGAGAGAGATGGTTTGGCAAGGAATATTCCTTTAAGGAGTATTTAATATACAGAAATGAATCGATTGTTGAAAATCATGTTGGCAGTGCGCATGCGCTACATTGTTTTTGGACTTTTGTTTATCATGGTTTTCTGCAGTCTGAATTATTCATTCCCTACCAACTTTGAGAAAGATTTTAAACTTTTTTATCAAAAACCTCTCGCAGAACAAGCAAAGATTGGACAATCAGATGTTTTAACACAAGCAAAATCTTTTAATCAACATCAAAATCAGCACAAAAATGATGAAAAATATACTGAAAATAAAATGCGTAAAAACGAACAGACATTTTTAGAAATCAAAACTGCAAGTGAGCCACCACATAGTGGAAAGTATGAACAGCCAGATAAAGTTAAAGGTGAAAGGGAGAAAGATGGACTAAATAGTCCAAAGGCAAAGAAAGGTGAAATTGACATCGTTCAAGACGATGGCCATAAAGTCGGCTCAAGCACCAAACCGAAAAATGTTTACTTTGCAAAAACGCACAAAGCAGCCAGTACAACAATTCAGAATATTCTTTTCAGGTACGGAGAAAAATATAATCTGACATTCGCAATGCCATGGGATATTAACCGGGCTGGATATCCAAACCATTTCACCCCCGAGGTTATCATACCACTAGCACATGGTTATAAAGAATATAACATTTTCTGTCACCACACTCGATACCACCAAAGAATCACCAATTTTATGCCACGGGATACTCTATACATAGGGACTGTACGAAGTGTAGAAAGCCAATTTCTCTCTGGATATATATATCATAAAGTCTACAATTGCTTCAGAACGGGAAAAGATAATATTACTCAAATTCTGAAAGTGATGCTAAAGAATAAACATGGGCGACAATGTGGACCATGGAAGGTCTCCGCTCAGAGCGAACAAATTTACGATTTTGGATTTGAAATAAAGGATATGCTGAATGTAACAATGATCAAGGAATATATACAGTTTTTAGACAATGCCTTTGATTATATCTTTGTGGCTGATTATTTCTATGAAAGTTTGGTTTTGCTGGCAGATATTCTCAAAGTGCCATTAGGTGACATGGTATATGTTCGCCTAAATCAGGTTCAACGATATCCAGAATTAAACAAACAAGACGTTAAGATGTTAAAAGAGTGGAATGTTGCTGATTATATGTTATTTGATTATTTCAATCAATCTTTTTGGAGACGTGTCGAGATATATGGAACGGAAAAACTATACCGCAATGTGGAAACATTAAAACAACTTCAAAATACAACCACGTTAAATTGCACGAAAAATTCAGTGAATAGTCAATGCGAATTAATGAAGTTAGCCGAAACAAAATTTACACAGGATTTAAAATTGAAAATGATTTTTGAAGAGCGTCTGAATGCAAAAATAGCTTCTCAAATCAAATTCAATACTAAATGGCCAGGTAAATCAAATCAAAGAAATTATCCTTTTCACTCAAGAGCATTTAAAGAGCGTTACTTTAAAAACTGTTCGAGAGTCAGGTATCTATCGGAAATAAAGCAAATCAAGGTTTGAGTACCGTAATCCAACACCAAATTCGAAAATTCAGAACAATACTTTGCACATTGGCGTTCGTGATCAACTATAAAACGCTTACCCCCCATAGTGTTATATATAAAATTTACCTGTTCATATAGGGGTTCGAGTGATCTACATCAAATCATAGGGAGTCAGGTTACTTTTTGAGATATCAGCGTCCATTTATTGTAACTCGCGTTTGCTACCATTTCCTCAATTCTGAGATGACGGGCAAACGCTTAGTAAACATGCTCACGTCGGAACTATTTTGACCTACATCGCCATTTTCCTAATTCAAATAAAAGTTGAACTCCTCCTCTTTATTTTGATACCAAATAGTGGCATACTAGGTACCCTAGAAGCCAACTATGACGTTATTTAGAACAAAACCACAAGTTTTTAAATGGACTATATAGGGGTCATACCTTTTGGCGGATGGATATGGAACCTCTTAACCTCAAGTGAAATTTATTTGAAAGGCTACATTTAAAATATCTAACTCGAGAATCAATATTTTTACATGTTTTGTTAAGGATTTAATGTCAATGTAACATTACATCTCACCCATATGCTATATTAAATATGATAAATCGTCGTTCTTCAACAAGTTACTTTGATGGAACGTCAATGTAACAAAATGGATGAACTTCCTGGTTCTGTTATATTACCAATATATGTTACTTTGACGACTTTAAAAATCAAATTCCAAATTGAGGGCATTTCTAAAAGCTAGACTATATTGTCTCGCTTTGTGCCAAATAATAATCCGCAAGATGACTTATACGAAATAGCCCAGTCAATAATGGGTCCGATAGTTAACGATCATAATATATATTCTTAGATTTTCGGCACATTGACTAATATTGACATTCTAAAAAGTTTGATCCGCATTGCCAAGTACGAATCGCACTCCTTCTTGGTGAAAATCCAAGATGGCCGCCAAAATTATCTACAATTATATAATATTCGGTTGATAATTTTTTTCATTCCCTTTTCTCAATAAAATGCGGTTAATTAGGGTTTTTCAATATCGATTGATAATATTTCCACTCAGAAAAATATTTAAATTATCTAAAAAGAAGATTTTGGTTGTTCAATATCACCCATTATTAACATTTCGTCAAAATCTTCGATAAATCTATACAAGCCATTAACATGACAAAATGTCACCACCTAGTTGCTCACAATATCATTAGTTCACATGTTAAGTCAAATTTGAATTTCTGAGAACTCTGTATATGATTTTGAAAAAGAAATTGGTCAATTTAAAGCAAGTTTTTTGACCCTGAGAAGGCCAATAAATGTCACATCTCAAATCTGAAGTCAAATTTAAACTTCCGAGAACTTGTAGATGATTTTGAAAAAAATTGGTCAATTTGAAGCAAGTTGTAAAATACCCTTTTGACCTTTCTTTGACCTTTAGAAGGTTATTGAAGATCAAATTGTAATGCGACCTTACTAGGGGGTATTGAGATGGTACTGAAAATAAAGCTGAGCAAAAGAACAAAGGACAGAGGGTATTTACAAGGATGACAATCGGATAAAATCAACACGGTTTACAACATCAAATATTTATTTACAACATATAACAATACATGCATACAGTAAGCCACTAACAATAAGAGATAAAATGGAATATATCCAATACTCAACAAAGCATGGTCCAAAATCCAAATCAAACAAGAAGCCACAATCACACAACAGTCTTCATCGTATCATGCCCTCTGGTCAACTGACGAACTCAACCTTGTACTCACATATAGGATTCAACTCAACCAAGACCAGTTTAACCAATAAGAAATCTCTATTTCAAATATCGTCATGTGACTTATAAAAGTGTACTAGTTTTTAGCGACAGATATCGATCTAAATTCAATACTTGTTCCAATAACAAGTTACTATGATGCCGTTCTATTTACACGACGTTAGCATTGTTTGGAAGTTAAAAACATGAAAAGCCTTATCAAGCAACCGTTACAAAATCTTAAATCCAAAGTCAGATTTGAACTTCTAATAGATGATTTGGAAAAAAATTGAAGTCAGTCTGACCAGTATTTGTTATTGTTATTGGAAGTTTTAAAAAGGATCTAGTGCGCTCTCCATTATGATCTCCCCATGAGAAGCATCTCCCCATCTCGCCCAATGTCAAATATTTCACTATATTGCCCGCAGAAATCACGTTATTAGTATTATTACCACCGTTAATGCCCAGGGCTGAAATAACAAGAACTGAACGAAAGTCTACGCACTGAACGATATCTTATTTCCCGGGAAAAATTGCCGGGAGTTAATGTATTATTGGCCCGCCACTATGGCCCGCCACTATGGCCCGCCACTATGGCCCGCCACTATGGCCCGCCACTATGGCCCGCCACTATGACGTCACATATTGCTAAGGTCGATTTAGTAAATTCGAACATGACTGTATTCACGCCTTCTATAAACTGTAAACAAAGTCAACATCTTACCCGGGGTATATTCGCGAAGAATAACCCTGGTAATACGTATAATGTGTGACGTCATACCGGTGGGTCGTAGTAATGGCGGACCATTACGTTATGAATATTCGAAACATTTTGGAGGGTTTTCATGTTCGAGTCGCAATATAGACCTCAGAGCAGGGGTAATATCGTCGAATACACCCCTTAGGGCTAGGCACAAAAGTTTTCGAACCCCTCACTCCCTCGGTCGTTCGGGGTACATAAAAAGTTTGTGCCTAGCCCTGTGGGGTGTTTTCGACAACATTACCCCTGCTCTTCGGTCTTTTCTTAAATAAATGCCTTCAAAACGGGCTTCAAAACTAGCATTAATACCCCTTGGACAGGGCCGGCAACGTGGTAATAGTATTAACACCTTTCCGTGGTAATAGTATTACCACCTTTCCGGGCCTGTTCACCCGGCAAGGTGGTAATATTATAGTATTAACACCTTGCCGAGCCTGTTCTAGGGTTATTAGTGTTAGTTAAATTAATTGGATGTGGTGGCTCCCCTTAGTGAGTTAATCCGTGGAGATTGCATTCATGTTGCTGAGGAGAAGTATACTCGGCGTTGGTGGTGAAGGTTGGAATTCAAATGCAAACTAAAATAATTGAGACTATTTTTTAGATGTAGACGCACTCCCCCCACCCCCGATGGCACTGTACCACTACAGGTATCACGTTCACACGACCGCAGTGTAAACAGAAAAACTGATATAAATATCTTCACGATCTTGTAAATATTCAATAACACGTATCAAAAGAAAAGCCATTTATCCCTAAATCTTAAGTTTGTAACAATAAAACCAACTATTCGATTACGAATAAATGATTGTTCTTTAAGATCCCATTATATTGCCAAGTCCGCGCATAAAATTCACGATCGTCAATTTTAAACTTAATACAAAATCACAAAAAATAGAAATTGCGAGGGATGAATAAAATCAAAATTGAGTCTTATCTGTGGTATTGAACAATACACATAAGAATGTTCAAGGAAAATGGAGAAATGGAGCAATTTAGATATGACAATTACTGGTTTAAACTATATAGAACGGTATTGAGACTCGACTTGAGAATGCCACTCGATATTTTGAGAGATCAGCGGTACCTAAGTTCAGTGTATACAAATCTATAAGAGTAAACACACTTCAGAATTGAATTTTTGTTGCCTTTTGTGAGAACATTGAACGACTCGTTAAAAAGATACTTCCGACCACGGGGGTTAATCGTTAGGGTGTCTTCATTGGCTGGGATTAGTTGTCAATGGCAACAACATGACATTTATGGGAGATTCCACGGATTCCAGCATGAAAAGAAAAATACAAATCAATGATGAACATATGAGTAATCAACCAAATAAAGTATGTGAACAGAATGGCAGCGAATTACGTGGACGTTTAGAGACAAATGATGTCAACAATAAGACACTAGAGAGCCACAAAACCAACAAAACGATTTTAGAGGGTAGTTCTGCCAACAAATTGACACAAAAAGTGAATTTTACAACCAACAAAACGACATTAGAGGGTCGAATAAACAACAAAACGACACTAGAGGGTTGTACAACCAACAAAACAGCTTTAGCGGGCAGTTCTGCCAACAAAGCAACGCTAGAGACTTGTACAACCAACAAAACTACACTAGAGAGTCGTACAAACAACAAAGGGACAGTAGTGTGTCATACATCCAACAAAACGACATTAGAGGGTCATACTACCTCAGAGATCCCAATGGAGACCCATATAAGGGACGTTTTACAAGAGAATAGGACATTGTTAGTGTCAAATATCATTCCAACGGATGATCTATTAGAGCTGTTGGAATCAAACAAGGCCCTGAGTGCAACTATGTTACAGGATATAAAGGTAAACATTTTGCCCCATGGAATCAAATTAATTAAAATGAAGATAATTCTTAATTTGAACTTCTGTGAGATGTAGTAAATATATATTGTAATTTCCGGTGATATAGTAATTAATTTATATCAGGGGGCCAATCTTGAACGTACAGTAATGCCATGAACTTCTAATCACAATCTTGAAAGTCATTAAAAGTTCATGGTAATATCCAGAACTTTGCTCGTTCCCAATTCAATGTATTTAGGATTCGACTTTTTACCGTATATGGTATAACATTGTTCAATCAACCAATTATAGAAATATGTGAAAGTTAATTTTTGGTTCATTTTTCTCTCACTACATGGTCTGTTCAGGAATTCTCAGTTTTTCTTTGATTGTAGTATTTCATTCATATTACATCAGTCTTCGAATGGAATTAGCAGATACTCAATAAAAAAGATTGAAAATAATCATTGATTGAATCATAAGACATCAACGGTTTCAAATAATAGAATTAGATTAAAAGGTCACGATGGCCTATTTTAAAAATCGTCGTTTCCAACATGTTAGAATCTTTATTCGTTGCTGCCGATTCAAATGCAAAAGTAAATGCAATACATATATATATTACAATTGTGTCACCTTTAACTGTATGTCTGAAAGAACTCAGCCACGTAACCCCTCCATTAGACCCACCTAGTAGAATAATGTCGAACTTTTAGTAAGTCAATGCGACACGTTGACATAGTAACAAAATACAACATTGAAATAAAGCACTTTAATTTTGACAATTTGCGCACAATATGTTTGTATACACACAAGCTTTTGTTGTCAATATGTTTGAACTTTAATCCCTTTCGGGGTATTGTCAGGATTTAAACTAATTAAGACGAGGCAAAAGGTGATAGGCGAGGTAAAAACAAGATTTTACCAGCGTTGAACTTTTTACAGTTTTAGTTTAAAAAAGTCTCAGTAATTAGAAAATTGGTGAATTAATTTCTGTAATATGACTATTAATAACTAATAATATAGTTGTTTGAAAAATATTTGTGTAAAATTTTAGTGAGACAGTTGCCTTGCCTCGTTTCTAGGCCCATGCCCATCAACACCAATGTTTACTTACCCTAGGTTAAGGGAAGTAAAAAAATCGACAATATGCCATCATAAAAGCATAGTCAATACTAAACAAGTAAATGAAAATACAAACCGATTAGGTTTTTTGTTTAAACATAAGTTAATGGAAGAATACATCCACTTCCCTATTACTTAATTAATAATTACTGAATGCTTTTTGTCGCATTAAAGAGAAATCTTTTGAATAAGCGGATTCATTCGAAATGACCAATAATCCTGGTTAATGGTCTATTTAGTGAATTTTGAAACAACTAATTAAAGTGTGACATTTCTTATTTCAACTTCAAGAAGGGTTTAAAACGAATCAACAAGATATATCCTTTGGGATAAGTCATTTAGGCTGGAACACTTTTTAAAATATAAGGGCTTTGTTTATACAAATGCCTCGTTGTACATAAGGGATTCGTTGTAAATCTAAGGGGTTCGTTGTACATATAGCTTTTAGATTTCGTTATATAGACGAGATTCGCTGTTTAGGGTTTCGTCATGATACACGGTATTCGTTTTAAATAAGGGTTCTATGTATATAATGAGTTCTTTGCATTTAAAAGCCAGAATGGCGATATAAGTAAGGCCACAAGAAGTAGATTCTTTGTTTTGCGTCCCCTTGCATGCACGATTTGGAGTAAATCAGAAAAAACACATTCAAATAGCAATCACAAGGGTCTGAAAGTACCATCGCATCTTATTCAATCAGACTCGGACGAAATGGCGGATAATTTGACGTGCGTCAAAACTGACAGAGTTATTGATCACTATGGCATACATTGTGTATTTTCTTGAATAATAGCTATGTTTAAATATATTGTAATATTCAAATTGTATAAAATGTAAAGATATGTGTTTGTAATCACTGCAAATTGGTATGTCATCTCTTTTTATGCCCATAAAGTGTATACATTTCTCAGAAAACAAGTTTGTGTTTTTTCTTGAGTTTGTGTTTGTTTTCCTTGTACCCTTGCATGATTTGGATTTTGCCAGGACGCAAAACAAAGATTCTACTTCTTATGGCCTAATCGGCATATGAGACAACACGAGCGAAAAAGACCCAAAATAACAAAATCTACTTGAATAACAAAAAATCCATGAATCAAACCTATAAACCCAATCATTATAGTATGAAACAAAGTACAACAAATAAAAAAGAAAATCTATTAATCTACATTATGCCACAATATGGAACTTGAATAGTTTTAAGTGGTCCCTGTCTTTTGTTTAATCCAAATATCTTAGATACGTACGATCGATGTAATTAACAATAAAATAAAAAGAGGAACATCTTAGGAACGCGCGGAAGAGAGTACGACATTGTATTTTAAATCTAAAACAATCCCTCTGTGTGTACCACTTTAATAAACAAGTAGCTTCTGAATACATCATAAATGAAACGTCCCGAACTTATCAAGCTTTATTTGGTGCACCTTTTTTGTTTCCATGGTGATTTATATAATCATGGAAGCATTTTTTTAAATCTGTATATAGTTATGTATTTATTTAAATTTTTTATTATCTGGCAAAATAACCAATATATCTGATCAAATACGGACGTTTTTGAAATCCTAAAATATGGAATTTCAAATATTGAAAGGGGGACTTACAATGTTGAACGTGAAAAATAACGCCTAAATATATTCTAAAATATTATATTATAAACCGCAATACAACTATCCAAGTACGCACTTATTGAAAAAATACTTTCCCAGGTAATAAGAATTCATTCTTTTCACCAATTTAATATTGCATGTCAAACCAAATACAATGAAAACTTGATTGTAGCGTTTCCTCAAATATCAAATATTTAACAACAAAAATAAATACTATAATTATGAGCTAGTCTAGATTTCTAGATCGATCAAGCGTAATTAGTTATTTATGTTTCCAGAATGAAATATAAATAATTTCTGACTCGGGAGTTTTCGGCAAAATCCGCGATCATCCGACTTATTTTTTAATAAATCAAGCTTACGAACTTTTGGATTTTTATTCCAGGCACTTCCGTCAAGGGAGGAAAAGAACACTAAGATGATAGAAATGATCCCTCTTCGTGGAAAGAAAGGATTTGAAAAGTTTTGTGACGTTCTCCAACTCACGGGACATCATTTCTTAGCAGACTATCTACGCGAAGAAGGTAATATCCAAGTGCTTTTAGATTTTATCTATTCGATATCATTTACTTGTATTCTCAGTCAATGCCGGTACACTTGTAAACGTGTAAAGGTAAAGTTGTAAATATTTAATACGTGCATTTAAAAAAAGAAATTCATTGAATATGTCACGTATGTGTTATGCTATTTTGACAATTGTATGGTTGCCATACAATTGGTATTGTGTAGGCTACTATGTTCTTTAAGTACTTGATTGAACTAAGAAATCAGATATACAAGGAATTTTATTAGATATTTCGTTATGATTCTCCAGTTTCCAAAATTTAGGTATTATCCATATTTTGGGAATTATTGGGGAGCTCAAGCTGCACGTTTTTGGAGAACCATTTCACAAACGTGAGAATCATGGTTCTCTTGGGGTCAGTTTTCTACATAGAGGTTATTTAATGGGGGTTTTTGATACAGGGTTTATCTGAGGGAAATACCCTGTATCAAAAGTCGAGCATTCAATAACTGATTTATCCTATACTTAAAAGATTATGAGAATTAAATATGCATTGATTGTTAGGGAACCCTGATGTAGTAATTCAAACGATAATTACAATCAAAACATGAATATTTTATTTTAAGTCCTCAACGATTTTTGTATTTTTAAACTCAACAGCTTTAAACATTTTACAGTGTATGAAATTTATAATATTTATCAAATAAAGCCAAAGTTTATCCCGGGAATTAAAAAAAGCACCGAAAGAAATTCCCGTGGATTGCTGATGAGCGGGTGATATATATATATCTACCGCTCACCTCAGCGGGAGATACGATGTATATCACCCGCTCACCTCAGATATCAATTATATTCCCGAATGTAATTTACCTATAACATTACTAAGTATGGGATAAATCGTAGTATTTACTCGATCGTTTGATCCGGATAAAGATATAGGGCACTAAAAAGCCAGTTAATATGAGGTTGGTCATATATGTTGGTTACAATATCATACGTTCACGTACAATTTCCATATAGCTTATCCTCCCTGTTGCTGGCCTATTCAGATAATTCTTGTTGTCCCTTGTCTTTTTTGTTTGTCGTTGGTTTCTTCGATGAGCCTCCGAAGATGACGGAGTTGTCACGTATTTGTATATTCTTTTTCGATGCAGGGATCCATTTTCTTTGATGTGGTACTTTGACAACACTCGCCAATGAACTACCCGTATTCAAAAGAGCGTGATATCTGAAAAGTAATTAAATTGAATTTTAGATATTTTCTTTCAACTCATTGAATCATCCGGTAATATGTCATCCGCTAGATGCTACTAGAAGCCGCCACAACAAAGTACTCTCTCTTTCTCAAAAATATATACTGGGAGGAGTATCATTATTTGTTTTAATATCAAAGCAATGGGTTCGAAGAACGCTGTATCTTTCATCCAGTGTTCCAATACGCTTACTTAAAAGGTAATAAAAAGGTCAATGGTAAATGGTATGTCGCGTCGTCCGAAGATCCTCAGTGTGATATTCCTGGGAAATACTCATCATTCTACAAAACACACACAATAAAGCAGCAAACGAAAATAAAAAACGAAATGTGTATATTCCACCGGTCGATCATGGCAAACACTGACGTTGGCGCATCGTTTGTCTAATGTTATTTGTAAACAGAAAGATGTTGTAAACAGAAAGATGTTTAGAGCAATCAATAAATCGTCATAATAGCTGTCTGAAATAAGACTAGACTAATAGGTTATAGATTGTTTGCTTTGTTCTTTCGTTTGATTGCTTATATAATGATTCCCATTGCACTATTCATATTTTCCCTGACCTGTAAAATTCTAAATAGCCTAACATTATTGCTCAACGATGTGCTGTTAATGACGTAAACACCACTTAAGTTGCAACACAATAAAATGAGCTATAACTTATTTTAAAGAATGTACAGTTGTCTCAAAAGAGTAATACATTCTTTTTCTACTGTTTTTAAAGAAAAGACACTTGGCAAGCTTTTAAAAAACCATTGTGGCACAAAAGGTGATTGACCTGTGTTGCATGCAGTGCACTGAATCTGAACTTATTACTCACTCATCCATCAATAGTTGAACAATCAATGCAAAAGCAATCACATTTTCAAGTTGAATAATACAAGTAATGTGGTTAAGCTAGATAAGATCATAGTCGACCATTTACCTTTCATAAGAGTCAGGGTGGGGTTTAAGTTAGATAATCAATTCGTACTGGGTCTTAGGAGAAAATAATGGCCTCTGGCCTTCGGCCCTAGGCCATTATTTCACCTAATACCCAATACTTATGGTGTATCCATTACATAACCTTATTTTTCACACCTTTCTTTATATTAATTAATGTAAAGTTACAAGTCACAATTTCGCAAAATTACGTCCGCCACAAATATTGAAGGTAAACGTTTTTTTACGAAATCGTATAACCTCCAGTTTGTGTCTTAGCGAAGTGGTGCAAATATGTAAGAGGATACATGCAGATAAAATATATGCATGACAAGAGGTTATTCGTCCATCTTACCTCACTGCTTGGTAAACCATAGCTTTGATTTCCGGAATTTTCAGGACATGGGTAGTTTCAACGTGAGTCGCAATTTCTTCAGGAGACATGAGCATAAACCTGATGCATTTCATTACATCAACAGCGTGCATCATCCGCTCTGACCTCTTCGCATTCAACCACGCAAATGCAGCATAAAATACATCAATTTCCGAAATAACGTGAATATCATCTCTCGATAAAAGTTCACAAAGCTGAGAAAAAGAACAATTCAGAAATCCCATTGAATAGAGCGAGTAAACGGTTTCAAGAAAATGTTCATTTATGTGTTGATTGAGATTCTTAGTGACATCATCTAGGTTGTGTTTTTGCGCAACGTCAAGCTGCTCGAATATGGTTAAAGTGCGATCGGTCAGTAAGAACCGTTGACACATTTGGATGATCTCCTGGAACCCAAGTTCCTTAGATGCAGACAGCAGGCTATCAACCGTTGCAATGGACACAACGATTTTGTGGGTATAAATAAAACACAGGGTAGCAGCTACGCCCTCTATTGTAGCTTTATTGAGAAACAGTTCTACGTCCGTTCCTTCATGTTTGTCAACGAACAGTTTAAAGAGCTTTGGGCTATGGGCTGAAAGGACAAATTTATGTGCCGGTAATTCATCTTTACCAACTTTTAGGATAACATCACAGAGGTTTTTCTCTTCGTAAAGTTTGGCTATAAATAGTGCTATGACTTTTGCATGCTGTTCTTCCATTGATTGGTTTGGGTCGTATTTCATGTCGATGTCAAATGCTTTGCACAATTCACTACGGTCCTTCGTGTTGTCATGTCTCCGTTTGAGGCGCTCAACACCACTGGCCTTGTGGACAGACTCCCCATCGCTATCAGCATCTTCCCATTCTCCAGACTCCATAGTTGTAGACATATCTGTCTAACTACGACAGTCTTATCACGCCTTCATTTACGAAGTAAACATTTTGCTTCGTTTGTGTTCTGTTTGATTCTCATAGCAATTTGTTTTGGGAAAAAACGTCACATTGATCGAAAGAAGACTTCTTAAGAACTCATGACGTCATATCATACATTTACCATTGGGTGTGACAGCTAATGTGAATGCAGCGCATTTTAAAAATGTCGAAGAGGTACTTAATCATGGAGGTATATACATACATGTACTAGGATGAAAATGTATTAATCAAGACACGTTATACCTACCAGTACTTAATATAGTCAGTGGAAGAGCAGTCGAGGTATACCCGTACATGACATATACACACGCATTCATTTATTACCATGGCAACAGCATGACGTCTAGCTTTATCTCTACTTAATTTTTATCGTACACAATTGTTGTTGGACGTCATATATGAAAAGTCGTCATGGAGAAAAAGTATGTAATACATCAGTAAATGTAACTATGGTGTTACATAAGTTGGATGGGCCTTCGCTCTTGCCGAAATATTTGACATCCCAAGGTCGGCCTACATTGGCAGAACCCAGGCATATTTCAACTTTTCAGTCATACATGTCTTTATAATCTTTATTTTGATACCAAAGAAACTTAATGTTATATTAGGTATCCCTAAATACCAACCATGGCGTTATTTGGAACGGAATCACACTAGTGGACCATTGTCACGTCTCATTTAGATTTCGAATTTTGTTATCACGACTCATATATGGCAAAATAAAACACACAGGGATTTATGGTAAGCATAAGGCCGCAACATAGGGGAAGAAATGTAACACAAATGGCCATTTGTTCAGGTCCTTGGTCACTGTTCCAAAGCTGCAGTTAGCTTCATTCAAGATGGCTGCCGAGATTATTTCGTTTTCGATAAGGCTCCGATTTCAGCTAAACTAAGTTGAATCTTGATTCCAAAAGTTTTGCCATGCAAATTAATGAAACTATGATTGTATTCAACCTCAAATAGATGTCCAAACACCCGCAATATTAGAGTATTTTAAAGAAAATGGCTTCACTTAGAATGACTCTGAACGATAATCTACGTCATCATTACGTCATCATCAACTTCCAAGTGAAGCCATTTTCTTTAAAATTCTTCAATAGCGTTGTTTGAGTATTTATTTGTGGTTATTTACCATCATAGCATTATGAATTTGCATGGCAAAACATTTGGAATCCAGATTCAACTTAGTTTAGCTGAAATCAGAGGTTTATCGAAAACGAAAGAATTTCGGCAACCATCTTGAATGAAGCTAACTGCAGTTAGGGTCATTCAGCTGTGGAACAGTGTTGGTGTCAAGCCCGCCGTTTAGTATTGCCAGTATGTATGCAACGTGTATATCAATCGCGACATAATTGTTTTTATTTGTTCTTGCGCATCAATTTTGCCACCACAACGTCTTTTATGACAGTTAGGGGATTAGGTTGAACAAAAATGATGTAAATGATAAGGTATTTTCATTTGGGGCAATAATGTTTGATAGCATTTTGTATTAATTTACTTGTCAATGTCAGAATTTCATTTATATTTGAATCTCGATTTTTCACTTTGCAAATAAATCAGTGTAGACAGATCAATTTTGCATGTCATGTCAACAATTATGCTGTCAATCTTACAGTTTATGGACTTGAAAATGATGTTAGGTATCAGCAGTAATGCACTGGCAAAATAAGACTCCATGCTATATAGCGTATTGGCAATTAGTGTTTAGCTTAATATAAGCACTGGTGATCCACTCGATATCGCTGGTTACCGTTTGTGAGAAAAAATGTCGTGGGGATTCTGCCTACAACGCGTGAAATAAGGAAAAAGACGAACCGTTTCGGTAACCAGCGTAATCGGGCGGATCACCAGTGTTAAGGCAAAACGAAATTTAATTTAGGCCTTACAAATTTCATGTTGAAAAAATTAAACCCTTGTCGAAACCTACCATTTGCATTCGTTCGACTTTGCTTCTAAAGAGTGCTTCGTCTTTAGGGTCCGTTGTCGAGATACGGACGACTTTCTATATATGGTAATTTCCTCTGACATCATCGTATTGTAAATAAGCACGCATTTAGCCTGTGTTCCTTCCAGCTCGCTGATTGGTTCAGAAATGATCAGCATGGTAGGTTTGAAATGATTTATGACCCGGGTTGTCATGGCCATAAGTCGTGGGGGGGGGCGGGGCTACTAAACTGCAATAGGCTATAGTTTATACTATTCAGAGGATAGTTTATAACTAGACTTTCGTATTTTTCAGGAGAAAGACATGGGAAGGAACCTGAGTACTTTGATGACCTATTTATATCTCACCCAAGTCTAGAGAAACTTTTAAAGGCCCAGGAACAGGATCGACTGAAACATTATCTAAAAAATAAGGTTGGTGATCTTATCATCGACTTTTCATGCACGTTTTTTCCATTTCACCTCCTCCATAAGTTCGGCAACTAGATCCAGAACTCTCCTTTGGCTAAGATGAAGAAAAGAAAGAAAATACATCAGATTAACTCTTTTCTTCATCCTCTCAAAAAGTTTATATTTCACAGTAAGAAAGATCGAGGCTGTATTTTTGTATGGCCGCGTTGCTAGTGACTTGCGTAATACTTTTATACGTTATATCCCCATGTATCACTAAAAAGAACAATGAGCCCAGTGCCCATTACATGCTCATATGTTTTCAACAAAAATGGCTCATTCAAGCGCACTTACTAGCACTTTCTTCACTAGTACCGTGGCCATTTACACTGTATTCTTGTATTTTTAATGAGGTTTCTCCCCAGGAAAAAAACAATAAGACATGCAGTGCAAATTACATGCTCGTGTGTTTTCAACAAAAATAGCTTATCCAAGCGCACCTACACTCACATAATTATTTTGAAAGATACCACGGATTATTGCAGTGGAACTCCTGCGGTGCATTAGCAATTAACGAGCAGACGCGGTTGACACACGCGAGCAGCCGACATGGTTGCCACAGCGTACTTAGCGCTTTAAGTGCGCTTGGATGAACTGCTTTTGTTGAAAACGCGTGAGCATGTAATTTGCAACGCATTGGCTTAGAACTTTAAATGTATATGCAATAAATATCATACAATATACTTGCACCGCGGGCAGTTCAAAACGCAGTCCTAGTGAAATAACCATTTCACAGGAAATAACTATGGCACAGTCTCGCAAGAACTCGCAGTCTCGCAAGCTCGCAAAGACTGCTTAACATGGGCCATATAGTTAGTCACTTCTCAATCTTTTCCACCATTCAGCCTTGAGTAGCTTGTTTAAGCTTGAATGTATATAATATTCTTAATTTAACACAGTTTCTGTCAGTGGCCCTCTAGTGAATGCATGCGCATCAGAGCTCATACACTGAACGAAACCATACTACCGCAATCGTTATTGAAAGTCCTCTTGGTCTTGTTACAGGTGAAACAGATAACCCTAGCGTATGCATGGAGAAGTACGGGCCACGAGAAGGAGAAAGCAATGGGTGCAAAAATGCAACAGCTAGAACAAGCATGGGAGCACGAGACGGTGTGCAAAACAAAAGACGTTACCATAGAGACGCTAAGAGAAACCCTTGACAATACAAACAAACAACTAATCGAAAAAACCTCTGAGGTTAAAACGCTATCAAGGCTTCTCGAAGACACTAAAGCTAAATATGAAAAAGATATGCGGGTTCAGATGAGGTTCAACGAGGCAAATAATAAAACTTTATTCGCTAAAAACGAGCGGCAGGAATGGACGGATGAGTTATTAAACAAACTTAAACGGAAGATGTTGGAAAAACTTAAATTCAATATGGAAGATGAAAGCCCAGATTATATTAATTATAACGAGAAGGCGTCGACGGTGGAAGATTTTCTCAACAGAATTCTTGCCAGATTAACTCACTTAGAAAAAATAAGGGAGAAGTATCAAAAACTTGAAGATGAACGTAAATTTGTGCTCATGTATATAGGAACGGAGATTACCGATGGTGGTTCGTTGGCCGACGCCTTTAGAGATTACGTCATCAAAATGGACGACGCTTGTTTGAGTCTCAAACAAGAAATCGAACGATTGAAGCAATCAAGAAGCAAGACAGTGACTGTAAATTCACAAAACAAAGCGAACCTCGGAGATTCATTGAACTTTGATGCCTCGATGAAAACTGAAAAGATAGCCATGCAATTTTTCACAGGAACTCTTCAAAAGCAATTAAAAAAGTTAAAAGAAGATAACGCGATCCTCGAGAAACGACTACGCGAATCAGAACTAGAAATTGAATATTTGAAACACAAGACACCAGTCGACAATGGGCCCCAAAATACACAACCTGCCACCAAAGAGAGATCAGAAAGTGCGCCAAAATCCCGCCAAGAATCTCCCGCCAAAAGTCCAACTGAGAGAACTGTTAACTTGCCTCTCCTTAATACGAACATGACAAAACCAATCACAGCACCTCTTACCAGAAGTGACTCATTCGTCGTTGTAGATACGTCAAACATGAAAACATTGGATTTAAAATCCAAAACGGCTGATGGAACAATCGCGTTCCATCAGCGTGACGCGTATAACAACTCTCCGCGAATGCGCATGCCCAACATGCAAGGGAGGTACAAGCAACCCATAATTCATCAAGACAATGGGCTGGGACTTAACCCACATCTGCCTATACGTACTAAAAAAGGCCCGTCCTCTAAGATCACACGTGAGACTAAGTTACAAACGATACAGCCAAAGACAATGGCAATTAACACAAGTCATATTTTCGGTAACACTATAAGGAAATCATAAAATAAAAATATAAAAATGTGTCATCTCATTTAAGAAAATAAGTTATTTTGTATTTATTTTTAATATTGTCACAACCGTAAGTTAATAAAATCCACGTGTTTTGACTTGTACAGAAACTTACAGAATATTGTTCCATTCAAGATACGTGTAAGCCGGGTTGAAGTATGTGCAGAGTATGCCTACCAAATGCGTACGTGATATTTATCACGATGCCCATGTCAAGCAGCGTGCCTACTAGGCACGCAGTTTGAAACTCTGACAAACTGCGTGCACATTTCAAAATGTGAGACGGGGAGGACACGACTCCCAAAAAGAGCCAAAATACAAGGTTAGTCTCGTTCTAAAGATAGTACCATTCTGTGAAAATGAACTTAATTTACTAATAATACTCAATGTTTTTCCCGATGTAAACCTAGTTATCTCAATATAAGGGTCTTAAGTAACTTCTGTGTTCAAAATTTACAGTGTAAAGTTATATCTATGTCTTTTTATCGTCACTTGCCGTTTATTCAGCCATTGTGTCTGTGTATGCTAGAATATATAGGATCACTCCATCTGATTAAAGCAGCAAAGTTTGTGTTCAAAACGATAATACGCCATAAACGTGATTTAAACATTTTTCTTGTCAAACTGCGCGCCTATATTCACATGAATTTCCCAAACTGCGTGCCTAATATTTCCAAACTGCTTGCCTATCCAAGCTTGTTTTGTATTATTAGAAAACATAAGCGCCATACAAGGCACATATGTGTCTAATAGTAGAACCCCATAATTGAAACACTATGAGAGTCCAATCACCAAGATGGTGATCTGAAAATAAAAGTTTTTTTCGTTCCCAACTTAATTGTCACTTCTATTAAATACATTTTGACTTTCAATATGAAAATCTCATAAAATCTGACGATAAAGCAAAATTTCCAAAGCTACATGAAAAACACCTACACGTGCCTCTGTAGAAATTCCAATGATAATATGTAGTTTTAATAGTGTATGCGCACAGTTTGTAATTTCTGGCTAAAATAGGCGCGCAGTTTGTGATTTATTTCTTTTTAATCTCCTGATTATCTGTTTTATCTCGAAATATTTTGAATTATACATGATAAATGTGTAAGGAATTAAATATAAAACGAGTTTAAAGTATTTGTCATTTATGTTTAAAGTTCTAGATCGATTTACGTATAAATTCCAGTTAAATCAGTGACGAAAATGCCATTAATCTGCTTATGTTTTAAAACTTAGATTCATTTCCACATAGTTTTTGCTAGTATTTGCAAGATTCGTATATTCGCCACAGAATGAACGCATTGAACTAGAAAACAATGCAGGATAAATGTCTTTAAATTACGTTTCAAAATACAGACTCCAACTTAAATGATGCAATGTTCTTAGGCACGCAGTTTGTGATCGAAACAAACTGCGCGCCTAATTAGGCGCGCAGCTTGACATGGGCACCGTGTTTATGCATACTACATAATATTGTTCCTCAAGATGCGAGTTTGCACTTGGTGTAATTAAAACACAATATGAAGCCATTGGAAATTATTTTGCAAACAAAAACAGTGAAACAAGTCGCCATCTTCATAATATATTCTTCATTACAATGTGTGTGATCCATTACCGTTATCACCTAGTGCTATGCTTAATTGCAGTTTAATAGCAATTTGAAGATTTTAAAATGAGAATCCCGGGCTAGTCAGGAAAGATAATTAGGGGAAGTAAATGTAAATACATGTAGTAGGTGAAGCAAATAAAAATAAGTGTGTCAAAATGTTAGCTAAATGCAGTTCAAGTTTTGGACAAAATTTCATTTGAAAAATGTCTGAATAAAGAATAGATTTCCACCAAAAAACTTTGTATAATTACAGAGGGGTTGAAAAGGTAAACTATTATAAAATACCATTTCCTGGCCAATCCCAACACATGTTTTCAACTTATAGAAGAACTCCTCGAGAAATGTAAAATGACGAATATGATCGCCTTTTTCCTTTTTGTTTAATACGACCGACTATCAAATATTACCTTGCAGCACTGAGCGATGTCTACAATCTATTTTAAAGAATATTATTTCCTGGCTCAGATTTCCATTACCTAACTTGTTTCAGTTTTGCTGCAAATTCTGGGTATCTGATGTACACTTGTGAAACTGATTGTCTAGTTAAAGGATCATTGTTTATTCTTTTGTACTTACATGCATATTTTGTAATCAGACAGCAGACTTGTTTATATCTAAATCGTTGGGAGAATCCATTTGTTTGTCCTTCAACAGGATATAAGTTTTCAGTCATGTCAATTTGTTTATCTTGTTTTTCGAAACGTTTGATGGTTTCATGAAAAGAATGACGTATCTAATCAGATTTTTTCGTTTTAGTATTTCGGATATTGTTATTTGATTTTTTACAGAATGTGATTATAGGGACAATAGAATAGGGTTTACGTTTTGTCCATATCATACCTGACGAAGTTGGCAGTGATGATACCACTGTACGTTCTTTATTTTTACCTATTCTCTAAGAGATTTCAGGGATTTTCTGAGATGTACAAGTCATCTGATTTTTCAAAACGAGTATTCTGCTTCAATTATTACATTTATATGCACACTAGTATCTTGTTGACCTATATTCAGCACTGTATTGATGTATAGGCCACTTATTAGGGTCATAATTCAATCATGAAGTGTAGAAGCATAGATTCCAAACCAGGAAGTATTTTTGTGTCTGTCAAAATCCATTTACATCCTACGCATCCCTGCAATCTTTGGTTTTACATACTTGTATGATATTTGATAATTGTAAAAATTGTTTTTGGAGCATTTTTCTATAGCCATTTTGTAGGGAAAAAATGATGAAAAAATGTACAATCTTTTAATTTTAAGTATGACCTGAATCGATTGCAAACTTCATATTTGCACATTTGATGAGATAAACCATTTGTGTCGTATTGTGAAATTATTAAGTTTGCAATCGATTCAGGTCATAGTGTATTTTTGGTATTTCTGTGATAATCAATGGAAACCAATGGCCTCTATTGGGATCTGCTGATATCCTCATGTTAAATCAATGGTGCACAGCCCCATGTAAGTCAATACAATCTTACTGAACGAAATGATCCCTATCTCAGCTTATGTGTGTCCGAGCACTTTCATATTTTCCAAAGTATTATATGACATTTTATTCTTCATGTTACACCTACGAATGATTCAATTCGACCATAGGGATATTTGCCAATAATTGCACCTTGTCCTTTGCAATAGTCACTTAATTTCATGATTTATCAAAAAGTGTTTGTTGAATCTGTCTGAAACTCGAATGGAATACTATTGGATGGCCCTGTCAATGTACATATTGTGATTAGACATGAAAATATTGGTTGTCATACAAATAAATCAAGGTTTTAATGAATTTCAGCATTGCACCAATGGAGATTTGGCCCAAGTTTTTTTAAATGTCATGGAAAATGATTTAAATGACATAACTGTGTAAATCAAAGCTATAATGGGGAAAAATTGTCACTGAATCCAAATATGCTATCAAAATAAAGAAAAGTAATTCATTAGAGGAAAAAAGTGCAAAACTCTTAAAATCTCATGTCAAAACGAGAATTAGCGAGATTTGAAAGCTATTTAGAAACTCCTCTATTGGTTGACAAAACAGTATACGGTATTATTACCCATTCACATTTCAGAAGAAGCTTTTGCTATATATAAATTGAGAAAAACAAGATTCTCTTTTTTAAAAATAAGCCTAACATTTGTGACAGGATGGGGTCCCAATCCATAATTTTTCCTTGAGTTGGATTAATATTTTTATTATCATAGATACTTCACTTGAAAGAAAACATATCATTTTCATAAAAAGCACTGTGTTTATGTCAAAAAAGCGTTTGAGATCGTGGTAAAAGATATGACTTTCCAAAATCTTCCAAAGTTTTGAAATGCCTGTAACTTTTTACCATTCGTGAGTTGAACCATGATACTTGGCAAATCAATGTAACTTTGGATGAACTTTAAAATGATATATGATACATACTATGAATACATTGGTATGAGTCTGCCTATAGGGGGCATACTTTCGGGACATCATGTATATAAAATTATGGTTCCATATCAAATGGAATCTGACGGGTCTTTTTCACCGGACTTTAAGTCTATAGATCGGTTATGACCGGTCATAGCCTAATGTGTCCTCCTGAGGCCGATGGAGTCCGTGAGCCCTGTCAAGACCGATGGAGTCCTGTTTTTTCTCCCATTGGATATGCACAGGGGATTAAAAAAGACCGGTCAGTGTAAACGGGGCTTAACAGTCATGGTCGAAATGCTTTCGAATCGCAGTCAAACGCCCTGGTTCAGGGTCAAGGCATTTTGACCATCACTGTAAAGTCCCTGGAGTGATTTTGATGAAACTCAACAAATTCACCACACAATGGATGAGGATAATTTGCGCCAAATCTGAAGTGCCAAAACACTATGGATATACATACACAGTCTCTTCTTTCTTTCCTGAAAATGAACATAATTTAATTAGTATTTTCCAAGATATAGCGAATTTCCATTCACGTTTTTCGTATTTTTCTAACAATAGTGTCTTTTGAGCAGGTGTCCAAGACATCATGTTTTACAACTAACAAACAACAGAAGCTGTACATACATAGTCTCTTTCTTTCCTCAAAAAATGCACACCATTTGATCAGTATTTTCCAAGATATAGCGATTTCTTTGGGTTGCGTTTTTTAACAGAATAGAATATTATATAGTTATACATACGTGCACCTTTCCTTGTACTGAGCTTTATTTAAATAAACTGCATGATCGGAATAAATATGCGTTATATTCCTCAGGACAATGTAATCTTTGAGTCTGTCCTTCCTGGTCCTTTGGAAATATCATATTGTCCCTCGAAATAAAACTCGTATTCAATCACTAATCGCAACATAATATAATACAATACAATATAGCATATAGCAATACATACGAAACAATACAACACCTTTCTCTATACTGATCT